TGTTTTGTTATCCCCAGTATTGTCTTAATTTAGCATTGCCTATAATATGTGCACAGCTTGAAACAGATTAAAACAGCTATATAACCACTCTTATTCCACCACTGATAAACATTTGATTCCACGGTTTTTAATAATTCATCATCATATAAAATTGTTTACTTAAATAAAGGTAGTGGCAGATAAACAGTTTTATTGAAAAATAATATATTTGAAAAATATCAAGTTCTAATTTAAGAAAAAATCATAGAAAAAGAAACTGTTCTTCTTCAGGCCATGAATCACCTTTTGTCATCAACTGTTGCCTTCACTCCATCCTTGTTCTTCTGGATCAGACTACAGGTCAGACCTAAAAAACAGGTGTTTTTTGTATAGCCCACAAGGGGTGCATGGTGGGATGAACATGCTTGTTGCTTGGCCTACTCCTTTTTCCCATTTACATGCTTTTCCTCTAGGTCACCTTATAAGTCAACATCGGAACAGTTTCCACTTTTATGCAGACGATACACAGATTTATTTTAGCTGTGACCCTGCAAACTGGTTTCAGAAAACCACCCACACCCCTCCAAAACCGAAAATACAGCAGATCCCTCCAGCAAAATAGTGATAAGACTAATCATAGGTCAAGATAGTGTAAATATATTATATTATTAGGGATCGAGCACTGAAAGTGCAAGACCCTATTGTTCCTCTAGGAATTATTATTGTTTTTCTGGGACTTCGACCGCATATTTGGCCCCCGCAACATGCTCAAAATGACATGAAAATTTGCACAAAATCCAAACGGAGCAAAAATACCGATATGACATTGTCCCCGTGCACGGGCGCCGCCACACGTCTAAGCCACACACCCCAAAATCAGCCCCCAAGTCACGTAAGGCCCACATGTACGAAAATTGCTACGCATGTGTGTCATGATAAAAGAAGCAGAAAAGCCTCTTGGACCCATGCCCCAAAACCCACAGGAAGTCTGCAATTTCGATACTTAATTTTCACTTGTGGCATCCATTTTGTGGTCATTTTGACTTTTTGGGCTTGTATTTGAACGAACTCCTCCTAGGGAATTTCTGGGATCTGCTTCAAAATTGGTCAGTACAGTCAAAAAATGGTGCTGAATGAACACTGTTCATTTTTTAACTGTACATTGAAGGGCGTGTCCATGGCGTGCCGTCAAAGTTGGCCATTTTGAAGTCTGTGGTCTTTGAACAAACAAACTCCGAGGGAATTTATCAGATCTGCTTCAAAACTTGACAGTACTCTTAAATAATGTTGCTGATTACAAGTTGGCGTGCCGTCAAAGTTGGCCATTTTGAACGAATGTCAAACTGTGATGTCATTTTTGGCATTTCAGTGCTTCTATTTTAACTAACTCCTCCTACAGGTTCTATTGGATCTACTTCAAAATTGGTCAGTGCAGTCAGTTTTTTTCTTGGAACATTGTGCCCGTGGCGTCCCGTGGCATCCAATTTGAAACCATCGCCATGAAAGAGGGATTCGTCATAACTTCTGACTACCTGATCCGATCTCAATGAAACTTCACGTTTGATAAGAGTCCCACCCTGAACACGTCTATGTGATAATATTCAGTAAAAGTGAGAGCGCCACCTAGTGGTGAAAGGAAATGTCATTTTTTTATACTTTCATGTTCTACTCCTAGCAGGATGATCAGATCCAGCTGAAATTTACATATGAAATGCAAAACACATTGTTGATGATATGTGATGAATGTGGTGAGTGGGCGTGTCTGTGGCGTGGCGGGAACTTTTGATGTACCGCCACAAAACACGAATTCGCTATAACTTGAGTGTACATTGTCCAATCGGCTCCACACTTCACTTGTCTGATAAGAGTCCCGCCCTGAACACATAGTGATAGCGACAGGAAGTAAGTGCTGCGTGGCGATTTTGAGCTGATTTACGTGAGATTTTCATGTCGTGGTCCGCACGTGTTGCAGCTTATATTTTATTCGTATAATTTTCTTTTCTATTAGGGGTGCTGGACTTGGGAATGATAAGATCAAGGTAGCAAACACTACTGTATCTTCTTGCTTTTCAAAATAGAATAGAAAGTCCCATGTAAAAGTGAGAATCTGATAAGTAGCCACACAGTACTTCAGTGTTAGTAATAAGAGTAATCTTTGCATTGTGATTATGCTGTACCAGACCAGACCAGACCAGTGAGAAAACCCTCTATGAACCTCTGGAAATTGTGTGGCTTGCACCTTTCTTTTCTAGATTAATCACTTTTATACCCTTACTTACTGTGCAAATGTTGAAAATGATTGGCCTAGTGATTCCTTTTTAAATTTGCAAGGACTGTATATTCTGTATTCTTGAGGTGAGCTGAGGAAAATCTAAGATATGTAAATGAATATAAAATTGTATTTAGAGATGGAAGAGGAGCAAAAATTTAATTAATCACTTCATCAGTGTATTTTACCTCATAGTGAGGTAGACTGCTGGTTTATCCTTTTGTATGTCCAATTGTTTAATAGTTGTTTAATATTTACTTAAACCACCACTGTTATAGAGAGTCACAAAAACAGTAAAGTACATACAAATCCTCAAAGTTCAACAATAAAATATGTATAACTGCCCACCAGAACCACATATGTACAATCACATATATTAGTATTTGCAAATGAAGATCCACCCCTGCATTAAATGCTAGTCAGCTAATGTGCTGTTAAATATTAGCTTGTTGCTTATGGTGAGGAAGAGGGGCAATAGATTTTTAGATATCTGCAACTTCTTTTTTGTTTTTTACATATTTTGGGGGGCTTTTTTCCCTTTATTTGACAAGATAGCTTGAGAAATGGACAGCAAAGAGAGAGAGAGAGAGAGAGAGAGAGAGGATGACACGTAGCAAAGGACCACCGGTTGGATTCGAACTTCTACAGGGTGAGCTGCCTGGTCGCCCCATATAATTGCAACTTTGAATATTGCTATCAGATCTAGGCCTGTTACATATGTTTCCTTTAGCCTACAGCCTTACAGATATATAACAGTAGCCAAAATTGCATGGGCTAACTTGAGCTGACACTTTTTTCCTGAAAGATCATAATAAGTGTAATGAGTTATGTCAATTTTGTCATTTAACAGATTTTAATGCGGCTACTTTTAATGCACAGACCATCTTAAAACCAACAAAAAATGCCTAGTCCAAATCAACATCTGTCCTAAAGCTGCCTACATCCTTGCTCTTATGCAGCTACTTCCTTGCATAGGTAGGGGCAGAAGGTCCCTTTTGGCTAGTTCTGCTGTTAAATTGTATTGGGGAAAGTTCTACCCTTTTTTACATTTAAAAATATTAGATTACTATGTTGCTAACTACAATTAATAACAGCAAATTATGTTAATTATAATTAGCACTGAAATCATCTAAATGTCTGCCTATAGTGTCAGGTCTGCCATAAGTTTTTATGAGTTTAGGCACACATGAATCACTACAATCAATCACTGTCTCCAACACAAGAGAGGTTTATGTTATTAGTTTGAATCCAGAGAAAATAATACTTAGTCTGTTTCACTTGGTTTTATGGGGCAAACACAAGTGGGAACCTATCATGACGTCACCCATTAGTTTGTGCAGTAACATTTTGAAGTCTCAAGTTTGGTGTTTTGGATTTGTCCGTAGCCAGAAACAATGGCAGCTCGCCTGGTCACACAAGATCTCATATTCCAGCTAAACAGTACACTAAAATATCTTTCTGAAACGATGAGAAATAGGCAATGGAGCAACAGAATCTAGCTACATATCTGATCAGCACTGCCTAGTTTGACAGTCTGATCTGAGTTTGGTGCGCTACGCTAGACAGACTCACTGACAGTGACCTGTCAATCAAAAGGTAGCTCCGCCCAAAAGCATACGCAGCTTTATCGTCTATTTTACTCTAAATGGGACCATCATTTACTAAATGAACATCATAATGTATGGAAGAGGATGTGAAACTAGAGACTTAGACCCTTAACTCATCAGGAAACTGTTTACTGAGCTCATAAATGAAGTGAGAAGTTGACTCATTCTCTATTAGAGTGAATGGAATAGCTGTGTTATTGCAGCCAATAGAGCTCCCCTGCTGGCCTTTACGTAGAATGCAGGTTTTAAGACAAGTTCTGTCCATAATATATACTTTCAATAGGCTAACATCAATGTTATCTTCCCCAACAGGCTAACATCACCTGCATGTTATGTTACAACCTGGTTGTATTTTCTAGGTTATTTAGCAATGAGCGTCCACCGTTGACATTTGTTGGTGAAGTGAGTGTCAGCTGACATGGTCTCCCATGGAGCTGCTGTTGAAGCTGCAGCAGGTAATTTTCCTAAAAATATTTTTGTCATATTTGCTGAAACTTTCACTGTATCCTGACAGTAGTACATAACACAGATACTCTGTGAAAAAATCAGGTTCCTCTGGCTCGTTGTAGCCCTCCTAATGGTATTTGCTAGAATCCACCAGGCCTGGACAAAAACAACAAATCATAACCGAGAAAGATAGCTGATTGTTGAGTCTCACTTCCAGGTCATCAAATACAGACTTTTTGGGACCCTGGAAATGAGACTCAACAATCAATTATCTTCAAGCTTACAGCTCAAAGTGTCTTTATATCTTTCTCGGCTCCGATTGGTTGTTTTTGTTCAGGCCCGGTGGATTCTTGCAAATGTCACTAGGAGTGCTTGAAGTTAGTTCACCACTTAAAGAGACATGTGAGGAACCTATGTAGCTCATTGTGTGTGTTCATCATATACACCTCCTTTCACACTGTCATTTGATATATTTTTTGTGTAAAATATCGACTGGTACAACCTTTAAAATCCATACACTGTCCTCAATTGGTGCTTGTGTGCGCCCTCTTATGGCTGTCAAAATGGAGCAACAAAAATACAGGGAACATCCCAAAAGTGCACTGTGATGCTATCAGAAGTACACTCTCCTGATACTCTAGTGAGTGTGGGTTTTAACATTATATTGGTATCATAACTAAAATAAAATGTTCCTAGACCTGATTTTACTATTTAATTATGGATTGACATTTTATGGATAGACATTTGCACAAAAAGAACCTAACATAATATAAATAAAGTTATGTGATATAAGCTTCCTCTACATTGCAAGAACGTTACTAAGACTAATGGATGTTGCTATATTCATATGACCGTGCTGCAGAGAAACTTCTTCCTTGTTCCCTGCAGTACCCACAATGTGCTTTAACAAAAGATCACAAATTTAAACCACTCCATCTAAACTCTTACTTCAACATATAGTTCAAAATGATCAAAGTCCACATCAGCCAATTAGAAAGTACAGCTCTATGTCAGCCCTGTGCAACAGAGGAACATAGTTCATAGATCAGAAAGTCCCAAAAACATGTGCAGCATAGACCCTCTAATTACAAAACATCTTTCTATCCAAGGGAAAAGCACTTAACAATAATAAAAGCAATTTCTGAAAAAAAAGTTTTGTCGTTATGATCTAGAGCCAACACATTATGAAGAAAAGGGCTTCATTAGAGCCAACGTGGCTTTACAACGATCTCAACTGAGGTTGCTGTTTACTCGTGCTGAAGTAATTGCTGTGTGGATCCATAAGTTCTCCCTGTTTCCGTTCTTTATACTAAGCTAGACTAATCACGTCCTGACTCCAGCTTTGTACTGAACACACAAAAAATGAGAGAGATATGGATCTTCTAACCTCACTCTCTAAAAGAGAACAAAAAAGGGTTAATGTTGAACTATTAGTGAATGCACATAGTGATTGTTTGTAGATACAGCCCAACTTCCTGCCTGATAAGACAGTTGACTTTTATGGTCTTGTGCGGCTTTAAATAGCCAACACTGTCCATATAATGAGCAGCAAGGCAGCAATAAAAGATGTTGTTCTGCTACTGAGAGCTCCATTCTGGCAAGTGCATTGTGTCCAGATGTGTGAACCTCTGTCCTGCATGTCTGAATGTTTATTTCCATGTCTGTCCCTCCCGTGGTCCCTCATCCTCCCTCCTCCTTCCTCCTTCTCCCCCCCCTCCCTCCATCTCTCCCTGAGCTCCTGTCGTCCTGCAGGTGGAGACAGAGACAAGGAGAGGTCGTCCACCACAGGCGAGGATGAGGAGGGGTCGGGGCAGCCCAGCCAGTCTGCAGCAGAGGATCGTGGGTATCCGTCCTGCAGTGAGGAGCCTGGAAACGTGAACTTCCAGTAGGATTCTCCTCTGAAGAGATAGACGGAGCCTGGAGGAGAGGGAGAGGAGTTTTCACACCCAACAACTTGAAATGTTTTTAAATGTTTTGCAGCTCTAACAAACAGCACTCTTTGCACTCTCTGCAGTTTTCTTTATGGGCCAGTCTCTGTGCTGAAAGTTGGAGAAAAGCCTGAAACACTGGAGGCAGCTGCATAAACTGATCTTAAAATACATCCATTACCATAACCCCCCATACCTTTTTCCTACTCCAGTAAGCCAGCTTACAAAAATCGTCTTCACCACCTACATTTATATACAAACCCGAAGCTCTGGTAAAGCCTATCCAATAGAAGGTAGGGCCTTGAAAGACATTTTATCCTCGGCAGGGCATTTGGTCCTTATAGAGACAGAGAATGTGACACACAGATACAAAGATGATTCCTGTCCTCACCATCGCTCTCTGTGGTGATGCCACTGACACCATCTCTAAGCAGCTGCGTCCAGGTATCTTCTCGCTTCTCTTCCTCAGCAACTCCCACGGTCCCCCACACGGGGCCCTCCTCTGGGTCCCAGACCAGGCCCCACCTCCCTGCCGCTACCTCCTCTTCCTCCTTCTCCTCCTCATCGGCTCCAGCTAAGCTCACCCCCATCCTGAGGGCAGACAGGGGCTGAGGATAGCCTTCCTGCAGGGACAGATCCCTGAACAGCCAGAACTGGGAACCTGCAGCAAGACAGGACCTGGAGAGGTTACTGGGCTGACTCCCTCCACATTTGTCAAAGAAAAATCATGTGATCTGCTGTTGATAATGTAAATAAGTTGATCCAGATGGTTGCACAGAAGTTAAACTGTTATGGTTTATATTCAAAATATATATAAATCAGTGTTTTATTAACATTATTGGAATATACCACTGATAAAGATTATGGCATGATCTGACTGTCTCTCCAGCACAGCGTGAACATGAGGTAGGTCAGGTGGTAGACCCCTCCACAGCCTCCTGACAGAAGCCCCTCGGCCTGATACCAAACCACCACCATTGACTCGCCACATCATCAGACCTGGAGGTACGAGGAGACAGAGAAGCGAAGAAATGGTTGAGCAAGGGAGATGGATGTCCATTTTCTAATTTGACATGCCTATCAAGTCAGTTTCTGGCGTTTTCAAACCTTTGAAGAAGAAAGTCTCTCCTCGGATCCTTGCCACAGCATCAAAACTGGTGTTACAGCGATCTATGGAGAGGCTGGAGGGAGAAAGCACACAGGGAGACTTACTTGAAGAGCTTCATGGCATCATTTAGTAGAATAAAATCAAAGACAATAATTAAAAATGAAATGTAGTTTCATTAGTAAAAATTGTGACAAATTCATCGACAACCTTTTGTTCCATGACAAAGACCAGATGCTGATGAGATGGAACTGACTTTATTTAGTAATAATGTAATTTAAAAATAAAACTACAACAATATTTTTAATGTACATTGATGACAAAAGAGGTACCTGATGGCAACAAATGGTCAAAACATGGGGACACCTCCATACTTTCAATTCAATTCAATTCAATTCAATTCAATTTTATTTGTATAGCGCCAATTCATAACAGAAGTTATCTCAGGACACTTTTCAAATAGAGCAGGTCTAGACCGAACTCTTTATAACATTATTTACAGAGACCCAACAGTACCACCATGAGCAAGCACTTGGTGATGGCTCTAAGTGGGTAGTCATCTGCCTCGACCAGTTGGAGAGAGAGAGAGAGAGAGAGAGAGAGAGAGAGAGACATAGACAGACAGACAGACAGACAGACAGAGGTGCACGGCAACAACAGTAGCAACAACTACACTAATAGTACTGACTGACTTTCTCGCTCTTTACACGGACACTAAAGGGTACCTTGTTCATCATTATGAGACGTTGATGGGCGTGACAAAGCATTGGTATTGGAAGCTCTGGGAATGACAACGGGCTGAAAAGCTGGGACGAATACTACAAACCTGATCAAGGAGCACCAAGATGTTATGTAGATAATAATGTTACATTACCAATTACATTTTTTGACTTCTACAAAAGGCAGTAGTGTAATGTAATGTTGTATTAGCATCTCACAACGACAGGGCATTGCTTACATATTGGGGTTTAGCTGAACTTAAAAGTCAGTTCTTAAAATATTATTATTATTTATTAGACATGCTATCCATGCTAAAGCTGCACAATGTAATTGCTACACACATTTGATAGTCAGGTCTTGTTGATTTCCAATGGCTCCATGCAGCTAAATATAATCTATTAGCGACATCTGCTGGTTTATCAGACAACCTGTTACTTTGTAGATAATTTAGGGAATGAGTTATTTTAGCCTAAAATCTTTTTTGAAAGCAGTTTTCAGAAGTTTGATTAGAAATTAGAGTTTGATTGACCTTGACTAAAACTAGAATAAAATGTTTATAACATTTTTGTCAACTAATCTTTTGAAATATCAAGAGTTTTAGTTGACTAAAAACTGACTAAAAATATAAAAGTAGGTTGTCTAAATATGAATATACCATAACATTGGAGTAAGACTAAAACTAAATGTAAAGATATCGTTTAGCATTTTATACAAGGTATGGGGGAAACACTAAACGGCATTGTGAAACAAATTCGGTTTGTTTTCTGAAGAAAAAAATCTGTTAATCTAATCTCTGATCTTGTGAGTCATACCCATATTTGTGATGATTGTGGTGCCCTCGGTGGCGCAACTGAGGCTCTGGGGCAAGGCGAGGAGCATCAGTAGCCAGCAGCTGGTTCCTTTTACCTAAAACAAAAGTCAAATAAATTTAAACCTTTTGACAATAAATCAGGATTCCCTTGACAATAACAATATATACATTCATGGATTATAATGGGCAGACCACAAACTCTTGTGGTTTACCTTTACTAACTACAGTTGCTAGTTATGTTTATGCAAAGCTTTTTTCTCTTTTGCAATGCAATAATTATTTCATGATTTCCCCAAGTACTCTGATCTGTCTTTCAGTGATCAATCAATTAAAAGCTGTCAAATTCTGATATCATAATCTTCTATAATCAGCTTTAAGAGCTCAAGTACTCTTAAATACCATTGCCAAAATCCTTGGCAGAAATCTTATTTATATGATTATTGATTATCATTATTGTTTGCATATGTGGTTATCACAAGAGCAAAGTTCAGCCTTTAGTCCTGAAATAAGAATATGACAACAAGAAAACAATGTTCCAAGTGTTTCTGGTGTAACGGTGGGATCATGAGAGAATCACTAAAATTAGATCACCAAACAAATATTCCTTGATTAAGAGAGAATAAAGCCTGTTATGTTTGGACCACAAAACAAGACTAAGAGTCTACAGCTAAACTAGCAGCTCTGTGGGGCTGTAGTAGTGTATACAGCAGTGCTTTGAGCTAAATGCTGACATCAACATGCTAACATGCCAACATTTCATTGCAGAGAATTTCCAGATTTTGGTCCTTTGATTCTTTACAATGCCATGCTTTCACATGAGCATCTCAGCATAATGTGAAAGATTATACACAAGACCGGGGGGAAAATGACAAGTATTCGCATGTCGCGTTGGTGGAACATAACAAGATTGTAAGTAGAGCTTCAAAATGCCAAAAGAAGAAACAGGAGCAAGAGACAAAACAATAGCATAGGCAATTTATTGAAAATTGCATTTAAAATCAAACAGGCTGTTCATCAGCTGATCAAAAGTTTAAGACCATAGCCCAAAAAAAAACCCAAAACAGAACTAAAAGTGTCAAAAAAAGGACTCAATAGTGAGTAGGCCCACCATTGTTGTTGATCACTTCAAAAATTCGTTTATACATGCTTGATGCGAGTGTTTCCAGGAGCATGGTGGGAACGTTGCTCCATGTGGTGAAGATGGCTTCACAAAGGGCATCCACGGTCTGGAACTGTCGTCCGTTTTTGTAAACTTCCCTTGCCATCCATCCCCAAACGTTCTCAATGGGATTTAGATCAGGGGAACACACAGGATGGTTCAAAAGAGCAACGTTATTCTCCTGGAAGAAGTCCTTCGTCAGGTGAACTGTAGCGTTGTCCTGTTGAAAGACCCAGTCATCACCACACAGACGAGGGCCCTCAGTCAAGAGGGATGCCCGCTGCAACATCTCCACATAGCCAGCCCAGACCATGATGGAGCCTCCTCCACTGTGCCGCCTTGAAAACATCTCCAGTGGGGTCTCCTTATCATGCCAGTAACGTTGGAAGCCATCAGGACCATCAAGGTAAAACATTTTCTCATCAAAGAATAAAACTTTCTTCCACCTTTCAATGTCCCATGTTTGGTGCTCCCTTGCAAAGTGCAAATAGGCAGGTTTGTGGTGTGGGAGGAGATGTGGCCTTTGAAGATGTTTTCTGTTCTTTAAGCCCTTCTGTCGTCGATTCCGTCTGATGGTTATTGCGCTACAGTCAGCATCAGAAAGGGTCGAGGATCGGTCTGTGTCTTCACGGACAGCCGGTTGGATCCTCCAGCTCAGCGCAGGTGAAATTTTTTTGGGTCTACCACTTGAGCTTTTTGTCCCATAAACCTCAGGATCTTTTAAGAAATTTAAAATGACTGTCTTACTGCGTCCAACCTCAGCAGCATTGGCGCGTTGCAAGCTCAACAATCCTGCCACGTTCAAAGACAGAAAGCCTTTTTGCCTTTGCCATCAGGTGGTCGTGACAGTGTGAATGCCTGATAGAAAATGACATGAAAGCCAGATTTTTGCACAGATTTGGACTTTTTAAGGCTATGGTCTTAAACTTTTGATCAGCTGATGAACAGCCTGTTTGAGTTTAAATGCAATTTTACTACTTGCAACCTGGTTATGTTCCACCAACGCGAAATGCAAATACTTGTAATAATTAAGATTTTGTTCAGGAGTGTATTGACAACAAATGGCACTATCTGCCTCAGTCCATGCAACACAGCTGTCCTCATGTATCCATAAATGCTTTACTTTAATGGCTTTGCAGCTCCTTTCAATATCTGATGATACAGTTAAACAAAACCTAACAAGACCAACAGTCTACAGCTAGCAGCTCCATGAGGCCGTAGCCTTCTTGTGTACAGCAGTGCTTTGAGCTAAATGCTAATGTCAGAATGTTAACATACTCACAACGACAATGCTAGTTCAGGTATATGTTTCATTTAAGTGTGTGAGGATGCTAACATTTTCTTTTTAGCACCAAGCATAAAGTACAGCTACGGCTGATGGGAATGTTATTAGTTTTGGACAACTTAAAAATGTGACCTGATGATGGATATAAGGTTAAGGGATCATCAAAGAGATTAATTCATCCTGAGGGGAACATGGATGTCTGTATCAAATTTCACGGCAATTCATCCGATGTTTGTGGAGATCATTCACAAAAGGTATTAGACCAAATGTCAGGGGATCCCCAAAGTCAGTCAAGTTCATCTTGTTGGAACTATTCCTCTTGGTGCCAATCCATTCAGTAGGCTAGATGTTGAGGTATTTCGCTGGATAAGTAGGTAAAACTGTAGGTAAAAAGTCAGTGGATCACCAAAGTCAGTACGATTCATCCTCTGGACACAATGGATACCTGTGCCAAATTTCATGGCAACCTACCAATGTAGAGACATGTCACTGGGTTACATATTCATATTCATATATTGATTTCATTGGACCAAAGTCATGGACTGCCCGCCCAATAATTACACTCAGGGCACCTTGTCAACTTCCATAAATAAGAACAACTGCGACTAAACTTCCTCCGGATACAGCAGCAGCAGCCGTGAAGTTTAGTCGGAGGATGTATTAAAAGTAACAAAGCAGCAGCTTGATGCTCATGCAGATGCATTTGGACAGAGGTTTGCATATCCGAGCACACAGCTGTCTGGCTCGAGAGTTGGGGTTGGGGAAAGCATGCATTACATTATACAAAAGGCAAAATGAATTAAGGATCACTCTTTTTAAATAACAATGCAGTCACACATTTCATCGTAGAGAAATTTCCTGATTTGGGTCCTTGGATTCTTTACAATGTCAGGCTTTCACATGAGCATCTGAGTGTTATGTGGAGGATAAAACTCACAACAAATAGCACTTTCTCTCTGTACTTTTTCAATAACACACCAGAGGTCAGTCCATGCAATGAGTTCACAGCTGTCCTCACTCATCCATAAAAGCTCCACTTCTATGCCTTTCATGGCCCTTTTTAATATCTGAAGATGTTAAGCCATAATAATGAAGTCATTATGTCTCCTTTCTTTGGTTTTGTGCTTAAAATATATGCATTCCTACATGCCAACCAGGGAAAATTATAAATCATCATGTGACCAAAAAGTTTTTTTTACTTTTTAAATTCTCATGGTGGACATTGTGACATGCCACACACAGGCGGGAGAAAGGTATATCTACCGTAGAGCTGGGTGATGTGCTCCAGATCTTGGGGTCCCAGGCTGTAGTGGAGAGGGTCTCCAGTAGGACCCTGGTAGTAGGGCCTCATCACTGAGTGGCGGGAGGAGGAGTGAGCAAGGCCCAGTGCATGGCCAAACTCATGGACCAGCACTGTAAACAGGTCAGTGCCATCAGAGGCTGGGAAGGAAGAGAGAGAAAGACAGAGAGATAAAGAGAAAGATAACTGATTAGAGCCCTGTAATCAGCTACTAAAGGATGCAATGTTCATTACACACCACAAGATAGAGCTGTTGGACAGAACAAGCAACATACTGACAATGTTGGTTTTCAAAGAGTCTTGTTGCAAAGGCATCATACGTAAAATTTTATGTCTGAGTGCCACGACAGAAGAGGTTGGAGTCACCTTATGCATGACATTTTTCCACTGGGGAGCATGAATGTTTTGAGTTTAAATTGTTTATAATTTGTATCATTTGTGTTTCAACTGCATGGTACAGCTTGGCTCTACTCGACTCGACTCACTATTGGCACAAGAGTTTTCACAAATTATTTTTAAATTATAGAGTATAGCCAGACAAGAACATTAAGCATTGCAATGGACAGCCATTTTGATATATTTTTTGTAGAAGTAGACATTATAAAGTAGAAATTCGTCCTGAGGATGGTGCTAGAGGAATTTTGAAGTCCTCTGAAACGAGACAAATTAAATTAAATTCAATTCAATTTTATTTGTATAGCACCAATTCATAACAGAAGTTATCTCAGGACACTTTTCAAATAGAGCAGGTCTAGACCGAACTCCTTATAGCATTATTTACAGAGACCCAACAGTACCACCATGAGCAAGACCTTGGTGAAGGGGGCCTCTTAAAAGGCAAAACTGCCTTTTAAGAGGCAGAAACCTAGGACAGACCCCGGCTCTACGTGGGTGGCTGTCTGCCTCGACCAGTTGGGGTGAGAGAGAGAGAGAGAGAGAGAGAGAGAGAGAGAGAGAGAGAGAGAGAGAAGAGGGAGAGACAGAGAATGAGAGAGAGAGAACAGAGGTAACGCAAGAAGGACAGAGACAGAGACAAAGGTGCACAGCAACAACAGTAGCAACAACTACAATAAAAGTAGTAGTAGTGACTGATGGTGATAATGATGATACAGCAAGTTTAATGAAAATCCAGCCATTACTTGTCAAGATACCTCACGAAGTGTTGGTCAAGAGAAGTAGTTAATAAAATCCCAATCATAAACTCACTCAGGGGTCGTCAGTTTACTAAATGATAAAAAAGGGGTTGGGAACCACTGGTCAAGAGGACATTTTGGCCTGACAGAATCAAGAGCATTGGAGGTACTACTGTTGTGAGACATGATGGAGAATTGGGCTTTTAAGTTATAGAAGGATTTGTTAAAAAAGTTGAATTGTTAATTTTTTTCTATTGCTAGTTTATATACTAAATATCAAAGTGCATCCTGTTGGATGTGGCAACAATTACAAGCAGAATGTGCTACGTGCTGCGGCGTCAATGTGAAATACAGATGTGATAATATTAGAAGATGAACTGTAACATTGTTCCACCTGGTTGTCTGAAAGCCCACTCCTCCTCTGCGTCCAAATGAACTCCTCCTGCCCGGGCAGGGTCTGATGGGAAAAAAGCATGGCCGACTGCACCGCCTACCCCATCGAAGGGATAGCCATCACCATGGTAACCATGGAGGAAGTCTACCTGTAGGTCTGCTGCCTCTGGACTGCTCACCTAAAAACAGAGGGCAATAGAGGAGAGGCTTGGTGGGGATTTTCAGGGCAAATTTAGGAAAACTATAGTAAAGGGCAGTAAGTATGTGTGGCTAGGCATGGGTAGTTGTGCCCAGCTGCTGTCCCAACATTGTTTTTCCACCAGCCTTGTAGGCAACTCTTACCCGGTTTCACTGCCAAGTCGTCAAATACTGCTGCTTGACTTCAAAATTGGACGCTATAGGTGCCCCTCTAGGTCATTTCTGGGTTCAGGTGACATGGTATACAAAGTGAGAAAGTCCGCATATGAAACCAAAAGTAAACAATTTCTTACATGAACATACTTAAGTTACATCAGGTACGTAACGTGACTTACAATCTTTTCTAAGCAGTTTTTGTGGCTAAATTAAATTGAAAAGCTTTCAGAATTTTAACCACACATTTTGAAAGTCTAATTGGATGTTGCGTATTTATTATTGACCACAGATCACTGCATGTCCCGAAATGACACTAGAGGGATACCTACAGAGTCATATTTTGAAGCATAGGGCCCCTGACCAAGGGTAGTATTTGGCAAGTTGGGAGTGAGAATGTGATGTATCTTCCAACTTTTCCATATGTCAGTAATGCAGCATCAGACAAATGTACCAACCTCATGGAACTCCAGGGGTGTTGGCTCTGCCCACACTCTTAAAGCATAAAAGACCAATGAGCGAATGGTTTCCCGAGACAGACGGGAAGAGGAGGGGTACGAACGCAACCTAAGAATGTAAAAGAGCGTATTTGTGTAAGAGAGAGTCCAAGGGAAAGACCCAGTTACAGATAACTTGAGGCAAATAAATGTGGGTCTGTAAAGTTCACATCTTAATTAGAAATAGAAATTACTCATGTTTGGTCCAGTTTTCCAGACCATAATCTGGTGTAGATTATGAAAAATGTATCTTATCTGACCTCCAGTTAATGTTCCTGCGTGTCCACATGGAGATAGCCCTTCTCCTCCGCCTCCTCATGTTTCTCCCCTCCTGGTTGGCTAGTAGTCTGGATGGTTCGTCTTGGTCAGGAAGGGAGCAGCGCGGGCTGTTCATCAGTGCCATTGTCTCTTCATCTGAACACACCAAAGCACAGAGGAACCAGAGGAAACCAGAGGAGTCACATATAGAATACCAGATTCAAGAAGGAGTAGCCTAAACATCGGTTTGTTGAGTTTTACAGCAATCCTCACCTACAACCCCAGTGTCTTTGAGGCCTCCAAACCTCTGCATGGCCCTCACAGCATCAGTGACAGCTGTCCAGGCCTGTAACTGACCAGTGGAGGGGTCTGAGGGTGGGAGGTAGCCATACTTTATCAGCCAATCCTATGAGGAAAGGAGAGCAGATAGTCAGAGATAGAGCAGATAGTGGAGTAAATACAGTTGGCAACCATGACTAAATACATGCTGAAAGTGTCTGCAAACAGTTCATTGCAAACGCAAAATGTTCATACTGAACCAATGTCTTTTTCATGGTTATGTTTAGGTTACTCAAAGTCTTTGATGCTGGAAGCTTGTATTGTCTCAGCCATTCAAGCACTTTTAGATTCATAACATCATCACGTGAGTTGGACTGAGACCCAAACCCAAAGTCCAGACTCAACGTCCCATAAAATAGTCACCCTACTGTACATCTTGCATCCCTCCAGCTAGTGATAATTAGCAGACAGCAGGTATGTTTAGGGTTGCAGCAGTATATACCGATACCATGTTATACTGTGGTATGTAAATTGACAGCTATCATTCAGTATATATTTGCTTATCTATTCTATCGAACTATACTGCAGTAATGTTAAAGCGTTTGTTTAACCAACCATCACTCCTTTAGGGGTTCAAGGGTTATTATGACTGATGATGAAAATAGAATTGTGTAATACTGTATACTGTTAAACAGTAAAACTATGAACATTTCTGAGATGGTTATCGTACCGTGAAGATCTCATACCATTGCATCCCTAGTGTTTATGTATGTCTTCTTCAAATGAGCTCATATACATAAGTCGGATATGCACATGTTCAGTCACAGATCACTGTAACTGATGTATTTCAAAATTTGCATTCCCTTCTTCCTGCCTTCCTTATAAATGTTCATGCTGTTTATTTTACCACCAGCTGGGTGCTCTCATCTTCAGTGGGTGTCACTGGTGCAGAGGAGGGTGCGGGGGTTACGTCAGCAGTGGATGCTGTTTGCATCCATCCAGTGCTCAGGCACAGAAAAAGAAGCCACATCTTCATCTTGTCTGCATGTTTTATGCGAAATATTCACTTGAGAGATATCTCAATGATGTAAATCCATCAGTGTCAGAGAGGATATTCGGACCCTGGAGTGGCATCAAAAAATACAATGAAAATTTTAAATTTGGAAACAGCTGCAAGTATTATTAATACAGCAATAAAAGAAAGGCAACAACAACAAGTATAAATTGTAAAATGTTGCATTAACTGAGGCCAATATTTTTAGTACAAGAGCATATTACAGTAGAAAAGCATGAAACACAAATTAAATACAAAAAATACTGTTATAACAATTTTGCTATTCTAATTCAATTTGTTAAGCTTATGAAACAGTTCATACATTCATAATAATCAAATACACAAACAGGGTTGCCACTGTGTGAAATATATCCACTGTTATTGCTTTAATATAGTTCTGTCTTGGTAAAAGTAAAAATATTAGTCCACCCTTTTTCAGCAGTCACACATACAATGCAGAAACAGCCCTTCTAGAAGTTCATTCACACAGTGTTAGAAAAGCCCATTAAACAGGAACTAACTCATTCATTGACATTCAGAGACCAATGCACAGCATCAGGAGCATTTTGAGGTTCAGTATCTTGCTCAAGGATACTTCGACATGCAGCAGGAGTTGGGAATTGAACCAATGACCTTCCAATTAGTGGAAGACCTGCTCTACCTCTGAGCTAAATATTCTTAAATATAATCAAATTTTCTTATGTTGATAGCTTGGCTAGAATAAGCATAACAATCTTAGGCACTGGAAGACTGTAACAGAACTTAAAACTAGAAACTAGAATATAAGCTAGTAGTGCTTATTAAAAGCAATGAAAACTCAGTTCTTTAAGATAGATTTGACTAAAATAAGCATTTTGGTCACTTTATTGAGCTGATTTTAAGAATTTCTACCTTGTTTTGTGGTTTGTTTTACCATTTTTTATTAAAACAATGAAAAACTAAAAAGCTGTTTCATTTCCAACACTGGGACAAGACTGCTGTCTCTTAAACTGAGAAGTTGAACAAGTAGTCTTCCTCTTAAAACCAGGAAAATAATCTTGTTCCTCCGCTGGGATATTATACAAACCATTGTTGGAACTAGTTACTGGTTCAATTGAGCTCAATATTAGCTCTAATATCTTATTAAGAAACAGTTAGATATATTTTCTTAAAACCAGATTACTTTTCTAATGCAACACATTGACTCGACAAGATTTTTTTTCTTTTTAGACAAAAACTAAGACTCATTACCCAGAAACAAGGCTTTCTTACTGTCTTGAGATGCACTGTGATTGTGGTACCAGCCGGTGTTAATTTAAGCCTGAAATTGATATGGGTTGATCAGAAGTTTCTATATTGATTAGAAAACGATTTACAGAAGAGCTTCAGAATTTAGCTTCAAAGCAAGAGTAAGGGAACTATTACAATTATTTTATATATAATTTTAAAAAACAATTGCTATTTATTGTTTGTTAGAATATGGATATTGAAGCCTTTTACTCTGCAGTTGAAAGTTTTTTTTCATAAAAGTTGCTATATTTATGAGAACAGATACTGACACATCTGACTCGTCTGTACCGGATACTCGTTTCAGCCAGGTACTCGCTTAACCCTTGTAAATACAATATATCCTACCTGTTATACATTGCAATGTTATCATTATCATTACTAATGCATTAACATGCTCACAGAAGCATTATAAGAGTTGCTTATAGTTGCCTAGACAAACTGGTTTTAGGTAAACTCAACCAAATCTTTACCACAGAGATGGAAGGTCTAAAAACACCATTGAATGCTCTCTTTAAATTAACATTAACATCCCTCCATCACATACAAAATGCTTCTACAGTGTCTTCACTAACATTGGAAAGGAAAGAAGGCACTAATACATGTAATAAATGCCTCACCTGCTTTGGCTTTTTATGCTTAAATTATTCCTGGTCAATGACTTAATTCTCTCGCTGCACAATCGGGAAAAACACTGTGACATCCAATGTCACGACAGCATGAATGAGTTAAAGGAGTCAGTGAATGAAGTTGACGGGAAACATCCATACTGTATTCCCACTGGGGAGATGATATACCAGATGCAATCAGAAGATGGAGGAAAATTACCATAAAACACAGAGGGGAGGGCACCGTAACTGCTGTACAGGACAGTGGTAGATGTGAGTGTGTGTGTCTGTGTCAGAAGATGCTTCATTTAATTAAGTTAGAGGGTATACCATTTCAGTTAAAGCATGGGGGGCAGAGAAGAAAGGATGAATGGAGGAGGAGAATAGTGTTAAAGTAATGAGATTAAAGCAGCAAAAAGAGGAGAGGGCAAAAGCCTGTTAAGAACCAACAAACATTCTCCCTTAAATCAAAGGTCATATTAACCTAATATTGTGAAATACATTTTTAGATTACACCCTATTTCTTTAGTTAAAAACTAGCATAAAAAGATTTTTTATCATAATACACACCTAGGTTGTCTGGTTGGCCATGACCCTGTACTAACTGTTCGTGAGCTTCTGTCACTAACTTGTGGACTAACTTGATTTTTTGTTCGTTTTGGTTATTGAGATGTATTATATTATTATTAATTATATATAGTTTTTAGGATTTAGTGGCATGGTATAGTTGCAGATATCAACCAACTGAATACCCCTCGCCTCAACCTTCCCTTAGAAGCACAAGGGATTTGGTTTGTCCATTCTGGGCTACTGCAGAAAAATGGTGGTTCAACATGGCAGAATCAGTGGAGGGGGCAAGCCCCTGGGAAGAGGGCTTTGAAGCCAATTTGACATAGTGGCCAAACTGTATAATGACAACAACAGGAACAATTTGTCAATTTCTTTTGGCTTCATATACCATGAGCAGTTTCCATAGGAATGAACATCCATGGGAAGATTAAAACAGCTCATTCTAAGGTAACAATTTTTATTTTGGGGTGATTATATACTAATGCAAACATATATTATATTCCATTTCTGACACTAGATCCTCCTAAATGTTACACACTAGACCTTTGTTGGGGATCAAATTATAGAATAAATAATAAATGTTACACATCTCATCCATATATCTTGAAAACTGACATTTTGTTTATGTTTTTTTAAAAAGACAGACATTTTAAAATTAGACTCAAAGCTGCATTCAAATATTTTTGTCCACTTGGGGGCAGCAGAAGTAACGGAAAACACAACATAAACCTACCATTCAAATACCTTTAAAGTTGACAACATGTTAGCCAATAGTCGATTTTTGCACCCAGCAGACACAGAGCAGTGTTAGCATTTATTTGGAGTCGTGTTTCTGACCACTTGACAAATTCAAGACCAATATTCACTCATCTTTTAGCTCTGTTTTTGGTCCCCACCAACCCCTGAGAAAACATCTGTTAGCTGTTCCATTTTTTTCCCAACCTAGCCACTAACTTTGTCTGTCTGCTGTTTAGTGCTGGTAACATATTGTCAGTTTATCAGCTTGAGAGCAAAACAGTAAAGTTGTGGGCCATAAAACCAAAACAATCAGCTGAAAGAAGCTAAAATGCTCTACAGAGCTGAATGATAATCCTCTGTGGACTCATCACCATAAATAACCCCCTTCACATTACACACAGTCAGAATATGGTTTAGTGCTGCTTTAAAAATTAGTTACAGAGAAAGACATTAAAACAACAAATGTTTGTGACATTGTCTAATGTAGGCGTGTCTTTTTTCCAATTTGTGACTTTGCATCATTTCACTTTTTTGTATGTGTTTTCCTTTTGGACTTCCCATTAATGAAATTGAAATTGTAGAAATCATTTTCCAGAATGTTCCCCAAATGTATTATTATTTTCATTTTTTAGTAGACTTGATTTGCAGCTTTTTTTTACAGACACATTTCAACCAGAGGGAACTGAGAATGCGTACAGTCAGTGTTTGGAAAATGTATTTCAACTGTGAGAAAGATTAGAAATCACACATTCATAGCTGCATCTTGAGGACACTGCAGACCTTCATAGGTTGAATCCTCAATTTTCTTTACATGTTAAAATTTTACTAGTTTCAGGGCAAGAGAATTCAATTAAAATTACTCAGAATTTCCACACCAGAATTAAAATCTTGGCAGCGAGCTCAGCTAAATCTAAAGGATTTTCATGCAAAATGTGCCGACAATATAATTGAATATATATAAACTGAATTATTTTAAACCTATTTTTGGTGAAATTGGGGGGTGTCTAAAATCCTTGTGGCCCTGCACAGATTCTGAAACTTGAACTGAATAGCTATACAGTCACTGTATCACTGATCGCAGCTGTACAGTAATTCTCATTATAGGTCTTGACACATTCAATATTGTTACCATCTGGAACTGGCCTCCAACATCTAACCTTTCACTGCAACATCAGATAAACCCACATAAAATGCCAAACACTCCAACTCCAGATCCAGCAGACAAACTGCAACCTTCAGACGAGTTAAAACTTCAGTGCAAAATAAACAGAAAGATGTTTTCACGCTTACCTTCCTCCTCCTCCTCCTTTGCATCCGTCCTCACTCTCTCTTTATCTGCCACTATGGGAACAGATGGGTCCTTTCTCTGCTCTTGCTTCTTCCCCTCAAAGCCCAGCTCCTAACCCCCCGCCCCCCACCCCCCTTCTACCCCACCCACTGCCATGACAAATGTAGGCTTGCATGTTTGCAGAAAAAGCCTCTTTTCTTTCACTTAAGAAGATCTTGACTCCCGCCTTACTTTGCTCTGTCGCTCTCTGTCCCGTCATCTGTTGGCTCCAGGTTCAGACCAATATCTAACACATAAATGTGAGCAATTGCTGTCATTTCATGTAATTCCTCTGCTCTAAAATTAAAACAATTAGTGCCAGCGCTGCACTCTCTGTATGTAGAATCCTGTGCTTTGACCCGGGAGGATTAGTGAGTGTCACACAGCAAAGATGGGTTTAGATTTTGAGTGTGTGTGTGTGTGTGTGTGTGTGTGTGTGTGTTTGCATGTGTACAACATCTGCATGTTCATGTGTGTCTTCTCTTATGATGGCATTAACATTTTACGCAAAATCCTCTTAACGCCAGGATTAAAACTAAAATGAAGACGAACAGATTTCTCTCTCTCTCTCTCTCTCTCTCTCTCTCTCTCTCTCTCTATCAGTGTTTCTTTTTTCATGTTCTTTCTTTGTGTTTAAGCCAGTGGACAAGTGTTTAAGGTTTAAGTGTTTAAAGACATTCACCCAAGTTAAAAAGCAGAGAACACAAAGTGGAATCACCTGTTGGAAAGATTGACATGAGCATAATATGAGTGTATGTTGAACTAGTTCATATCTTCCATGTTGCTGTAGGCTGATTCATGTCAATACTAATATTCTTTCTTGAGTTGTGGCGCAGGCGTCCCCCGGGTATCATTAAGTTCCATCTAATCTGCTCTTTGTCTGCAGAGGGACAATGGCTGATAGTAAAAACACATGTAGGGCCGATGTGATGTTTTTGCAGGAAACCTGATTCCTCTGATCTGTTTCTGTAGCAGGACGGGCGCTCACATGCTAAAACTGTTATTCCTCTGTGTAGATTTACTTCATTCGTCACAGGCATTCTGACAATGTTTTTGAGCTCGCTGCTTTTACCTTTAGAGCCCAAACACACAAACATTTATGATTCATTTAAATGGAATCACAGCGGGTCACTGCAGTGTGGTCTCCACTCAATTTCCACTACAATTCAGGTGTGACTGTGTGTTTCTACCTCAAGGGCTTTCCATAACAGAGTTGTTTAAACATATATGTGTTAAAGAGAACCAGATAGATGGTAAATGGACTGGTTGTAGAGGGGGCTCCATTCATTGCTATGGAAGCTGGAAGCCAAAACTGTTTGACAAATTACCCCAATCTTCCGCATGTGCTTCCGCATCGAGGGGCCCATAGAGCAAGCACACTAGCAACTTCCACTGGCTGAGCTGCTAACTTCAGGTTCAGCCCTTCACTAACTTGAATAGGGATAAATGATTTAATCGGGCAGCTCTCCTATACCCTTTTTCCACCGACGCAAAACCTAGTGCTTGTTCTATGCTGGTGCTAGTGCTGGTTCAGAGTTGGTTCAACTTGAGAACCTTCTAAGAACCGGTTTGCAAGACAGCCACGTCATTGAGTCACTGTATACATCTCCACTGTTAGCTACTGTCACCAAGGTTACGCTGGCTAGCTAACATTACGCAAGCAGGCATGCTACTAATTTGTCACATCAATGTTACAAACCTCAAACAAAAAAACCAGAACATTGATGTTAGCAGCTGTATTTGCTTGTGTTAGCTGACCAACAGCTAGCTAGCTCGCTCAGTGTTACATTCATAACATCTCAATAAATACCGTACAAAGCTGCTGGCCACAAGGCACCGCAGTCCCTGCTGTAAGTGGTTCTTGGTTCTAGACCCTCAAAGTGTTGGTTCCACGCTGGATTCCTGTCGAAATGCAAAAAATGGTTCAAGATTAGGCTCTGAACCATCCTTCAAACTACCTTAGGGTAACTAGACTTTCAATGTTACTGGACAGAATGGATCAAATTCTGACAGTGAAATCAATCGTTTTGTGGTGGTTGTGATCTTTCACAGTGTAAGCTTACGGGAAAAAGTATTTTTGGGCCAGTGTGCATCACATGACGGACGCCACTGCTGTCATTAAACGATTGGGCCACTTTAAAGCCCAGTGCTTTACCTGTGGGCTTGTGTTTTTGGCAGCTACAACGAACTTTCATTTTGTGTTGACTCGGGCGGCCCCTGTGCACAAAAGTGGTAGCAGTGGTACCGCCTTCTCTTATTGATTTTAAGGGGAATACAACTGAATCCAACCCCGTGGCAGGCATACAGCGCTGACAATTACTACACAGAAATGGCCAGTTTTCTCACTGATGGTCATATAGAGGCATCCCTGTTAAACTGAGACTGTTCAATAACCAGTTTTTAAAAACTTCTTGTAGTATGTTTAAATACCGTTAACCATTATTTACACATTTAAAACACCATGATGAACACATTTTGGGGATTTTTAAATAAAAGGACATCATTTTGACCATTCATGACCATGGCAGCAGTATTTGTGACAAAATACTAAAATCATTTCAACACAAACATCCTTAATACTGTGACATCTCACAGTCTTCCTCAGCAAATATAGCTGGCTCTGATGTCATCTCCAAGCAATTTAAAGTGCTTTACATAAGATAAAAGGCATACAGAAAAGAAACACATATAAAAAGACAAATATAATTAGGATTTTAGAAAGAGTGAAATAAAATAGTAGATAAAAATAAAGTAAAATAGAATAAATCAGAAGTACAAACATTAGAGCACAGCTACAGTGTAGTGCAAGATAGAAATAAGGCATCCCAAGTTTAATTCAATAAAGACAGTGGCAAACATAAAAGTCTTTGGCCGTGATTTAAATGAACTGAGGGTTGGAGCATTTGTTCCAGATATGTGGTGCATACAAAGTCCGTACTGCTTCTCCGTGTTTAGTTCGGACTCTGACAGTAAGCAGATCGGTCCCAGACCATCTGAGAGGTCTGGACGGAGCAGCAGATCAGAATGGTATTTTAGACCTAAACCATTCATACCAATGATAATGTGAATCCTCCTCTGTGTTTCTTTTCTTTGGAGCAGCTAGTGGTGCAGTTAGCCTCATGGCTTGCTTTTGGTGCTGCCTAAAACTGTATCAACATGCAAAGGAAGCACAGGCCGCCAGGGAATTTTGTATAGTATCATTTTTGTATATATAAGTTCTGATAAACTGTGTGGCCCCAACAGCCAACAATAAAGTTAGTGACTACCTGGTGAACGCAGTGAACCATTAAGCTAAAGCATTCAGCTCAAGAGCCAGGTATTTGTGTTAAAAGAGAGTGAATATGGAAAACCGTCAAGTGATCAGAATACACCTCCAAATAAATGCAAATATTTCCCCGCTTCATGCACAAGGTAACTGTTTGCTAACACATTCACCTTATCAACTTTATTAACATGACAATATGTTAACATTGTGTTTAGAGGTTGTTCTGCTGCCCCAAAGTGGAATAAACAGTGAATGTAGCTCTACTAATCAAGATCTTATGTTAGCAATATATTTCAGATGTAACTAGCTAGCTATTGATTGATGTATATTAGCTAGCTAGTTAGCTAGTGTTCTTCTAACCAGCTGACTTAAGATGTGACTATATACATGTCACCTTTATCTGTTAACCATCTTCAAAGTGTGGTTGTCTTTTCAACATAGATTAGCCTAGCACATAGCATATCTAAGTACAGGAAAGGAGGAAGTTGACCGAGGCTTGCTCTGTTGTTATTGGAGCACAAGAGCAAAAAGGGGCGGGACCTAGGAAGAGTCGATTAAAGTTCGATTCCGTTTAGTGTAGCAATGTTTTTTCTGGAACAGAACCTCAATTAGTATCATAGGTAACACCTGTGTTTACCCTACTATTTTATGCCAGAATCCTGCTGTGAAAAAGCTCTTTTAGTAAAGGTTGTTTGTGATGTGTGCACCCTGACAGGACTACCTGCAGACACTACTCGGGGCAATAAAAAGTACACCCTATGCTAATATTCATATTTACAGTTAATATTGTCCTAAAGCGACACTAGATTTTGATAAAGCCATATGTAGATAAACAGATGTATGAAACAGTATCAGTCCTTTCTCCTTTTATTCAGTATATGATCATATGAACACATACGTTTCTGGAGATTAAAAGTTTCCTGTGTCACCGGGACAACAGGCTACTTCCTCATGAATGCAGCTGCTGGGACAGGTCAAAGGTCAGTTGGGGGGGTAATGGTTGATGGATGCTGGGTGGGTGGCTTGGGTGGGGATCATGGTAAATACATGAATGGAGCTGTGTGTCTGGGACTGTGTGGGGCTCATCCTGCTGTTGTCCATAGCAACAAAAATGCTCTTTTTGGACTGCGTGGTGTCTCTGGTAACTTCTCTGAATGACCACATCTCAAGTCCTGCACCCATAGGATCCCTCTGGACACAGCTGCATTCCAGTTAGACCGATAAAGGTTTATAAAGGCCTGTGAAGATATTTGGAGGTTGAACATTTTGTTCTGATATTTTAAGTTTGCAATTATTTATGCTAGAATTACCCCCCCCCAAAAAAAAAATGCAACAGATATGCAGTGATTCTATGATAATTCTATTTTGGGTGGAAATGTCTCCAAGACTGATGTGGATATCTGATGGTGGAGTATCTGTGGAGCCATTAGCCTGAGGCTTACAGGCTAGTACACTGTATAAAAATGTTATTGACAATGGCTCTCCCTGACGTTGGTCTGACGTAGCTGACCTGTGGTGGCATGGTGATCAGATGGTGGTAAACCGCCAGAGGAGCTTTGGGTGGAGGAGAGGAGAGCTCCACAAAGAGAGCAGTGTTAAACTGTGATTACTGATGTGGCTGTCAGAGCTGAGAGGACAGTGATGATGTGGTCTCATTTATATAATTATTCAATTCTCAGATCAGAATAGCTTAAAATGGAATTTGGTCATAAGATCTTATTATTAAACCCCATCTTTATCAGTCATTTAAAGGGACAGTTCACCCCGAAATCTAAAAGACATAATTTTTCTCTTACCTGTAGTTCTATTTATCCATTTAGACTGTTTTGGTGTGTGTTTCTGATTTCTGGAGATAACGGCCTTCTCTCCAATATAATGGAACCAGATGAAAGAAAATAGTTCCTAGATGAAACTGCTCACAACAAGGTCTGTGGATTATCTTGAGGAACTGGGTCATGATTTCTGGAAAGAGGCATTTCTGTTGAATTTTTTGGCAGGCTGATATCTCCTGATAACTCAGCAACTAAGAGGAAAAATATGTACTTTTATTTTGGGGTGAACTGTCCCTATAACCATAAACCCACAACAAAGACTTTTTTGGTTTTGTTTGGTTTTTGATGAACATTAAAGCGGTAGTTCACCCAAATTAACAAAAACACATATTTTCTCACTTACATAGGTAAGTAAAAGATTATACAATATTGATACAGTTATAGAACTGTATCAATATTGTAAAATGTTTTATATTATGTAGGTAGAACAGATGGCCCACATTGCCACTTGTGCATTTGAAACATGTCTACCTATTTCAGAAAACACCATTAACTAACTAAGACGCAGCATGCGTTGAAGAAACCGAACCACGTCTGTCAAAGTACTCTTCTCCCCTCCTGACATCACCGTCAGCAGAGGTGGCTGGTGGATGATGTAGTACTGGAATAATAATAATACAGCATGTGTTTCTGGAGTTGTTTGGCTACAGTAACACTCACTCCTACTGATTTTCCATCACCTCTCTACCTATTTCCTGTAGCGCTGACAATGGTGATGAATAGTACAGACAGTTTTTTGGCAACACATTTTGCACCAAATTCTACAACTGAATTTTAAGGTGGAAGAATAATTCACATCCTTTAATAGTAGAAACACTATAAAATAATAAAATAGTAAAAATAAATAAAATACTTTATTATAAATGAAGGTACTGCATTCAAGATGATAAAAAGTAAGTAAGTAAGTAAGTAAGTATCATTGGCTAATTATAATGAAAGTATCAAAAGTATAGGATGGTAAATGTTCAATGTTACATTGCTAAATATTAGCAATTATAATGTTGTACTTGGTCAATGTAATGTCAGTTACATTATATACTACTGTATATAGCCTACTGTTATACTGGGCAGTTTATTCTGTAGCAACACATATTTTACACAAATATTAATCTGCAAATGCATCTGCATGTTTATCTTCCTTTAATTGGCACCTATTTTCATAATCATCATTTTTAATCCCTAATAAACAATAAAATATGTTTTTGTCATATTTGCTGAAACTTTCACTGTATCCTGACAGTAGCAGCAGCAAACATGAGACAGATAATCTGTGTAAAAGGTTCCTCTGGCTCCTACTCGTGCGGGCATTTGCAAGAATCTACCGGTGTAAATGAGAACAACTAATCTGTAGCAGATAAATATTTGTTTGTCTGAAACTCTTCGCTGAAATGTAGTAGAGGCAAACCACTTTAAACATGAAGTGAAAAGACTACACAGTACTTAAAATGATCTTAATACAGAAACCCTCATATTGTCTTATTATAGCAGGTACTCGCTTCCTGTAGTATTTATAGTTTTATAGAGCATCTTTGGTATTTGGAATTGTATACTGTGTTCTAACCATTTTTTAGACGGTTAAAATCAGTTTACCCTGAACTTCATTTTACTGTTTACTGTTAGCTTTCTCCGCTTTTATTTTGAAGGTTAAACTACCGGTGTCCTTCCAAAACATGGATGCTGGTGAGTCTAGTGCATCCCTAACTAGTTAGAGGCTGAGTAGGACCGTATGAGACCAACAAGATTATTTCAAACTAGGTCCTTGTTTTGTCTCCTGGAGGTAAAAAAAATCAGCAGCCATTGTCCTCTTTTTCCAGTAGGATTAACGGTCTGTATAGATAGGTGCTGTCCACGGTGGATAATGTAGCTAACGTATACAGATCAGGTATTTACTATTTTCCGTAAAGGTCGTTTGGTTGGTGGTGGATAGTTGATGGTGAAGGGTCTGTTACCGCTGGCATAGCATTAAACGATTCGGCCAAAAGAGTGGAGATGCCGGGGATTGAACCCGGGGCCTCATACATGCAAAGCATGCGCTCTACCACTGAGCTACATCCCCAGTTGTAACCGAGGGGCGATACGAGGGTATTAATATATTACAATGCCTGTTACGATCAGACATAGATATAGGGTATAATAGGTATTGTTTATGGGGAAAGAAAAATAGCGGTCTACACCGGAGACCAGTGTATTTTATATAGTGTAACGTTAATCTTAAATAACATTGCTATAACTTGAAATACAAACTTCATAAAAAAATACTACCCCACCCACACTTTTAATAATGTGTTTGAAAAACAACGTTAAGTTACAAAACAGCTACAAATTTGCCACCCAACATCAGAACAAAATCCTTTTTTAGTCATTAAACCTACTGAAACGGTGTAGACTGCGAGGAGAATGTCACAGTAGAGATATTTCTCTCCACAATCAGATGATAAACTATGAAATGTTCTCCCGTTACATCAATAATAATAATAATAATAATAATAATAAGATAATAGTTAATAATAAATCATGCTGTTACCGGCACGCAGCAGCGCCTCGTTGTCTTTTCACAATATAAAGTGTTACATTGTCATTTATAATACATTTATATTTAATGTGTTATTTTAATGTGTTCTCAAAAGTAAAACGACTTTGTTGCTGAAATTCGATGAACATGTGAACGATTGTTCACTATAAGGTTTACTGGGTATCAGTATGATGTGTTAGTGACAGGACAAGCGCTGTTCTCTATTCCACCAGCAGATGTCGCTATTGCCCGCACATGAACATTTCACCTTGCCGCCTGCATCTTTACAGCACTTTGACATGTCATCAAGTGACAGCATACACCTATGGGCCCGCAGGCGGAAACGGTAAAGACATGTATGCTTTTGTGATGTGAGTCTGTGACGTACGATAGAGTCACAACCGTTAGTCTGTAACGTAACCCTACCTTCGTCTCACCTGAACCGCTCACATCCACCTGCTGCCCGCACGGAACCAGCGGCGAGTCGAGAGACAAACCCTGACGGACTGCCAGTGAGCAATGAAATGAGGTTTTACTCCCTCAGATTTGGATGTCTGCTGGCTTTGGCTTGTTTTGTGTCGGTCACCTGGATTAAATCGATCCCCAGGGATGGAGGTAACTTTAAACCGTAATGTAACCGACCGTACTTAGAAAAGTAGAACTTTTTAGACTGTTACAAACTAATTTAGGTCTAATTGTCAGGTTCTTTGGAAACAACCACAAAATTGTGTTTAACTTGGAAAATGTGGATATTGTAATTTATTTTATTGTAAAAACTTTGTAGAAACGGTGTTTATCATGTGACAGCCGAAGTAAAGCTAATGAAGTTAAAGAAATATACGTAGGCTGAGTCAGAGACACCCACTGTGGCTGGCACACACCTGACGTTGTTTGTACAACAGTATCATAAAAGATTCTCATTAAAGAGGCTGTGGGGAAAACTATTAACAGCAACATCTGTGAAATTCCAGCTGTTGAGCTGTAAACCTGTGGGTTCTGGGGTCAGGGCACTATACTGACCCCCCCCAACACAATTAGCTAGGACGTGTCTAAAAGTTTCCTTTAAGTGGCCTACTTGAGTCAGCATTAACAGCCACACATTATGGAGAGCAGCACTAACCAGTGGTCTGCTTTCTCTCTTTGTTAGGTTTGGGTATTTAGATTTGAACAATTCCTTGAAAAGAAAACAGGTTTATTTTACTTTAAAATAACTAATTTCATAATCATCCTTTTTATTGCAAACATTTTAATGCATGATTCCAGCTTCACAAATGTGAGGATTTGTTGCTTTTCCATTTAATTACTTTAATAATTTGAATGTATTTTATATCATTTTGAGGACAACAGATGCACAGACACAAGGGATGGGCAATACCACAGAATTTGGTTGATACCATATAATAATGGACAGAGCTTCCGGTTCTGAAAAATGAAAGCAATGCAGAAGTGTCTTAAAACCTGCATTCTCTGTAAAGGCCAGCAGGGGGAGCTCCATTGGCTGCAATAACAAAGCGATCCCATTCACGCTAATGGAGAATGAGCCGGCTTTACACTTCATTTATGAGCTCAGTAAACAGTTTCCTGATGAGTTTATGGTGTCAGTCGCTGGTTTCACATCTTCTTCCATACATTATGATGTTCATTTAGTAAATTATGGTCCAATTTAAAGTAAAATAGACGATAAAGCTGCGTATGCTTTTGGGCGGGGCTACCTTTTGATTGACAGGTCATTCTCAGTGAGTCTGTCTAGCGCAGTGCTCTAAACTGAAACTGTCAAACTAGGCTAGATTCTGTTACTGCGTTGTCTAAAAAAATGATTGGAACAGTGACTCGTAAGAAGTACGTCATCCATATGGAAACTCGTTTCAGCCGAGTTCTCGCTCAACCCAAGCAAGAGCTGAAAGCAGTTCAGCTGTCATTTGACTTACTTGAAGTTTCAGTTTGAAATGACAAAATGAAGTCAGCGTCACTTAGAATTACTAAAGCTACTTGATCAAGAATGTCATTTTAACTTTCAAAATTGAGTTTGAGGGCTCCACAATTTCAACGTGTCTGTTTCAGTGTCTCCGGGTTCAGCGGTACAGCCAGAACTGCAGACACTGTACGAGCGTCTGTTGGTGGCCGAGGAGTTGGGAGGGCAGGTCAGCAGGGATCTCAGCAGCATCCTGGAACAGCTGAAGAATATCTCTAAAGCTGGCAACATCACCCGTCCCAGCAGTAACACCACTGCCACCACCATCTCCACAGGTGGTGTTTTTACCTAAAGTAAAGCGCATGTGTTAGACAGAGGTTTGCAGGAGGCAGTTCAGTTCAACCCCCAAGATCATCAACCGGTAAAAGACATTTCTGTTGTATGTTATATGATGACAACAATACTATTCCATTATACTGCCACTACTAGTGGAACCACTTCTGATGTGGCTAATACTGTTAAATTAGAGTTATTACTTTACAGACATGGCTCCATTTATCTTCTCATAGGGCAACATTGTTGTTGGGCCCCTCCCCACCACCACCATCACTTCACCCGCTTCTCCCACTGTAGTTCCCAGTAACTACAGCTCACTATCTGGCTGCAGATTTTCTTCGTCTGCCAGTTTGTAGTAATTTTGATTAAACAGAATATACACTACATGAGCACAACATAAACTAAAATAAGCTAATGATAATGCTACCTTTCTAGAAGAAATGCAGTGCTTCAATAAACAAAAAAGAAAACTTAAATGTTTAAAATATTGAAATAAAAATAATAAAGTTAAATAATTATAGCATCTTTTCAATAATTGTAATCCTCTAAGATTAGTGCATAAGCAAAATAAGCAATGAAAAATAATACTGTGCTTACAAACAATGATAACATATTAAGACTGAAAAGAAGTGAACCCAGGACAGAGCCTTGAGCAAATGCCTTTTCTTTTGTGATAAGAAGCTTGTTATAAGTAGTTGCAATTTAATAGGTAGGAATCAGTGCTGTGCTGGTGCCTCTTTCTTTTCTCTTGTCTTTATTTATAAATATATTTGGTGTTGAGGTAATCCAGTTACGTTACTTTAATGGTTTTGACACTTGGATTAGGTAACTGACTACTCTTGACTTTATTGCACACTGAAGTAATTTTGGGGCATTTTAAGCTTTAACAACAGACAGTAGAGAGCCAACAGGAAATGAGGGAGAGAAAGATGTGCCCTAAGCTGTGGGGGCACCCCACTCTTGTACATCTTAACATGTTTAATGAGCTTTGTAATGAATTAAATACTTTCTAGTAGTTTACAAAAACTTGCTCGACTTGACTGACTGTTACATTGACCTCTCCCCTTCTCTCCTGTGGACAGAAGCAGTAAGGCAGCCAGGTGGTTCAGGCCTACAGACGTTCCTCCAGCCCAACATTTACCTGTACATGCCCCACCTCAGACAACATCCAGACAGCCTCCGACCTAATGTAGTCATAGGACAGGGACGCCGTGGAGGTATGCAGCACTTCTACATAAACACCCATAAAAACCCACACCCCTACTATTATACTATTGTATGAAACCCCTGTGACTCTGTGTTTCAGCTTTATTTGAAGGATTGAACATTTCCTTTCAAAACATAGTTGATTTGAAAATGGTAAAACATTGTAGCTGCCTGAAAATGCACTGATGAAATGTCACTAAAAGGGCTGATAGCCAGTAACATCCTAAGATCAGAGCAGTTGTGACATTCATTGGGTATAGATGCCTCCCACACATCACCTCACATTAAGTGTTATTATAAAGTGTGGGTGAGGAGTGAAAGTGAGACTCTGAGAATGATAGTCATTGAAGCATAGAGAGCACTGTTCACTGCTGTTGTTTTCTTTGGCATTACCTGTGTGTGTGTGTGTGTCTTTCCTCAGTGTCCATGGTGATGGGCATTCCTACAGTGAAGCGTGACAAGCAGAACTACCTGGTTAGCACACTCAGCTCTCTGCTCTACAGCCTGACTTCCGCACAACGCCAAGATCTCCTCATCATTGTCTTCGTTGCTGAGGTTACACACACACACACACACACAAACACACAATGAATGCTGAAGAAAATGTGAGAAAATCATGCTTTAAAGATGATGAAGATATGTAACCTTTGGAAAACCAGTGTTAATAATGTAACCAGTGGCTGTATGTGAAATGCAGTCAGCATCCTGTTGCTCACCCTTGCACTCGTACAGTCGGTAGGCGAGAGCAAGCATCATCCTGGACATTGGCCAAAAGTGACATCCACTACATTAAAGACATTAAAGTAACACTCATATTTAGCATAACATTACTGTCTGCAATGTTCCTGTATTTTATTTTGACCATTGACTCCATGCTACTAACTAGCTCTCCATTTACAAATCATCCTATCAGCCAACACCATGAAGCAACCAACACCAGACCCACACTGGCAGCCAATCAACAGCCAGCTGCACAACCCCTAAATATTGTTGTAAAATGGAGTTTAAAAGATGACTTTACCAGACATTTCAGCAACATTGAGGTTTGGTTGAAAAGTTAAAAGTGAAAAGACGTCTAAAAAAGACATCCCTCTACATCTAAAAGTTTTTCAGGCTGCTCTAAGGACTTGGATTCAACCCAGTTTCAACCACAACTTCCTGATTATACTCAATGGCCCCAGGTGGTGTTAAACTGGAATACATTACACTGAGTTGTGTAAGTGTTTCTTATTTACATACATGAGGAGGGCAGAATATCACAAAGACTTCTGAATATAATTACACTACTGAATATAACTCAGTCCAGTACAACACCACTTTTAAATCAAACATTATAAAAGTATACTTTATGGCAGATCACTGGTACTGCATTGCATTAGCCTGTACAGGAACACCTAATGAGAACATTGACAAAAGTACCAATAAAATGTATTGACCTGTCAGATATCAGAAACCTCTGTATTGCCTTTGGTAGTTATTTAATTTTTATTTTAATTCATGAGGTAGAGCTTGTTTTCATTCAATAAAGGTCCAGGAGGATCTATTGAAATGGAATATAATATTCATAGGTATGTTTTTATTAGTGTATAATCACCTGAATATAGGAATCTTTGTGTTTGTTGTTACCTTAGAATGAGCTGTTTTTATCTACTGATGCAGTGAGTTGCCTTCCATGGCAGCCACCGTGTTCCTGCAGTAGCGCAGAACAAATCAAACACTGGCTATAGATAGGGCCAGTCATGTGTTTTGCATGGTCACAATAGTTTCTCCCTCGTGCTTGGAAAGGGAGGGGAAAGCGAGTGAGCTGTTATCTGAAACTACACTGCTAAATACCAGTGAGGTTGATTTCCACCAACTGAATACCCCTCACCTCACCTCAAGAAGTGCATTTCTATTGACTAATCGCAAAATGACCCTACTTCTTGTAGATTTATTTGTCTCAATCTCTAGTTTCAGTCTTCTTTTTACAGTAAAATAGACCATAAAGCAGGGTATGCTTTAGGGCGTGGCTACCTTGTGATTGACAGGTCATTCTCAGGGAGTTTGTATAGTTCAACGCACCAAACTCAGATCAAACTGTCAGTGTTGATCAAATATGGATCCAGAATCCGTTGACTATTTCTCCACCAGCTCCACACTCTCGTCTAAAATACGGTCATTTCTGGCTCCAAAAAAACATGGTGACAACAGCCATCATGCCAAACCCGAGGCTTCAGATCAGCACTCCACGAAGCAATGGGTGAAATCAAGTTGGGTTTACACTTGAGCCGACTCTGTAGATAAAAACAGCTCATTCTAAGGTAACAAAAACTCATCCATTAACTGTTTCCTGAAACCTACATTAGCCAGCGCCAATGTTTATGGTGGTCTGCCTTGGCACGGATTTACCCGCAGTAAAACACCGAGGGGGGCCGATCGCCTGCTCCGAGGTGAAACAGTGAGCGGCTGTGGTGCAGAAGAAAAGCGGGTCGTCCCCTAATTGGAAGGTTGTTGGTTCGATCCCCGGCTCCTCCCGCCACTAAGCATCCTTGAGCAGGGTCCATTTACCATTTACAGTGAGCAGTGGAGAGCTGCACACTTACCACGCCACTCCCAGTGCATCAAAAGCCCTGTGAACAAAAAGCAAATAAGAGTAATCAGTAATGTAATCCACGCAAAAGATGTACAGACGAGGAAAATAAACACTCAGCAGAATACAGTTCATTCAGGTTACTCAGGTTGGCCAAGGCTGCACTGAAGCAACAAACTCTGTAGGACCCTTTTAAAGGGAGAAATTCCCTCTAGACAGAGACAAGATCAAAAATCTTTAGTGTTTGTTAAGCTATTTTATAGCCTACTTTGTTTATTAATTATTTAGTATAAAATATGTATGTATAATTGAGTATATTAATAATAATAATAATAATAATAATAATAATAATAATAATAATAATAATCTTAATATATTATGTATAAAGAACATTAAGGAACAGCTTGGTTGCATGGAATAATTATTTTCCTAAAGCAATGCAGAGCTATTCACCTGCATTATTTAAGAAAATACAAGTATTAGGTCAGGACTGATGGGCATCGGGGGCAAAAAAACTTGATTGGTACATTTTTACCATGGTATTGAGAATCGTGGAAATTCACTGGTGTTGGTATCAACTACTAGATTTCTGGAATTGTGACATCCCTACTCCTCTCTGTACAGAAGAGCAGAGACAGACGAGTGTTCAGTACCTTTGTAGCTTCTAACTGAATCTCTGTGCGTCCCTGTTTGTATTTTCAGATATCAGCTTTATCTTTACTGTTTCGTGTTTGCTTTTACTGCCGATGAAAACCCAACATTTCCTCAATTTGCTATTTGATAATCAAAGCTTTTAAATAACAAAATAACCAGGGACTTTTATTATGAAGAATGTATGGGAAATTAAATGTGTTTATCATCAAGTTAGCGCGGAAGCTTTTCTTCAATAAAAATGAGTCTACAGACTGCAGGGAGGAAGGTGGCTGTGAACGTAACTGCTGTGAAACAATCAGAAAGAGGAAAAAATATATTTATTTGATTCACTGCTTTGTTTTCGCCAACGCTGGTCTCTCTTTTCATTCAATCTTGAGCTCGACCTTCGCGGCTCTCTGCATGTAAAGACACACCGTCAAGCCCTGTTTTAAGCCCGGGACTGTAACTCTCATACATCCAGCTGTACGCATATTCCTGAATTTCCTATAGAATAGAATAGAATTATACATATATTTGACTTTGTTCTGATATCTGCATTATATATCGGCCATCGGCAGCCCTGCTCTTTAAATACCGGCATCCGCCATAAAAAAATATCGGCCGACCACTAATGTTTATAAAGTGGTGAAATTCAACATTTTTTCACCTGATCTTTATTAAAAATAGGTCATTAAAAATGATCAATTATCGATATCGAATGTAATTTAACATTTTATCATAATATATTTTTCAGCTACATGGCCCAGCCCTTCTGAAAATGTTCACAATTAATGAATATTCCATTTACAAAACAGATGATGAACTGCCTGAGATGTCTAAAGAAACATAAGGATTTTCAAAAATATTAGAGTTGGACCAATACTGGAGTTTTTGAGACCAAGCCGATTTCATGGGGGTAAATTCACCCTTTACCGATATGGCAGCCAATATAGAACGTTTTTGAACTAGAATGAAAACCTTATTTTGAAGACCTTTTCTAAGTGGATTGTACACCAATATCACTGTTAAAAGGTACTCAGAAGGCTGCGTTTTCTAACAAAAAATTGTCAACCAATTCTAGTTAACATTGCTGAGAGCCGCTTCTTCTCTCTGACTCTGTGCTGCTTGCCACAGTATCATAAATTACAGCACTTTACACTGACAACAACAGATTACCACAAGCATTTTATGCAATTTTTTATGTAAAAAAAATCAATCAAGTTTTCATATTGGCACATAACAGTGAACATATCGATGTTCCAATACAATGTCAAGCCCAGCTGGTGACAGACCAGAAAAAGTGGTCTACAACACTATAAGGCTACTACACTAGGCACTACAGGTATCAGGGCCAATAACTTGGGAAATTAATATTATTATAAATGATCAAAATAATTAAATTATAGCCGACAATTTAACAGATAAATCGGTCCATGAAAACAATACTAATTTATTTGGAATTCTTATACAAAATTATTGATGGGCTTTATGTTCAATGAAAGGAAATGTATGTTTGTGAAGTTTTTTGATGAACTAGAAAAAAATAAAGAAAATATTTGAAGCATCAGAACTCTTGTTTCTGTTAACAATAGACCAGTTAGATCAGAGCTATGGAATATTAAATCATCCATCTTAGCTTCCTACATTAGCCTTTCTTAGCATCAGGTGTGTATAAGATATTCCTTTATTTATTCCCCTTTGGAGAAATTCAGGTTGACACAGCAGCAATAGGACAAAGTAGTGCAAAAACAGAGAACAAAGAATATCACAATAAAAATATTACTAATATTATTAATATTAGAAGATATAAAACTATAAATTAAAGTATATACACTATGCATTGTTCAAGTAGGACATGGAGTGCAAAATATAAGCAAATTATATTATATATATAATTTAATAAACTTATTGTTATCTGCCATTATAAGCAGGTAATTATCGGTTGTGTATCGGCTGAAAAAACTCCACATCGCACACTAAAATACACACAGAGGTCTACAACACAGCTTATTCAAACATTAAATACACACAGCGGTCTACTAGAGGCCTATTCAAATACAAAGTAGACAGTAGCCTACAACATCACAGCCATGCTTACCGGGAAGCGGGATCTAACATTGATTCTGGATGTTTCTCTCACCGAGTGTTGTCCCTGCCCAGCCTGCTGTAGTGTATTTATCAATTCCACCATAATCCAAAACTAAATAATCCAAACAGGTTAACGAACTCATCCTCTGCTGCTGTCCTTCGCCTTTTTGTTGTCAAACGCACAGCTCCATGTTCCCTACTTGTGCTTTCTCTCCACTTTACCGCCAACCTCCGTTAATAAAAACAAAGCAGTCCCGCCGCACGGAGCAATCAGTAGATGATGCAGTCCAGCCCATCATGTCACACCTCCACCGCCCGGCCACACTGTACACTGTCAATGGGCCACACACAGGGAGAGGGGAGCGGGTTGCATTTCAAAATAAGACAGAAAATACGTTTCCCTAAGACATAAACGCGCCCTTAAAATACAGGAGAACTGGCTGGCTGTGAGAGACAGTCCGGTACACAGAGCCTGACTACGGGGCTGCCGCCGACCTTACTCGTTATACCAGATCGGACGTTGCAGGCCCTGTGCCACAAACTACACGCTCTGTTTATACATTAAAACGGACCAAAAGCTCACTACAGTTTAACTAACTCCTGTTGCTCCAGCACTGGGTTAGCTAGGCTAACACTAACCTAAGCTAGCGTTGGCATAAATATATATAACGTTACTGTCAACGGTTGGCACTAGCATTAGCTGCTAATGGAAACCTAGTTTCTTGAGTTTACCTTCCAACTGATTAGCTAAACAAAACTTCAGCCAAAGAGGCGTTTGTATTATCCGTATGTGTGATGTGACATTATGTAACGTTATAGTGACGGAGAACTCTATTAGAGTTCACTGTGCGCGTCACTCCGTCACTCTCAGTTTGGATTAACGTACGTTGTTCAAATCCACCTTTCCTTTCTCACTAACCCCGCCCTCTTCCGCCTCCACACCCAATCACCTGCAACGTTGACTTTGGATTTTGAGCGACAGCTCAAACAAGCCACTTGATTAATAAATTAGCCATGAAATGGCATATTTTAATTTTAGGGGTTTTTTTTACGAACAAATATATCCCCCCAAGTTACTCTCATCCTGTGATAACAACAATAATAATATACATAAATAAACATTCTATAAAAAATGTATTAATTAAATATTTAAGCATAGTATATGGAAGCTTTACATTAGCGCTTTAATCTGGTTAGTTTTTTGTGTTTATGGGTTGCTCTTGGGTTTCTGATTGTAATTTTTGTTTTGTATATGTTTTAATCTGGAAAGTGCCTTTTGCTCAAAAATCTTGAATCATCTTGAAAAGAGCTTTACAAATAAAATGATTGTTATTACAGTATAGAAAGTCTAAATTTGGTGTACTGTACACAACACAACACAGATTAGGGATATATGTGAATCTGAAAAGGATGTCCAAAATTAAATAAAGTTCATGACAGGGGCAACTAGATTTAGCCACATGACATCTGGTGTTTGGTGTTCCTCTGCTGTTGATATCATAACCTCACAATTTTCCTGTAACATTATCTGTAAATTACCTCTCATAAATCCCGACAACAAAAGAAGCCAGGATTAAGTCAGGCAACACCTTTTCTTATTCAGCTCCAGCAAAATAAGATCTGCTTTCTCTCTCTCTCTCTCTCTCTCTCTCTCTTTCTCTCTCTCTCGCTCTGTCTCCCTCCCTCATTCACTCAAACACACGCTCACAGCCCACATGCTCATGCGCATGGAATGGCTGACTCAAACCTGACAGGTCAGATAGCTGGGTTTATACAGGTTTTCTGTACTAATCATAACTTATTTCAGCCTTGTTGGGGAATGGGGATACCTAACTGGTGCACAAATTAACTACCCAGGCCATATCACTCTCTCATCATCTGAAACTGGTTATACAAGGTCTGTCCTTAGGGGGACAAGCACAATGAGGTTGTCTCACACCACAATACCTCCATATTGTTCATTTTTGCAAAAACTTTCACGACATCTTGTTTGGTGTTTATTAATCACACCAGAAATCCCCTATATCACTGACTTCCTCCTTTCTCTCGCTGTCACATCAGACGGACCCAGACTATGTGGGCAGCATAGGAGAGACCATCAGGAAGAAGTGAGTAACTCTACATTACCTCCCATGGGGCAGTTTCACTATGATATTACTGTTGCTCTGTTTCATGTCTCCTTCTGTTACCTGTGGTTTCCGACAGCAGCCAGCGTCTCATGTATATGCCTTTTAAGTTTTAAACTTAGAATGTTCAGGTAAAAAAAAGAATCAGCTTGGTTCAATTTGTTATAGTTTAAACTGCAATCTTTATAAGTTAAAGACTGCAATTGAGAAGGGCGTCATTCACCTTGCTTACCCACTAAACTGGGTTTCATTTGTAGTAAGATATGGGATTTTCTTTTCACTCAGGACATGGAGAAAGTGAGATTTATGTGGACCTTTTTCAAAATATTGTAAAAGTAGACATAGAAAGGCATTTCTGTTTCTTTTCCTTTCTTCTACATCAATATCTAAAAGATTCTGAGCTTCTTAAATGTTTACTTCATTAAAAAGCATGTAATAACTCGCAGTTGTGACTCTGAAATACATTTGCAGTAAAGTTTGTGAATGTGTTAAAAAATGTTTCTTCGAAGATAAAAGTTGTACACAAATTATTTAAAGCTGCTCTAATCAATATTTTATATTAACAGTGACTGTGTGTAATGTGCAAGGTGAACAAATCCACAAGGAACTCCTTCTCTATACAGCGTTTTAGCATCTCTCAGCTCATTGTTTTGGTTTACACCAAAAACCGATTTGGTTGAGTCTCAAAGCTCTCATCAGTTGCCTCCAGCAGGCAGCTGTTTTCATTGAAAAAGCACTGCTCTGCACCAAACAGTACACAGACACAGTTAGGGCTGCCCCTAACGATTATTTTTATTATCAATTACTCAGTCAGCAATTTTCTCAACTAATCGATTAGTTGTTTGGTCCATGAAATGTCAGAAAATGGTAAAAAAGGTCCTAAAGCCCAAGGCGACGTCCTCAAATGTCCAGAAACCAGAAAATATTCCCATTTGAGAAGCTGAAATAGGGAAAATTTTGCCATTTGTTTTTAAAAAATAAGTCAAAATGATTCATAATATAATAGTTGACAGCTAATCCATTAATCAACTAATCGTTGCCACTGTAGACACAATTAGAGACTAGTGGTGCTATCCATTTGCCTCGTAAATCCCCCGCCCGAGTTGCTCTGCCGCGAGAATGTGACGTAATTGCCTGGCTTTTACCACTTATAGCGTTCCAGTTTGTCTTTGGGCATTACGAGTCAGAAAGAAGTGCAGCAGCTGTCTTGTTATAGCTTGTGGCTCATCTAAACAAGCTCAATGTGAAATAATAATAATGTTTTTCTACAGAAACACTAACATTTCAAGTAATTCCGTTATTGCAAGTCTTAAATTTCAATAATATTTTGCCATTTTCGCCTATTTCAATATCAACCTGTGCTGTGGCGTTTGTCTCGAGCCACCGGGGGCAGTGGCAGGCTAGTGTTATTGTTAGCTACATTAGCCTATTTAGCAAACCAGCTAGAAAACAAACAGCACAGCAACACCGTGCAATGCATAAATTGGTGACTGGACTAAAGCAGCAATGTAAACAAGTGTGTAAGAGCATTTAAAATTAAAATGACCAACGTAGTACAAATACAAAGAAAATACATCTCAATATGGGCGCAGCCATCTTTGTTTTGTGGGTCGTACGTTCGTCCTTGTTCAGCTCGGTGTACTGTGAGGAGCACCGAGCTGAAATTACGACCAAAAGGGGGTGTGTCTCGGTGAAATGTCGCGAGTGTATTAAAAGTGTATTAATATGCAATGTTCAGTGAATGCAAACAGTGGAGTGAACTTTATGGAAATCAACATTTAGAGTTCCAACTGTGTGTGTGTGTGTGTGTGTGTGTGTGTGTGTGTGTGTGTGTGTGTGTTAAAAACACAAGTGCTGATTGTGGTGGGCTTGAAAGGGTTTGTCTGTAGCTGGGTGTATGAGTTTATTCTGAATAATGTGGCCAAACTGTACAGACATGTGGTCTGGTCTGAGCTATCACCACAGTAAAACCACCTACAGGTGTGGTCTGGCTGATCTATATACACTCAGGTTGTAATGCATTGTGTGCTTTGTGTGTTTTCCCTCTTCAGATAAGATATCCAGACACAGATTGTATGTTAATAGCAGGAGTGAACAGGGTTACAAAGCGAGTTTCATTAACCAGGTAATCATTATGCCCTGTCTCATGTTATGCAACTGGAAAGTCTCTGAATGTTGGCTCGCAAGCAGTTTCTGAAGGAATAGTTATGACTGAATATGAACTCGTGCTGATGTGCATTTGAAATTAAACAATTAGCATCTGATTTATAGCTGCGACCAGCAGCAGTGTAGGCCTCTCTGCCGATCCCCTTTCCCACCCCTTTGGTGCTCACAGTTTTCAGACTAGGAGGCTGAATTTGGCATGGAGTCAAGTGTGTGTGTGTGTGTGTGTGTGTGTGTGTGTGTGTGTGTGTGAATGCATTTACATGTGGGTGCATGTAATATAGCAATAATACTGCACATTTGCACTGTTCCTACAATCATTTTGTGTTGATTCTAGTGGCCTCTGTGGACTAAAGCGGTAGCAGTTCTACCACCTCCTTTCATTGATTTCTGGAGGAATCCAACCTGGTGACAGGCACTAAGAATAACTATACAGAAATCAGTCCCACCAATATTTTGTGGGCTTTTTTGGGGATTGTTGCAGCCTAAAATGCCTGATTTCATGGCAGCTTTTATAAAAACATGCAATGTTTTTAGGCAGAATATGAAAATTGCAAAAATAGTTGCAATGTTTTTGTATAATTCATTTAAAATCAAAGGCAACTTTGGGGTGTTCCTAGTAACCCCACCAAAAAGGTGGAAATGATGACATCAATTTGACGACGTATGGCTCAACGTTAGGCGATGTTGAACGGGGGGAGCGTGGTGGCTGAAGACAAACAGGAGGCAGGAAAGCAGGCGATGATCCTGAGGCAAGTTTTCAGAGAGGTTTTCCGAGTCATATCTAGCACTCAGGTTGATGGTGAGCAGACTGGGAGGGATGCAGCTCAGCTGGGTGCCAGGCCCACACCAACAGACTCACAGACAACTACAAACACAGACAGAGACAGACAGGGAAAGACCGTGAGACACTAAACACTGGAGCGCTGTCACAGCCATAACATGTGTGTGTTTAGACAGCTTTACACAATCCATATATAAAAGCCCTCTAATATATCACATTGAGCATGAGTGATTGTAAAACTAACTGTTGTAACAAGGAAGTTAGATAAGGGTACAAGTACAAATACAGATTTTGATAAAGCATTTCCTGTTTTAAATTTGCACTTGTGCAGATTTTCTTTCTCTCTTTTTGTGCCGCATCAGTAATGGAGTCACTTGTGTGCACGTTGTATTTACACTCTGACTACAGTACAAGTCCTGAAACCTGACCTTGAATGTTAAAAGTTAATAATAATGTTAACCCTGGCTGGAGTCCTTACATGCATTTGAAGTGTTGCCTTGAGCCAGATTCAAACAATGTCACCTGGCTACAGCGGGGGTCATGTCATGAAGTGATGTTTAAATGATTAACATCGGAGTCAGAGGGAAGTCATACAAAATAAGGTAGTGATCAGACCAAATGTACAACAAGAATACACATTTAGAATATGAAGATGAAGGGACCCAAACAGTAGGGGGAGCGGCTGCCCCGTGTCCGTGGGTGTGTTGAATAATTGCATTGAAAAACTGAATTTGAATAGCATAATTTGGATTTGAAATTATTAGTTTAATACTGAATTTGAGCCTCACTAAAAATTCAACTTTTTATGTACTTTCAAATTCAGTTCTCTAAATTCAGTTTCAGTTCTCTAAATTCAAATGTTGTAATCTCAACTCAATTTCAAACAACTAGATTACACTTTTAAGGTCACAGACGGGTCAAGGTGTTCAGTAAGAGCAATCGAGTGCAGATGTACAGAGCTCCTTTTTGGCTAAGCAGCACGTTTGTTTTGAACATTTCCTGGACCTGTAGACATTGGCTATCAAAAACATGCTTAAAGGAGACATATTATTCCCCTTTTCAGGTTCATAATTGTATTTATTTTTATTTTTATTTTGGTTTCGTGTGTGAACCACTTCGTGTTGGACTGTTTTCACAACCTCGGTCAGTACAACACTGGACTGGCTGAAAGACTGTTCCTGGGGCACAGCTGCCCCACTGGGTCATAGCAGTGAGACACAAGGGCCCCCGGGCACGGCTCAGGGCTCCCAACAAGCCCCCTCCGGTGACCCGGATTTGCCATCCAGTCCCCCGCAAACTGAACTTGTTGCTCCTGCCTCTTCTCCTTCACCAATCCGGCCACGGAGAAATCGCAGACCCCCTGCCTATCTGAGAGACTTTGTTTGCCCCCTCGGGGACGAGGGACTTTGAAGTGGGGGGTGGGGTAGTGTAACGGGCTGTGTATTCACTGTGGTTGTTTGTGTTCAGTTAGGTTGTACTGCAGTGTATGGGTTGCTGGAGGTCTGAGGGGTGGCGCTGTCAGAGGCTGTGGAGCCTGTCAGTCAGGACAGTTGCCATGGCAACGGGGTGTGTGAGAGAGCGCCTGTGATTGGTGTATTGTTCGTTGTTGTGGGGCTCCGAGGAGTGAGAGTTGGGAGAGATGTTGAGTGTTAAAGTTGATAGCGATATCTGCCTGTTTTTATTGTTTTGGCGTTGGCTACGGCCTACAGTAGCCTGTGTTCAAGCTGTGGACAATAAAGACCAGCTAAACCAGCTCCTGCTTATTCATTATTCCGGGTCGCTACAATATATATAATTAATATAGCAGTAACACACACACACACACACACACACACACACACACACACACACCTGAGCGAAGCAGGAGAACAACAAAGCTAACGCTAGCTGAGATAACTTTAGCACGTCACAACTAATTGGGTCTTTTGGTTGGATTTGAGAGTTAAAATTGATCCTGCCTAATTCCCGCCCCTTTATGCTCTGTGCTCCAATAACTGTTGAGCAAGCTCCACCCCTTTTGAAACCCTTTCCCGACTTAGGTATGCTATGTGCTAGGCTATGTTGAAAGGACACCCACATTATGAAGATGTTTGAAAGATAAAAGCAACATGTACATAGTTAGCTAATGTTAGCAAGACACTAGCCAACTAGCTAGCTATTCTACGGGATAGTTTGCTAGCATTTTGCTACAGAGCAATGTTGGCTAACTAGCTTATCTACATGAATCGTTTGCTAGCTAGTTACATATGATAGCTAATGTTAGCAAAACATTAGTTAGCTAGATAGCTAATTTACATCAATTGTTAGTTAGATAGTTAGCGAACATTAGCTGACTTAAGATGTGACTACATATATGTTGCTTTTATGTCGCTATTTAATTGTCTTAAAAATGTGGTTGTCTTTTTAACATAGAAAAGCTAGCACATAGCATATCTAAGTCCAGGAAAGGAGGAAGCTGACCGTGGTTCCAAAAGGGGCCAGACTTATGGTGCGTTCCCACGCCAATATTCACCTTGTGTTACTTGCGCTAGTTTATACCCATCACCAAAGTTAACAGTCACAATTGCTCAACTGTTTGTGTTTTGCTGCTGAAGACTGTGGGTAAGCATCTGTTTCTTTGCAGTTTTCCCAAGGAGGTGCAGTCCGGGCTAATGGAGGTTGTCTCTCCTTCACAGTATTACTACCCTGACTTCACCAGCCTCCGAGAGACCTTTGGCGACTCCAAGGACAGAGTCAAGTACATTTACCATTTCTGTTACTATTTATTTGAAATCCTAGAATTTGTAGATGGTCCAGAGACGATTTATATCCCGAGATATAAAATCATGAATTAATCTGCACTCTAAAAAAAATGTTTTGGCTCAACGTAAAAAATGAACAAATTAATTAATGAAAGTCTTTTTTGAGTTATGGCAACTTCTACTGAAATTATGTTCAACAAATGTACTACATTGATTCAGTGGAATTGGCTTTCCTCTAAAGGTATTTTTAATTACTTCTTACTTAATAATTGGTTGCATAAACACAAGTTTTTACATTGATTAGGCAACTCTTAAAAATGAACTTATTCCACATTACTTATGTCAACACAACTCATTATAATAATAATGTTTGCAAGGTTTATCTAAATCAATAAATTAGAACGTTTATCTTGCAACCATGCATTTATATGAGGGGTGACAATAGGTCCACTGAATGACTTTTTAAAATGTGTGTAGCTCAAGCTGCAATACAACAGTTTTAGCAGTGGAAGTGAAGAAGTGGAAGAAATAAAGATAATGGAAGAAGTAAAAGACCTCAACAATTAATGTTTGTGTGTGCACCGTGTCTGTTCTTAGATGGCGAACAAAGCAGAACCTGGACTTCAGCTTCCTCATGCTCTATGCTCAGGATAAAGGGACCTATTATGTTCAGGTAGGAGGTCAAAGGTCAACTCCCAAATTGTAGATAGATTTGAAAAATTGAATAAAATCAAATGATACAACCACCACAAATAAACAAACTAATCTCCAACGCAGCTCCCAGGAGCCCCTGTTGTTACCTTATGAAAACTCTCATTTGCTTTTACACAGTGTTCTAGATCTAGAGAGGACAAAAAAGGGGGCACATTTTACATTTCCAGCACCAGCAGTTTGTATGAAACAAACAGAGGCACAGCTGGCTAGTCATCATGAGCAGTAGTAGCCCCCCGTGTTCAAACAGGAAGAACAAACACAACCTAAAACTACAGCAGAAGAAGACGTCACACCGCCACCCACACACTTTACTTACAATAGATGACTGACCAGTGCAGAGTAAAGACCCAATTAAAAGAGCTACTTAGTGCTTACTTGAAAGAAATGAGGAAAGTGTGGTATTATACATTGAAGTGTGGTTGTGCAATCCCTATGCTACAGTAGCTTTGTCCCCCTCCCTGACAGTGACTTACCCAGGAGCATTTACCAAATAGTGGCTACTTATTGAAATGACTTTTGAAGCTGAGTTTTTGTGTTTTCCAGTTAGAGGATGATATTGTTGCAAAGGCAGGCTACTACAATGACATGAAGACCTTCACCACCCAGGAAGCATCCAAGGAGTGGCTCTTCCTGGAGTTCTCGCAGCTTGGATTTATAGGTGTGTGTAAAAAGCGTTAAAGCGTTTAATGTGGTTTAATCCATATGTTTTGTGCATACTGACAATAAGATGCATATGTGTTGCCTGTGATCCTCCAGGCAAGATGTTTCGGACGCGTGACCTCCCGATGATTACGGAGTTCTTCCTGATGTTCCATAGAGACAAACCCATCGACTGGCTGTTAGATCACATTCTGTGGGTGAAAGTCTGCAACCCAGAAAAAGACACAGTAAGTCAGTTGTTAACAGGGTTTTTACAAAGACTGGAATCCAATAATCTGAATTTTAGGTCTTAAAATGTCTTAAATATGATTTGGACAAGTCTTAAAATTGGATTAATGAAGTTAAAGTTACTTGTATAAAGTTGCATTTTTCGGACTTGCTTTTAAATGTGTTTTGGGGGGAAATTTGTATTTATCATGCTGTAACAACTAAAAAACACACACGCTTACATGGAACCAATACCAATTTTTCTTTATATCCTTCAAACGTAACGGAACCTTAATTCATATCATTTGTAACAGCTGTGTTTACCCTACTACTCATGACAAATTGGCTGCTGTGAAAAAGGTCTATTGCATTCACAATGGTCTTAAATTGAACCTTTTGAAAGCTACGTGTAGGGCCAAATATCCAGATAAAGAATGGGGTAAGAGTGATTTCCATTTAATGTCAATGTCACTACAATATCGTCATGACATAGTGCAAGTACAAAAAGTTATTCTGCCCATGCACACATTATGAAACTTAGTGGTTGGAGATATTCTGCATAAGAAACCAACTTTCAAGTAAGCAGACAAAAATTGATGCAAGTTATGCAACAGACTATAAACAAATGCAAATACATAAATAAAAACAAATACATTATTTTACACACTGTTGTAAAATAAAGCAATTTTATTATTGATCTTTATTGGCCTTTGTTAAAGTCTCTACACTTTTTATGGTTCTCTAATTTTCAGGCGGTAGTACCACAAGATTATTCATTCTCTTTTAATAACATTTAATACATTTGGTTTATTCTTATGTAATGAAACATAAAACTACAAGTGTAAACAGTGTCCAAATAATTCTGGATTAAGTTTTTCTAACTCCGAATATGTTCCCCATTCTAAATTGAGGTCTTGCTCAGCCTTAAACTGAAACTGTGATCATTTAAAATCTTTTTAAAAATTTAAAAACAAAAATTCAATTTAGGATGAATACAAGTTTAATAGTTTGAAGTCTTGTGACTTTGACCCACACTGAGCAAAGCAGATTAGTTATGTGCAAGAGTTAGAAAGAAAGAATTAATTTAGAGTGATTAGGACAACTATAAAGCCCGTATATTAACATCGTAATTCATGTACAGCTTCCTTACTTACTATCAGTAGGAAGTAATAAGGGGGTAAATGAGGGAAAACTCTTTTGTAGTTGTAGAATATGATCATGCAGAATAAGACATTAATTATATAGTAGGAGTATAGTAATGAATAATAAAGAGCCAATTTGCTACTTATATGCACGTTAATAAGCAACTAGTTAATAGTGAATATGTGTACCTTAATAAACTGATACTAACATTTTTATTAATGAGAATACAGGCAGTGCATTTAACAGTTATCAACAATACTGATCATAACAAAATACGAACCACAGTATGAGAGAGAAAAAAGAGAAAACTGTGTTGCTCAAAACTGTGTACACATTTTACAATATACGCCCCTTTAAAATAACAATAACAGAAGAAAAAAACAAATTGCCACCCACCCCCACCCCCACCCGGTCATTGTTGCGGTCATTGTACAAAATTGCAAGGTCATGCAGAATTAACAGGGACTGGTTGAATTCACGGTAATTGTTGTCATCCCAACTTCCTAGATTGTAAAATGAAGGGTTTGAGGGTCCAAGTCACACAGGATCCACACTTAGAGGATCCCACACATCCACGCACTGAATCTTTTCTGAAAGGACTATTGACAGAACTAGAGCAGGTTCTTCAGTGGAGTATAGCTGATAGTGAAGTAGAGTTTATGTGTCACCTCACACCCTTCACATCGTGCCCTGCAGTAACCTGTATGCTTGTGTGTTGTCTTATCCAGAAAGACTGTAACAAACAGAAGGCATTGCTCAAGCAGAGGTACAAACCCTCGCTCTTCCAGCACGTAGGCCTCCACTCCTCTCTGCCTGGCAAAGTGCAGCATCTGAAGGTGAGTGCACCTCTGCTCTCAACGTGCTAATGCACTCAGTCAGCAGTTTAGATACATCAGATAGATATTGATTGGTAAAAACCATGACGACAGTTGAAATGAATGATACAGTTTTTCACACGTTTCGTGGCCACCGTAGTTCCTCCTTTGCACTTATCTTATTAGAGTGAAGCGAGGGAGTTGCAAGTTCACCGCTAGATGCCACTAAATCCTACACACTGGACCTTTAAGACTGTGGTCCCCATCCTTCTATCACTGAGGAAACTCCCCCACCAAATTAATTTTTTTATTGATTTTTTAGGAAGTTTGTGTAAAAGACGCACCTTGGACGAATTTGAGAAGATTATTTGACGTTATAGAAGAGGAGTTTTCCTGGATATCTTTTGGAAGTTTTTGTTCTGTCTGTTTTTATGTTTAACAATCATACATAATAGGCTTCTTTTGACAAATTCAGTGTTTCCTTCTCATTGTTCTATCAGCTCTTTGGTTGTTTGAACTTGTACTTTTCTAAAACAGGGCGAAGCGTTTATAAGTGAAGGCTCTGTGAATATAGCTTGTGTTCAGCTCTTCAAAGTTTATATCTTAGATCATAATATAATCTTTAAAAATAACTATTTAATGTAGTTATATGTACATTATATACAGCTTTTTCTATACAGATGTGATTGATAAGGAACATTGCACAGGTCACAGCAGGAGGTATTAGCACTGTGTCAAAAATAAATAATCCTACAGTATATATCCAGCAGTTTGACACTGTTTGGCTAGTCAGAAAGTTCCAATTGTTTATTCAAATGAAGAAATCAGTTCTGTGGAAGCAGACAGCAGTTAGGTTAAAGGTTTTTATAGATGTTGACTTCCTCTCCAGGATAAGGACTTTGGGAAGCAGGCTCTGCACCAGGCCCACAATAACCCAGCTGCAGAGCTGAGCAGCAGCCTGAAACATTACCAGCAGCACAGTCTGAACAGAGCTTACAGAGGAGAGGACTTCTTCTGGGCATTAACACCCTTCAAGAATGACTTCATCCTCTTCAGCTTCCCCCAGCCAATCCACATATCAGGGTCAGTTTGAAATCTATTTTTAAAAGTACATTTTCTAAACCTGTCCACGAGAATGTAATCAAGATCAGTAAACCCAGTTGGTAGAATATTATCCATGAAGAAACGGAAAAGAGGTCTGACATAACTTTAGCTTCATGTTTCTAGATAAGGGATGATGACTGTACAGAGTTGTATAGGGAAACGTCCTCCTGCTATGTGAGTGCTGCAACCAACACCTCATTCAGAAAACGCAAAGTAAGTGAGAAAATGTAGACATGGAGGAGGACCACACAGCAAAACACTAGCTAACTAGATAACTAATCTACACCAATTGTCAGCTGGCTAGTTAGCTAGTGTTTTGCTCATGGATACATAAAGTGAACTGGATACAGCTAAGCTCCGGTTTTACCGACGCTTTTTGCGCAGTCTTTTTGGGCCGCCATTGCTGTAATTACACAGTTCGTCCACTATGTCAAATTGGCTTGCCCTGTCATTGTTGGGTGGCTCTCTGGTTCACAGGATGCTGTGAGCTGTATCTGTTTGTCAATAGGAATGTTTAACCTGCCTCCTGACATTTAAGGTTCCCAAGTCATTCACACAGCTGTTTACCTGCTCTCTGTACAACCACTCCTCCTTTTACCAACACACTCAAATGCTTTAGGCAGAATTACCCTGCTAATGTTTTTGTAGTTTAGTGCCATTGAAGAATTGGCTGTATAAAAGATAAACCACCAAACCACCAAATGAGGGATGAGAAAATGACATTCCTGTTTGTGTTAGAGAATGAGTTTGTTTTGTTTCTCTTTTTTTTATGATGATGATTTTATGGTCCTACAGTTGATGTATCTAAATGTTTGTTTTGCTCTGACTGATGGCTGATGTAACACAGCAGCAATTCAGCCTTTTGCTTTTTTATTTGCCTTTCTAAAACACTTGGTGTTCACAGGTCTTTCCTGAGTAACATATCTTTTTGTGAAGGAGGCGATGCAATTTTAGTGTGTTTGGAAACATCTTGAAATAGATTTGCTGGTTACAGTACACTCTTTAATGTGAAATACTGGCAGGGTCAAGAAATAAAGTTTAAATGGAAGTGACAGGGATGATGTTATTTGGAAGTATTGTTCATCATTGGCTGAAGTTTCAGTCTCTAGTCCAGCGTTATGGCATTTTGAAGGAAACTAAGGCACCATTTACACCAGTGTTGTCCTCTTCACTGTAGGTACCTGTTTCGCAGTGGAAATATTGAGACGAGTGGAGATAAATTCTACAACACCACAGTGGAAGTGCTTCCAAGCAAAGTGAGTAACCTGCCTGTGTGTGTGTGTGTGTGTGTGTGTGTGTGTGTGTGTGTTTCTGTGCATGTCTGTTCTTTGGTTCCATTACTGTCGTCGAGCAGGTCTTGGTTTTCATCTCAGGTGTTGAGTCCTCAGGAAGGGATGGCAGGGCAACAGGAAACACCCACCACAACAAGCTATCTGCTATCACTCCACTGCCTTCCTCTGCCTCTGTGTGTGTGCGTGTGTGTGTGTGTGAGACAGTTGACACTTCTGTCACACCAAAGGGGAAAAGTGGTCATGCCGCAGGTGACCTTTGAGTAAAGTTAGACAGACATGGAATCGCTGTGTGGAAGATAAGAGGGAAACCACGTTACACAAGATGAGTCCAGGTCCAGAGGCTTCACATTGCACCCCAGACTGAACCATTTCTCACATGGAATTATGACCAGAAACAGATTGATCAAGAACAGGTCATTGTTGTCTATTACTGATCAAACTGACCAAATATTAAAAAATAAATACCAACATGATCAGTGATCAGTGACCACTGAGAGTATTACATCCAGACCATTTCATACCATCGTGGCAGAGTCTAGATTTGGACAGCAACTGACGACTACTTTTAGTATTGATTCATCTGTCAAGCATTTTCTCAATTAAGCCATTAGATGTTTGGTCAGGAAATAATAAATATGTGAAATATGCAGTTTCTCAAAGACGAAGGTGGTGTTCTGAAAATGTCTTTTGTCCACAACCCAAAGATATTCAATTTACTGTCATGGAGGACTAAAGAAAGCAGAATATATTCACATTTGAGAAGCTGAAATAAGAGAATTTGGATATTTTCTTTTAAAGAATGACTCAAAACGATTAATAAATGATTAAAATAGTTTGAGATGAATTTAATAGTCGACAGCTAATCAATGAGTCGTTGCAGCTCTAGTCCAGATCATGCGTAGATCATTTATTCACAGGGTCACACAGACGCAGTACCAACTACCAAACTAATTCGACATTTAATACATTTTTTTTTTACATTTTCATTACCTTTATTTCAAATTTCATTCATCATTTCATCATCATTCATACAGTCATGCTCCCCAGAAGAACTAGACCAACAACAATAACAAACCAGCTTTACTAAGCTATAGATACCCGTATCATCAGTATGTCAGCTGTAATGGAGATCACAGCCTGGAGGGTCCATTAGCAGTGCTTCACAGCTTAAGCCCTTCAGGCTCATGGTGTAATGGCTCCAAACGAGGAGTGGCAGCATGTCTAACATCAGTTCATTCACTGAGCCTCCAGCCGAAGGAATTTTTACCTCCAACTGCAAAACTGTGGGGACTGTCACTGTCTCAGTATAAAATTAAAAAAGATGCTTTAAGCTCACCTACTGGATAATTTCGAACCCCATATAATATTTATATAATATACCTGTAGTGACTTCTGATAGGGTTGAATACTGTACCTGTATTGTGTCTCATACAAATGGTGCGTTCCATTTACCTCAGAAGTCCGAAGTCACACCTGTGTTACAGTACGACAAGTCGGAAAACCAAGCTCCAACCAGGTTAGCTATTAGCCATTGTTAGTAATACCAGTTGATAACAACGCATTACGCTGTATTCTGCACATACAAGCAAGACAGAAGTTGGACGGTACTGTTTGATTTAATGAGATACAAAAGACAGAAGACCTGTCAAACATAATATTACTACAGCTCTCACTTAGTCGACTCATGGAGCAGCCATCTTGGATTTTGAGGTCAGGGTTTGTAATGTTCTTCTGAAAGAATTTACATTTCTGTACTATATAGTTCTATATAGTATAACATGTTCAAATATTCCTTTGATGTGTTGTATTTGTAACACATTTATCTCAGTTTTAAAAATCCTATAGCAACATACAGTATGTTGTGTTGTAGCTAGTCAGCAGTGCGTATCAGTATAATATTGTCAGGCCTGTGTGTGTGTGCCCCTCCAGATAACAGGGGAGTGTTAGCAGAACATTCAAAACATGCCCACATCGAAACTACACTACATCGAAACAAGAGCCTTACAGCCCAGCAGTTGTTTAAAGTCCCCCTCCAGTCAAAATCCTGGTCCAGTACGGAACTTGCATAGTGTAATGTAGAAACTCAAAGCCACCAGTGCACATCCACTGAGCTTCCAACCTGCGGCCATTAGCTGCATGTTGTTTATTCTGCATACTGGACGTGAGAACATCATCAAAATCAGTCTGCTCCCTCAACAGTTTTACAACTTTAATAGTGACCTTGCAACGTGGGCTTAATAATGTTATAATAAAGTTAATGATTGCATTTAACCACAGCAGTGTAATGTGTATGGCCTGGCCTCACAGGTTTGATAGCTTCAAGGTCAAGGAGGGGCTGTAAAACAGTGTGATCTGTGCTGTCCACTGTCATGCTGTGGTAGATGAATGTTTTAGGTGGGGTAGTAAATGTATACATTTGGTTCAGGGGGTTGTGATGTTAAGATAAGATATCTTTGGATCTTTATTTATCCCCCTTAGGAGAAATTCAGGTTGACACAGCAGCAATAGGGCAAAGTAGTGCAAAACAGAGAACAAAGAATATCACAATAAAAATATTACAAAATACGAAATATAATAGAAGATATAAAACTATAAATGAAAGTATATACACTATGCATTGTTCAAGTAGGACATGGAGTGCAAAATATAAACAGAAAATTAAACTTGACTAAAACTATAAAAAACTAAACTAAACTGTATAAGTGGAAATTAAATATAAATAGTGCAAAAGGCTTGTGCGTTGTAGGTAGGAGTTTTAAACCAGTCTATCTGCTGGGGTTGGAGGTACTGGGTGCTGTGGCGTTGTAGAGTCTGATGGCTGATGGTACAAACGAGCCTCCAAACCGCTTCGAGGCTCGGGGCTGGGTCAGTCTGTGGCTGAAAGTGCTTCTGAGCTGCCTGAGCTCAGTGTAGAGAGGATGAGAGGGGTTGTCCATGATGGCTTTCAGCTTCCCTCTCATCCTCTTTTCAGTCACAGCCTCCACACTGTCCAGCTCCACTCCCACCACCGAGCTGGCCTTCCTCACCAGCTTGCTAAGCTTGTTGGTGCACCCCCAGTGCCGATGCCTCCCCCCCAACAGACCACCGCAAAGAAGAGGACACTGGCCACTACAGACTGGTAGAACATCCGCAGTAGCCGAGTGCACACGCTGTTATAGTTGGAGGATGACTGATAAGAATCTGGTCACAGTCACAGGGTCAGATCAAAGGACCATTTGTGTTGAAGACCTAAAACCTTTACATGTGATTTACAGCAGTACTGTTAATAGGACACCAGAGGTGTTTTTGTTTGGATGTACTGAAAGGTATATAAGGGAGAGCATTCTGGAAGTCTGGGAGAACATCTATGCTGAGGTCTTCTCTCCATACTGCAAGAAAAGAAAAAAGGGACTTGATTCATCACACTGGGTTTGTAATTAAAACAGTGAACTCAGCAACTGAAGTGTGTGTAAAAGGAGTGATTTGGATGTTTCAATAACTTTTTACACAATTCTCTTTCTGTATTGTGTATTTCTTATTATTTTTAACAATCATACAGACTTAATAGGCTTCTTTTTGTGTTTTTGTGTTTTTTGTCCCTGATGCTTGGTCATTGTTCTATTAGACAAGTAATTTTACATTTACCTTTCTTCACAGAAGTGAACCAAATGATAAGATATAGGCCTAGAGTATATATTTTTTAAGTCTTCTAGCACACCTGAAAAGCAAGAAGGCCTTGCGCGGTCTCAACCTGGGGTTGGGAACTACTGCTCTAAACAACAGAGCTAGTAGTTATATTTTCAACTGAAAAAGACCTCACTTTGTTCACGAGGAACACAATGCAGTAACATCAGAAGTACTGTATGACACTGACTATGACAGAGTTTCTTTACAGGGTGGTGTTACACTAATGATGATGCACATAATCATTTCAGTCAGCTATGATGAGGGAGGAATGTAACTGTATGATTCAACTGTTCCGAGAAAGAGGATTTTGCTCATAACCCCAGCCCTCAGTGCAGCTATTTTTAGAGTCTCTCAAAGCCAGAGTTACAAAGTGCTTCACAAAATACAACACAGTACAATGTGTGCTAAGATAGCATATCATAGAGAAGACTCAGCTGACCTGATAGTGAGGGGAACTTTGTACCACAGAACATTACCATGGCAGACATTATATTTTATATACAATATATTTTGCACATTCCTGCACAAACTGTCCATCTCTTTATTTATTTATTTATTTATTTAAATAACGGTCACATCGTCTCTTTTTATATTTGTTTATATGGTCTCTCTTTATTGTCTCTCTTGGCAATAAAACTGGTCCTATACTCAGGTGAATGTACACATACCTATGAATATTACATTCCATTTCTGCCAATAGATCCTCCTAAATGTTACACACTGGACCTTTAGTGTGATGAGCTGACACTAATCTAATCTACTGAATTAATCAATATTTTTAAGATAACTATGATTCAGTGATAATGTAATGTAAAAGGTGTTGCCCGTATCAATGAACCCACAGAATCATCACCGCTCTCTGAAGTTCCCCTCAGCTTTATGGAGTTTATTATTGTTTTATGGCCCATAAATTTACAGTTTTATTGTCTCACCGCTTTCATCATCCTCATTTCCAACAGTAGGCGGCTCTAATAATGTATAATTATAATAATGTGGAGTCGGTGTGTAACCATGCTAAAACAATGTCGGACCAGTGATGACATTTATAGCCGCATGTCGTCATTCCACCGCTGGCTGTCGAGGTGGTGTCCAGCAAACGATGTGGGCTTCATTGATAACTGGAAGCCTTTTTGGGGAAAACCTGGTCTGATTAGGAGAGACGGCATCCATCCCACTTTGGATGGAGCGGCTCTCTTATCTAGAAATATGGCAAAGTTTATTTCTAAAACCTGACAGTCCAGAGTTGGGACCAGGAAGCAGAGCTGCTGTCTTACACACTTCTCTGCTCTTTCTTTAGAACAGTCACCAACCCAAAACCCCATAGAAATAAAAATAAAAATAAATAAAAACAAGAGGAGTTGAACATAAAAACCTAATAAAAATTAAAACTAATTAAAACTGATTTTATATCTGAATTCTCAGAGTTTTTTATCAAGTTTAGTCCTTAAATCAGATAAAGTAATTATTGTAGGTATTCATGTGGATGTTAACAATGACAGCCTTAGTAATGCATTTATATCATTAATAGACTCAATTGGCTTCTGTTAGAGTGTAAATAAACCAACTCATTGTTTTAATCACACTCTTGACCTTGTTCTATCATATGGCATTGATATTGAACATTTAACAGTCTTCCCACATAATCCTTTTCTATCTGACCATTATTTAATAACTTTTGAATTCATATTATTAGATTATAAGCCATTAGGCAAAACTTCCTAAAGCAGATGTCTATCTGACAGTGCTGTAGCTAAATTTAAGGAGGAGATTCCTTCAGTGTTTAATTCAATGCCATGTCTGAATATAACAGAGACCTATGATAACTTTAGTCCCTCCGAAATTGATAATCTTGCTGATAGTGCTACAGGCTCACTACGAAGAACATTAGATTCTATTGCTCCTATAAAAAGGAAATTATTAAAACATAGGAGACTAGCACCTTGGTATAACCACCAAACTCACCAATTGAAGCAAAAAGCTAGGAAATCTGAAAGGAAATGGCGCTCTTCCAAATGATCAGAATATCGCTCAATTTGGCAAGATAATCTTAAAACTTATAGAAAGGCCCTCCGTAATGCCAGAGGAGCCTATTACTCAGCACTAATAGAAGCAAATAAGAATAACCTTAGGTTCCTCTTCAGCACTGTAGCCAGGCTGACAGAGAGTCACAGCTCTATTGAGCCACATATCCCCATAAACTTAAGTAGCAATGACTTCATGAGCTTCTTCTATAATAAAATTATTACTATTAGAGAGAAAATGAATCACAAACTGCCATCAACAGCTATCAGTGGCTCTCCAAGTTCAGGAACTTTAACTAATGTAAACTCAGATATATATTTAGACTGTTTTTCATCAGTTAACTTCAATAATTTCTACATCGAAGCCATCAACCTGTCTGTTAGACCCGATCCCAACTAGGCTGCTTAAAGAAGTCCTACCCTTAATTGGCACTTCTTTACTGGATATGATTAATCTTTCTTTATTATCAGGATATGTACCACAGTCCTTTAAAGTAGCTGTAATTAAACCCCTTCTTAAAAAGCCCACTCTTGACCCAGGGGTTTTAGCCAATTATAGACCGATTTCTAACCACCCCTTCCTCTCTATTCTGGAGAAAGTAGTTGCCAAAGAGTTATGTGACTTTTTACATAACAATAGTTTATTTGAGGATTTTCAGTCAGGAGTCCATCACAGCACAGAGACAGCTCTGGTTAAAGTTAATAATGACCTTCTGATTGCTTCTGACAATGGACTTGTCTCTGTACTTGTATTATTAGATCTTAGTGCTGCATTTGACACCATTGACCATAATATTCTTTTACAGAGACTTGAGCATCAAATTGGCATTAAAGGAACCGCCCTAAGCTGATTTAAGTCATACTTATCAGATCATTCGCAGTTTGTACATGTTAACGATGAATCTTCAATAAATACTATAGTTAGTCATGGAGTTCCACAAGGTTCTGTACTTGGACCAATACTATTTACTTTATATATGCTCCCTTTACGCAACATTATTAGGAATCACTCCATTAACTTTCACTGTTATGCAGATCATATGCAGTTATATCTATCAATCAAGCACGATGAAATTAATCAATTATCTAAATTACAAACATGTCTTAAGGACATAAAATCCTGGATGACCTGCAATTTTCTGATGTTAAACTCAGAAAAAACGAAATTCTTGTACTTGGCCCCAAAAACCTTAGAGACTCACTGTCTAAAGATATAGCTACTCTAGATGGCATAACCTTGGCCTCTAGCACCACTGTCAGGAATCTTGGAGTTATCTTTGATCAGGATTTGTCATTTAATTCCCACATAAAGCAGACCTCTAGGACTGCCTTCTTTCATTTACGTAATATTACAAAAATTAGACACATACTATCACAGACAGATGCAGAAAAACTAATCCATGCATTTGTTACTTCTAGGCTGGATTACAGCAACTCTTTATTATCAGGTTGCCCCAATAAGTCCATTAAAATGCTCCAGTTAATTCAGAACGCTGCAGCACGAGTACTGACAGGAACTAGAAAAAGAGATCACATCTCTCCTGTACTAGCTACTCTGCATTGGCTCCCTGTAAAATGTAGAATAGAATTTAATATCCTCCTCCTCACCTATAAAGCTCTTGATGGCCCTTCATATCTTAAAGAGCTCATAGTACCCTATTACCCCTCTAGAACACTACGTTCTCTGAATGCTGGGCTACTTGTGGTTCCTATAGTCTCTAAAAGTAGAACAGGAGCCAGAGCCTTCAGTTACCAAGCTCCTCTCCTGTGGAACCAGCTTCCAGTTGTGGTTCGGGAGGCAGACACCCTCACCACATTCAAGAGTAGGCTTAAGACATTCCTCTTTGATAAAGCTTATAGTTAGGGCTGGATCAGGTGAGTCCTGAACCATCCCTTAGTTATGCTGCTATAGGCCTAGACTATCGGGGGATTTCCCATGGTGCACTGAGCTCCTCTCTTCCTCTCTCTCTCTTTCTGCACTCATTCATGTCCCATTAATGCATGTTACTTACTTTACTTCTTCCCCAGAGTTCTTGTGCTTTTTCGTCTCGCAGGTTCTCATGGATCCTGGTGGATCCAATAATGTTATAAAGAGTTCGGTCTAGACCTGCTCTATTTGGAAAGTGTCCTGAGATAACTTCTGTTATGAATTGGCACTATACAAATAAAATTGAATTGAAATTGAAATAATAAACCCACTGTGCACTACCTGCTAAGCAGCAGTTAACAGTAGTCAGACACAGTTAGAGACTCGCTGGTGAACATAGTGGAGCATTTAGCAGCTGAAGAGATAGATTGGTGGAGACCAACAACAGAGCTATAAGAGAGTGAATTCATTCATTAGCTGTCACAAACACAACTCCAAACAAACGTTTTTGCTTCTTGTCTGCTGGCTGTGTTAATAAGCCACTGTTTGCAAACATGTTCTCCATAAAAGGTGACAATATGTTAGTGTTGTATTTACACCTCTTAATGCTGCCCCCAAGCAGCCAAAATAATAAATAATTCAGACAGATGCAATGCAACTACACTGCACATGTACAGTTTAGTTTTTTAGTCAAGGTGCTTAAAATATTTTTAAAATTGCACACCATTGTACTGCATTCTTTCTATTATATTTTGTAATATTCTTATTTGATACTACTGTATGTACACTGTACTCTTTTTATTGCACTATATTCCCCTATGCTGCTGGGTGTCATTTGAATTTTAATCAGCACCAGTCGGATATTTGTGATCACCCACATTGCTTTCACTTTTCATGAGACTGACTCATATTGGTTTGTGTTTGGAAGATGTTACTGGTTTCTGTTTTTTAGATGAACACTCGCACTGAGGGAAGTGTTGGGATGATATCTGTTCTCTGTGTTCTTCCGTCAGGCGTCAGCACAAGACAAACTAGTGCCTGGCTTGTCTTCCACCTACAAAGAATCTGATAAGGGCTTCATCATTATCGGTAAATATGTACAACATTCAGCACACACACACAGAGTAGAGCCCAGTTCAAGAGATAAAATGAAATTTTAATGATTCATTTAGCAAATCAGAGCAGTTGAGAAACACATTCTAGTGTGTGGGAGTTGTGGGCCAGGCTTGTTTGATCACATTCTTCAGCAGTACAATGGAACATGATTAAAGCCCTGTCTGACACGTATGACACCTGGCTGGGAAAGAGATCAAACCTGCAGTGGCTTCATGACTGAAGAAATGAAACCAACACGACTAACACATGTCATCAGGCTTCCATCGACAAGCTCAGACAGTTCCCTTATCTGGGGAACCCACACAAACTGATTTGTTGTGCCAATGTTCATACAGTTCACACAAGTTGATTCTGCGTTCCTGGCCCACATTACACGCACATTAGAGTCCTTCTGTGGCTCCAACTGGCTGTCTGCCTGAACACATACATTTCACTGAAATTACATGTTGATTCAGAGTGTCTGCAGGCTCTTAAAATGTTAAAAGGTTTTAAATATATTGGATTCATGAAAATAATGTTGCTTGTATAAAGTGGCATTTGTCTCTTTTAAATTTGTTTTTTGGGAACAATTTGTATCGATCATGTTGTAACAACTACGAAATCAAACTAATATGGAAGCATTAGATTTTCCTTAATATCCTTTTTACTTTTTTTATAAAGTAAAATTAAATTGCATTCATAATGGTCCTAAAAAGTCACCTGTTGAAACTTCCACAAACCCTGTGATTACACTCTTGATGGCTTCTAAGTACAATAATAATTTAATTAAAAGCCACTAAGCCTCAACTAATAGGTAGATTTATTTTTATAGGGCTTTATATATTAATGTGTGGAACCCAGTGAAAACCTGATGAATGTAAAGACATTAGCAGTCCAAACTACTATTCTTTCGATTTATATTTAGCATGCTAGCGGTGTTGCTGTAGAATTAACAATGTTTTTCTGTCAGCTGGTTGTGTTTAGTGCTAATTATTAGAAAATATTAGCAAACATGCTAAATTGTGACCATGGCAAACAGTATACCTACTAAACATCAGCATGTTAGCATTGCCATTGAGAGCATGTGCTGTAGAATAAAAGCCTCATAGAGCAAGCTAGTTGGGCTGTGGAGTTTTGATATTAAATCTGCAGTAGGTAACTTTTTTTGTCATTTTTGCTGAAACCTTCACTATATCAGACATATCTGACAGTAGTACATTAGACAGGTACAAGAATCCACCATGTCTGAACAAAAACAACCAATCAGAGCCGAGAAAGATAAAGGACAAAAGTTACCCACTGCAGCTTTAACTTTTTTATTTTTTATTTTCTCTCCGTCTCTTCACTTTTTGGTTTCATGGAGCATAGAACCTAGGGAAAATCTGCTAGGTAGGCTTTCATAACAGTTGCTAAAAAACTAAACTGAAACGATATGGTAAGTGTTTTTTTCCAAAACAAAAGATGTCAGACTTTCTAAAATGTGGTGGTGTTAAATGACGAGTTTATGTAAACACTGGAACGTTCAGGGTTCGAGTTACGTGGGAGCCAGTGGGAGATGAGCTGACATGAAGGAAGTAAAGTCATAACGTTTCATCTGTGGGGGTTGCTAATACATTACCAACAACCATTAGTTTGATCACAAAGAATGCATTTTTCAGTGTAATGAGTATTATTTCAGCATTATACTGTGTTAAATACTACTCTATACTCTGTATTGACTGGTTGCTTTGTACTGGAGTTCCACTCACATGATGCATCCTCCCAGTAGTGCAGTGCTACATAGGATAGAGTACAGTGCACCAGCAGCATGGAAATAATAACACTTATTTCCATATGATGCTAAAAAGTATTTGCATTCTCCATTTGAACGATGGGTCTAGGCTGGCATACTTTAGGCTGTTGAATCTTTGTTAAAATATTGCTGGGCACCTTCAGGTTGTTGCAATTGGGGCAAGAAGTGGGCTGGGCTATCTGACACAGATAGCATAAGGACATTTACTTTGTTAATCCCCAATGTGGAAATTTTTTAAATACATTTTTTAGAGACCTCCACAAATCTCAGAACATTAGAATGTTAATGACATTATTGTGCATAAGTTTAGCATTGTAAACGGTGATAGAGTTGGTTAGATTGCTGTCTGGCTACAGTTACTGTGCCTTTGTGTGTTTCAGGTGCATTTGAGGACGGGGTAGCTGAGGGTGTCATTGATGAAGCGCTGCAGCCCATCTCAGCACTACGGCTCGTGGTTCACTCTGACGCTGACGTCTGGGCTCTACTGAGTGAGGTCTGACCTGAGAGCTTGTGTGTGTGTTCACGTGTGTGAGTGCAGGTGTACTTATAAGGCAGGGTTGAGCAGTACTCGGCTGAAACCAGTATCCGATACAGATAATCAAACAAGTAAGCTGTGTCAATATAGCAACTTGAATTGCTGAACAGCTCCCTTCTGAGGCTGCTCTGTAAACAGTTTTCTAATAACTATCAACTCTTATCAGTTTAAGGCTTAACTGAACAGCCTCCGGTTTAAGCACCACTCACTCCGAGTACAGACGCGAACGCAGATAGGTTGGTCAAACATACAGGTAGATAGAAATACTGGTGTACCCACTCATACCTATTATACACACTGTCAATTAAACAGCAGCATAAAAGTTAATGTGAAATTATTGATCAAATACAGAAGACTGACAGTAGACCTTCACTGATTAGTTGATTCATCGATTAAAATATCCAAATTCTCTGGTTTCAGTTTCTCAAATGTGAATATTTTCTGCTTTCTTTAGTTCTCTATTACTGTGAACGGAGTATCTTTGGGTTGTGGATGTCACCGTGGGCTTTGGAAGACATTTTTCTGATATTTTATGGACCAAACAACTAATCGACTAATGGAGGAAATGGTCGACAGTGAAAAAAATTGTTAGCTGCTGCACTAATTGACAGTTACAGTTACCAAGCAACCAGTCAGTGTGTGCACTGTATGCTAACATATTAGCATAGCTGCGTCCAGTAATGGTAGGTTGACACAGTGCTTTTAGTACTGAGAGGGTTTTAGCAGTATATTATCAGTGTATTAATAAACTTGAATAATGAAAACAGATGAATGAACTGGCATTAAAAGGATGCCAGGTGAGTAACCGTGTATGCATTCATGAGTTTCATTATGTACCCATCTGACCACATTCTAATGACGGGAACGGGAGGGCAGTTCCCATCACTTAATCGAAAGACTAATTTATCCAGACACCTATCTGCTCCACCCTGCCTCTCCTGTGACTGCTGTTACATGTCAGACCGAGACAACTTCCACCTTCATTATTCCCACTGGCTGCACTCCATTTGGCTGTGCCAGTGTGCCGCATGGTGCACACGGTGGAGGCGAGGGGCTGCTTTACATGGAGGGCAGGTGGCACACGAGGCAGCACAGGTGATAATCAGTAGTGATCTAGTGATCAGTGTGCTTGAAACCTGAACTAGAAGCTATGAACTGCCATTAACTTGCCGTTTTATCTCCACTGCCATCTACTAGTACACCTGTGTGTGTGTGTGTGTGTGTGTGTGTGTGTGTGTGTGTGTGTGTGTGTGTGTGTGTGTGTGTGTGTTTTGCTTAATGCTCACTCCTATTCTTGTCTGCAGATATTCATTGAAGTTTGACAACCATCAAGGAGAGGAACCTACACACACATTGCCATCAAGCTCAGTGCCTCACCTGTACAAACTGCTCCCCCTGTTGGACAAAGACTTTCACTACAGGGACTATTTTTCACAACGATTACATGAAGTGCCTGAAACCGACTGACTGTTGCCTGTGAGGATCGTGTTCAGGGTTTTTTCTGAACCAGACTCAGGTCACCCCTATGGGCTGATTTTTGTGTCAGTAGAAACTGAATTTAAATCATTTAGAACTGAATCTGAATTGCTCAACTTGAATAATTGCATTAAAAAACTGAATTTGAATAGCATAATTTGAATTTGTATTGTTTAACTTGAATAACTATTGAAAAACTGAATCTGAATAGCATCATTTGAATTTGAATGTATTAGTTTGAAACGGAATTCCAATAAGAACAAAAATCAGCCCATACACCCCTTTCCATTCAACTTACAGTTCAATTCAGCAATATTAACCATGTTGAGTTAGGACATTTGGAAGGGAATCCCTTGTGCATTTGACCACACTGTTAGCTCACAGTAGCTGTTTAAAACAGCAGAGCTACTTCATAAATAATTTATTACACTACTGCACTATATTTTGTTGTAAATAAAGAAAATATACAGTACTACCTTGTCTTGAGTATTGAATGTCTTTGGGGTTTTTTTTACCCACAATTGCATGAAATATAAAACTGCAAAACAGGTTTTATGAAGTATAAATAAACTCTCGTACAGTTGGTTCCTGGTTGCGATAGAGGAAGTCACAACGTTATCACTAACAACAAACTTGACTGGTTTTAATATCAACATTCCTGTGACGCTTCCTCTGCGAACAAAGACAGATACAGGTTGTTTAATTGTATTATTAAAGGCTAATGCTGGCCATATGCTATATTGTACTTACTGTCACAATAATCCTATGAAAAGACCAAAAACAATGAATGTACCTTGCTAATCATCACTTTTGACCCATGCATGGTGGTGTCTGTTTCTGCAGCCCTCTGAGAATCCACTGAGAATGGACCTTACAGTGAAGTAGGAGTGTCCAGCAGGAAAACTTTTCTAGATTCTGGATCTTTAATGAAGGACAACAAGGTCGTTTCAAAGATTTTAACAAGATAAACTATTTTTTAAATAAAGAACATATCAGATACAAATATTCAAAGCTATTTACATACACGTTAAAACATGTCTGGAGGGGATCTTTAACTTGCAGGGTTTTAGGCTGGGCTCTACTTTGCTAACAGACACTGGGTTACGATGAGTGTCCTACACATACACTACAGGAGAAACCAGAGCCTGGGGTGATACAGTCTTATTTCCTTGCAACAGGGCAGGAGTAGTTTTAAATGACTGATGATGTTAAAACTGCTGGATTCCTGACTCTGCTCTCTGTCAGAATAAGAATGAAACACACTACTGCTAAGCCTACAGCTTACAGGTTACACCCAGTTGCTCAACATCTTGTGGACACATTCAAACAATAACTACAATCAGTACAGTTTACTAAAGGTTTGACCTACCACAGAAACCTTTAGGTGGCTTACAAATGAAAGGAAAACCCAATATGAAGTGTGTTAATAAGCAGTTATTTGTGCTTGTGCATGAATCTGGAGGGACAGGTAACCATTCTCTAACCACACTGTTTGTTTGTGTCTTAATTTCTTCAGATTTGCCTTTCATTGGTCACCCACAAGTATGTACAGTATACCAACACTGAAAATGTGCAGGACAAGGCAGTGGGTCACTTGTCCTTGCGAGAACCCTTAGTGACTCTGTGAGCATGTGAAATATAAAACAGATGATTAGCTCAGGAAGCAACAAACATTTCATCAAAAAGGATCATCACTTTATTAAACAAACGTCATTTCAAATGAGCAACAAACTAAATAACAATAACAATATGTAAACAATGTTCAAATGCAACAGGGTTAAAGATATCTCAAGACTTCATACATGTTTGTTTAACATTTATGCATAAAATACAGTATGTATACTGTATCCGTCACTGGTTCATTGAGAGGATAAACTAGGCTTTGCCAGTTTAACAGTAAGCCCATACACAAGACTTTCAAACTGCAACAGTGACGGTCACTGTTAAAGTAGTGTCATTTACTCCCAACTTGCAAGAAGCAGCAACTAAATGGCAACAAAAAGGTCACATTGTACTGAGATGACAAAGACGAAACAAGTTCAAAAGGGGCCTTTAGACCCCGCTCTCTTTAGAGAGGCTATGAGCAGTCCCACCCCTTTCAGCTCTGTGCTCCAGTGGAGCAAGTCTCAGTCAGAATACCAGCCAACTGCCTCCTTTCCTGTACTTAGATATATGCTATGTGCTAGGCTAATCTATGTTGAAAAGACAACCACATCCTGAAGATGGTAGTCACATTTTAGGTTTGCTAATGTTAGCAAGACCTTAGCACAACTAATGTAAATCAGCAAGCTAGTTAGCTTGAATTTTGCTAACAATAGATATCACATGACACCCAGCTGGCTAACGATTGATGTAAATTAGCAAGCTAGTTAGATTTTTGCTAAGAAAAGCTTTCCGGTATAACTAGCTAGCTAACGACAGATATAAATTAGCTAGCTAGTTATGCATTGTCTTGCTAACATTAGCTAACTAACTTTAGATGTGACTATATGTCACTTATCCTTTAACCATCTTCAAAAACTGTGATTGGAGCACAGACCCAAAAGGGGTGGGACTTAGTAAGGCTCAATAAAACCATGTTCTAACAGATCTACTGTACCTATGGCAACAGTAGCAATACCGACTAATAAATAACTAAAGGAAAAAGGGATTTCCCCACTTTTTCTCCTTAATTTGAAACAGCCAAATTCTCCTCGCCATTGCTAACTCGTAGATAAACACACGGTGTCACCCTGACCAACCAATGGGAGGCTCTAGTGCATTGACAAAGGCATGATCCCTCACCAGCTTCCCACCAGCAAAAATGATCGATCAAGCCGGAGCCGTTGTGCCCCGAGGAGAAAGGGGAAGTTTAACGTAAACATTTGAACTCTATATAAAAATGTGAACAGGGTTGTGGGGTTGTTTTGTTCTGGGTTGTGGAGAAGGCAGAGCAGTATCATCACCAGTTCCAAACATCTCTGTAAGCCAATGAACAACCAGAGTCTCAGCATGATCTGGACATGATAACAAATATATATAGCACAGATTTCAAAGTGAGCTTCTGGGGATAATAAACTCAAACTAAAATGACAGAGAGCTGATTGTTGTGATTATGTTGATTTGTTGTTGTTTGAGTTGATTTTGAGTCACTGGCTGCACAAACTGCAAAAATGAAGCGTGACAAATGTCCCAAGAATGAAACTGTAGGCTCCAGGTGCAGAATTAGCTATTAGCATGTAGCTAAGAGCCCTGGATTTTAATAAGGTGGTGGATTGTATTGCACAGGAACTGGTAAAGAAGACAATTCAAACTGTTACAGAGTGTTTAGGCTGTTAAATAAATATTGCCAAAAATGGCCAGGCTCTGTGGTCAATGTTAGCATTACCACTATAATACCCATGTTACTAATATATCTGTCTCAATGCTAATGTTACTTGTGTGAGTGGGGGTTTGTGTATTCAAATTGATTTTCCAGGAATGGCAACAGCTTCCAGTTCTCCTGCTGTCTGTCTTCTTGCCTCTACATTGGGATGTGACTCACTGCCTCCTATTGCACGTATTAAGCCCATACCCCTATCTGCAGACCCAGAAACATGTTTTAGGCTCAGGCGGTATTAAGAAGAATTTAGAGTCCAGTCACCCAGAACGGTTTGGGGTTCAGGTTATGGGATGTGTGGGTGGGGTTCTAGGACTAGGCTCTCCGAGGTTCTCCTTACTTTCGTTTGCTCTTGGTGTCAGTGGTCTGGAAGACGCTGGAGGCAGACATGAGGTTCTCAATGTACTGACCCAGAACCTGGTTCTCCGACTTCAGCTTCAGGTTCTCCTCTTTGACAGCGTCCACTCTGGCAGACAGGTCTGAACACACAAACACAGTCAGCAGCAGCATTAGAGAGGTGATCATGACAGAGAGGATCAAACAGATCAATAGGAAACCACACAAAATCAGACTTTAATTTGATGGTGCCGCTCAAAGGTGACTTTCATCACTATCTGCCATCTTCACTATCACTTTGTCTTCTTTACAATAGGTTGTTGGCTCTTTTACGGAAGCAGTTAGAACCACAAGTGAAAAATCTTTTTCAGTTTTAAAGTTTAAAATGTCTATTCTGCCTTTAAACCCGGAATTTAAATAAATCTTTCACATGTGGTTCTAATCCTCTTCCGCTCTCTTCATCTTACCCTCAGCCCAATGTGAAGAATGGGGAAATAATAAAAGCTGTGGGTTTGACAAACAAAGAGCTACAAGCCTTCATAGGCATGTGAAGAGAACAATAAGCTCATCAAAGTGTATCACAACTTGATGTTTGGAAGAGATGCATATTGAGAAAAAAAAACCTGTGTGGCAGTGAAGAAGTGTCCTGGCTAGCTGAGCTGTCCTCGTTGACGGATGCTGCCTTAGCAGAACAGTTGCTAACGTTTACTAGCGTGAAGAAACTCCCTACTTTCGGTATATATTTCAAATTTTCGGTGTTCCTGATATCATTTTCCTTTTTTAATTTCCGTTTAGCGCTCCCACTTAGCTTCTCCATGTTTGCACTTTTTGAGTTGTGTTGTGTAGCGGCGCTTGACATCACGCGACCTGCTCAGTGCACATTGATTGGCGTCACCTTTGACCTGCCTCATACGGGCTGACCAATGAGGAGAGGGTCTCAGCTCACGGTCACAGTCACAGGCAGCCAGGGGCAGAGATTATGTGCAGCGCAACGGCTCCAGATATTTTTCTTGTGCCCTCACTACCTGGACCCTTTAGAGGTCGTGGGCCCCTGGGCAATTGCCCAGTTGCCCATATGGTTAATCCGGCCTTGATTCAGTATCAGTTATCAGTGCTAGTTTACATAGACCGCCACTGACCTGTCGAGCAGGGCTGTTACAATGGATTTCAGGAGTTGAATATAAGAATACTAAAACAAATTATATTCATTGAATGCTGAAATTACTATTGATATGTGCGTTTTTCTATAAAAGTGTTGGTTGTTTTCTGAACCACAATCTCACTATCAGAACAGCGATATATACACAGTACACCCTGGCAGTCTAGAGCCTGAAGAGCTGCAGCTTGAGCAGGCAGGCATTACTCAGGAGGGGACTGTGTTCAGATTGAAAATGTCTATTAATGTTAACAAGTTCATGTTATTCATTTTGTGCCTAACCTTAATTATTACCTGTCAAGAACAATATCACCTGTCTGTAATCCCAAAGGTTTATTGGTAAAGATGGATTGCCCTCTAGTGGACAGAACGTATAACAAGCACATGCTTACATTGGTAATGCATACGACTGTTTATACAGCAACATCAATAACCGGCTACATTTGAGCATGATACATCTGAATATAATTTAAATATTAATAATAAGTATTGCAACTCCAATGGGATTGTAGAGGAAGATGGCAGCAGTACTGACAAGCAGCCTTTATTGGATTACTGTTGTGAACATTTGATGTTCATTTGACCTTTAAAGAAACAAAGGCTTTTTTGTTGACTTTGAACAAATAGCTGCTTACTGACTTCACAACCTTCAGTGGAATGTGTACCCACTGTCACAGATTCTGCTTTTGTTCCACTGCTCCTAATCCCCTCTGGAGACAGGTTCCTGGAAATAAATGTGACCACTCCACTGCATTGTTGTTACTATATGTAGATAACCTCTGTCTGTGTAAACTATAGATTGTTTGTTCTGTGGGGAGTTCACTACTAGTTTAACCACATTTCCCAGTAAAGTGAGTAGAGTTGTTTTGCTACTTAAGACCCACTTACACTGTGTGAGTTTGGGCCGTTTGAGACTAAAGTTGACAATCGTGAGAGAATGGCGGTGAAATCCAAATTGAATGAAACATATAACTGTGCAGCGCTGCCCAATGCTTCGCTAGCCTCTCGCTAACTCTCCTTCTATTCCTCCTCTTTTGAGATTTGAGCTTCTTTATTGTTTTGCTGCATTTTCAAACATCAGAGCGGTGCAGATGGAGGCTGCAAGCCAGTGACGGGGCTCTCATACTCTTTACAGTAGCGCTGTGATTCACCACACATTAAATCACCATGATTTTATTTAGGCCTAAAACAACCAACCACTTCATCTTAATAACGTTTTATTTTAAGCTCTAAGTGAAAAGAGAAAAGCAGCAGGCTGGTTTGACAGTATGGAGCAGAGAGAGCGCCAGGACGGCAGCCGGCTCTGGAGAGCTGGTCTTGTTCACCCTCTGCTCCATTCTGTCAACCTCCATTAATCACACTTTCAATGATGTATATCTAAAATGCTCTGGTTTGTAAAACACAGAGGTAAAGGTGCTCCGATCAGGGTTTTTGGGGCTGATCACCAACCATTGGAAGCAGTATTGGTTGATACCGATACTGATCACTTGGTCTTTTAGAAGCAGGGCTCCAGAGTGCGACCAACATTTTTTAAGAGTGCGACTAATAATTTTTCTAGGTCGCACTGGTGCACCTGACACTGCCCGGGTGAAAACATACATTTATTTCGCAAGCATATCATCTCTCTGTGTTCTCCTGTGACCGAACTCACACACTCATGGTAGGATCATATCGTGTTCTAAACCAATAAGAGACAGAGCTCGGGCGGGTCTTTGCCTCTGATTGGCTGTGGTCCTGTTCACCATGCTAAATTGTGTGTGTTTAAAAATTGCCGAGCCCCGGTCCTTCGGCGACAGCATCAGACTCGGAACCAGAGGAGGAGACAACCGAGTCTGGGATAGACCCAAATTAAAAAGGTCAAAATATATTCCTTCAGACAGGACTGGCTGAAACAATTTCCCTGGCTGAGGTACAACTAAGGACGTAACGCAATGCACTGCGTGTACTGTCAGGAGTGCGGTCAGAATATGGCCGGAAATAGTGCATTCGTGAGCGGGTCAACAACGTTTCGTATCAAACTTTCATTTGGAAATGATTTATTTTGCTTAGTGTTTTAGTTTGAAATTTCGTTTCAATTTCAGCTCAGTGCAGCACTTTATTTTTATTTTTATATATAATTGTGCTTCAAATAAAGACAAGCATTTCTCTACACCTTATTCTTGTTTAAAAATCATTCACATTATATGAAAGTTATGGAGAGCGATAAAAAGGTGACCTTAAAGGCGACAAAATGATTTTGGGTGCACCTACATTTTGTGCTGGTGCACCTAAAAAGATCAGTTAGGCGCACCAGTGCAACCAATGCAAAAAGTTAGTCTGGAACCCTGATTAGAAGCCATCTGTTTATCATTGAGCCTCATTTACTTAACTATGATAAGAGATGATTTATTCAGGGCTGCACAATTAATCGCAATATTATCAAAATCGCATTATGGCCAAGTGCATTATAATGAAGTACTGTAGTTCTGAAGACATTCCCTGATACAAATATTGCTCTCCAGATTTCAGAATATATGTTTGGTACAGAGCCAACAAAAGTCACATCACCATGATTTTAACGGTTTTTCTTTCTGTGAAAATGAACACTGTGATCTAAAATGATCACATCCACAGTAATCATGAATCATATCACAATATCTGTATCTGTTATTACTGTTATCTGCAAGTGATCACGTGAGACCTATGTTCAGCCATTGTCAAACTACCTACACTGGTTGCTGTGGCAACAAGAAATCCAAAGAGTGAGCTGCAGTCTGAATGAAGAGCAGAGATGGATCCTCTCGTCCGTCACACACAGTCACGTCTAGTTACAGTGTTAAGTTGCAGCAGACGGCACCAGAGACGGAGGAGACTGATGTGTGCAGCCATGTTTCATGCTGCAGTCACAACAATGGTGATGTCAGTCTCTTGTGTCGCAGTGTGTGTGTGTGTGTGTGTGTGTGTGTTTTCTCATACCCTCTAAAGTATGTTGAAGCTCCAACACCTGGTTGATGAGCCTCGTCTTCTCTTCCAGCTCAGCCTGGTTCTCCATGTCACCTGCCGCCATGTAAACAACAGTCAAACACCATGCACTGACTGTGTGTGTGTGTGTGTGTGTGTGTGTGTGTGTGTGTGTGTTGTCTCACCATCGTCTGAGCTCATGGTGAAGTACTCGTCTTCCTTTTTGGAATGCAGGGCTGCGATTCTAAGGGACACTGCAAGATTTAGAAAATATATATACCAATGTATCCATTCAGTGTATATATTTAGAATATAGGTTAGTGGCCTTGTAGCTTTAATGGTGGACCAGGAGCCTGTGTGTCTGCTCAAAAACTCCCACAAACCTTTTCCGCCTAAACATACCGTAATGTACAGTGCTTATAAAGAAATAAACAATAAATGAACACAGTGTGCTATTTAGCCTGGTGGTACGCCGAATTCATCTGAGGAACATTATGAATGAATAAAGTCCAAACTCCACATATATTATACGTTTATTTATTTATTATTTATTTTCCACATTATACCTGAACATGAGAGTGATGCATTGTAGCTGAATGCCGCTGTGTCCCATTTAACACGCATTATTTACCTGAAGACCAGCTAACGAGAGCGGGGCCCAGAAGCCCACCCACGGAGGGCTGTCGTGTCTTTCGCTTGCTGAAAGTCTTGTGAATCACTGTTAGCTTGTTAGCTAGCCACACTTAAGCTGGTAACAGAAGAAGAGGCCAGCTGGCGGAAAACAAACAAACCCCGAGCCAGGCCCGCTGCTAACCAGCTAACTGTTAGCGTGCTAACAGACGCTAGCCGGGCGGATGCTGTTGAGCCTTAGCAGCAGCACGTAACGTTATATTACAGCGAACAAACAATGAGCTGAGCTCGGACACATACCTTACGTCGGGAAAATCAATAGCTGCTGTGCTGGAATGCAGAATATCGACAGGAATATTAAAGGCTTGGTGTAAATTCCCACAGCTTGTGTTTGACACCAGCTGTTCAGTCTGTGCAGTTCCCCACTATCAGGCCAGTACACCACACGGCCGCCAGGGGGCACCAGGAGGGAAATGAAAGCAACAGAAAAGAAACATGAACGTAGAGATTTGAATGCCTGCCTAACAATGACTTCAGTTGTATAGAAGTGGCTGTCTTAACCTTCTAATGCCATTACAGATGCTTCAGTGATGTACAGTGGAAGAACAGGAATAAATCGTAGTTTCTGTGACAGAAAGTGTGTTTTATTACTGAAAATATGAATTGCCTTGGAAGAATGTATGTTTTGGTCTCGTGGAAGATGGTGTACAGAAGAACACGTGTATACATGACTAACCTTATTATTTTACTTGCCAAATTTCATATTCATCAATGTACTGGTGGGAAACCATGCTTTGTTGCCTTCGTCAGGGAGTTCAAACAATACATTTATCACATTTGATGCTCTTTAAAACAGAAAGCAGTTAAAGCCTAGCAGCCTGTTCTATATTAACATTTTTAACATTATTATATTTTTCTTTATCTATCTACTTGTGTGGACTGTATGTTTGTGCAGTTTATAGATAGATAGATAACTTTATTAATCCCACAATGGGGAAATTCACTATTTGTATTGTTAACCTTTAAAGGAAAATTACCTAACGTTACCTTACTTTTTAGAAAAAATCATGATAATTGCTCAAAATGAAGCCCATGAACTAAATAAAAACATGTTTTATTTCATTAATCAACCTTTAATTTATAAAATGTGAAGACCTCATTTAAGGAGTCACTGTGCAGGAGAGTAATATTCCACAGTGTATGTATTGTATTATGAACTACATTGACACTGGAGTTGCAAACCCATGAACAATCCTAGCTCTTTTCATTGGCCTATTATTTATTTGGTTGTTCAGAGGTCTTCAGAGGTGGATGTGGAGGTACTTGTGTAGTATTCCACGCAGTATTCCAATCAAACCCAGCAGGGACAGAGTGACAAAGACAGCCAAAGTCAGGTAAAAACCAGGTAACCTGCAAACAAGATGATCAAAATGCAGAATGTCACTCATCTGATGCTTCAACTAAAGTCACACATTTAGATATTTTGTAAAAACAATGTGGTGTCAGTTAGATAAATGACCTTTTCTTGGTGGACTTGACATATCCGTTGAAATATATCTGTCGGGCGATTATGTACACCAGTCCCACTGCAGCTGCAGTCAACTCACTGAAGAACATCCCGCAGGTCCACAGTGTCACCAGGAACACTGGGTAACACTCCACACAGTTCTGACTGCAAACACACACAGTCAGCTTTAATGTCACAACAGTTTTGACTGGGCGGGAGAAAGAATGAAATGGCAAATTATTATTTTGGATAGCTGATCTTTAGGGCTGACACTCTGACATTGTATTCTGGCCCAGGTGCAAAAGCTTCTGAAAGACTCAAGCTGCATTCACACCAACTTGAGTCCTGCATGGTAAAACTTCCAGCCCTCTCATTCATTTGAGAGAGTGGCCCAGCAGGGATGGTTAGGGGGCTCTGGCAAAAACAAAAACAAACCCTGTTGAACTTTTGCATCCAACAATGTGCAAATGCAGATTCCTGGTAGATAACTTTGTAACATGAATGTTGTATTTCTACCATTTACCTCGTGATCATCATAACAAAAGATTGATTTACACCATGACAACTTCCCAAAGTGGTAAAATTGTGGCTCAGAGAATTATGAACTGCTGTGCGTTTCGTTTTTTTTTGCAACTGAGTTTGCAGCTAGGGGCACTATAGCTTGAAACAATAAGAGAAAGCTGACCCCCACCATCCAATTTGTCTTGTGCTCAAAACAACCAATACACTGTAAAACCAGACAACTAAATTTAACTCAAAACAACTGATTATATAGAACATTTTAAGTGAAGCGAACTCAAGTTAAAAAAATATATTGGTCAAGTAGCTTTAGTAATTTTAAGTGACACTTAATTTAGTCATTTTTATTTGTACTGTGAAAACTAAATGGCCAGTAAAAAGTACTGAATCAGGAATGTTTCTGTAATAAGTTAGTGTCACTTAAAATGTTCACAGTGAACATGTTAGCATGGTGGTGTTTAGCAAGTGTACGGGCACCATTGTATTTTATTGTATTAGCATGCTAGCATTTGCTAATTAGCACTAAACAAAGTGCAGTTGAGGCTGATGTCATCAGTATGGAAGACATGAATACCAAAGCAATTCTTCCAATAGTAGTAGGCTAAATGTTTCCTCTGCAATTGTCAATTGTTGTCTCTTGAGTAAACACCAGGGGACACGGATGTCTGTACCCAATTTAATGGCAACAGACAGGCAAACACTGCATGTAGCTGCTTAATGTTTTTCTATCCTCGTGCCAATGTTCTGCAGAATGGTTGTTAATGTAAAAGCTCAATTAAGCATTGGTTAGCATTATCAATATAATAAATATGCTGTGGGCTGTATGACACGCTGCTCATAGATGCCTTTTCATTTTATTTCAGGGGCTACATAACTGTATGATATAGCTTATGAAAAGATGTCCTCCTACTGTGCGCGGAAAGTCCTCTCAAACTGTGGAGGTCCAGTGACAGAGGGAGGCAGGACCTTGTGGGCCATCCTGGACCAACCAACTCGCCGGGCCAGGTACCCTGGAAAGAGACAGTGACGGTGGGTTTGAGTCTCTTTGAATGACTCAAACAGAACATTATACTGTATATTAACCCACTGAGCACAACACTGGACACATTCTCAAACTACCACCTGAAACACTCCCACTGTGATATGGCGGTGTGAGGAAAGTACTTGGTAAATACCCACTGCTCCCACTACTGAACAAGTATGCTGACATTTTTGGCTCACCCATGTGCAGGGCAGACAGAAGAGACACTGCAGCCAACAAAAAAGGGGAGTCGGTTCCCATCGCAGTCGTGAAAGTACAGCTCTCCGTACAGTTTGCCTCTTGTATAAAGTCACCTTTACATAACAAGCAGGAGGTTCTGCCTGGGGCAAAGTAACTTTAGGACATCCCACAACAAGTGCTGTCATGCTGTGTTAATAAAGCCCTGCCCTGCTGCTGAACACACGAGAGAGAAGGGTAGGCTGAATTGAAATGTTTAAATACTAATGTCTGCACCCACTTGGCTGCAGAGCATTCTGAATATTTCCTGCTGGAATGTATGAATCCTTCTTGCTATATATTGTGCCTTCCTGCATTGGCTCTGGATGTTGGTATTGGTTGTAAATTGTGTGCTAGAGAATGATCAAACAAGTTTAGCATGTCTTTTTCTTCACATGTGAATGAAATCATTTCGATTGAGCAAATAGGAAATTACACTTTAATTTGTTTATTGTATTTTGGTAATATAATTGGTAGTTAGATTAAAGAAGAAAAAAGAGGAAATGATATGTAGACCTATAAAATGATGCCTTTAGATGAAGATACAGTGCAAATTGTCCCAGACTTCTTACTGTGTCATAAGTCTGTTTATCTTTTATAGCTTATATAGCTTTAGAAAGATACGTTTATTATCCAATCTGTGAGTCTTAGCTTTTGTATTCACAGGTTCAGCATCATTTATGATGTTTGGCCGAACTTTAACCCACAGAACCAGTATTTTAATACGAAGACTGAACTGCATACCTCCTTTAGTTCATTGTTTTGGTTTTACAAGCCCTATTTACTTTCATCAATCCATTTAAGTTACTACTTCCAGCTAAAAAAATGTATAGGGCTGCCAGTGAACATGATGAAGGATGTACTGGAACCAAAGAGTGTCTTGGTTAGACAGAAGGATTTGGCAAATAAGGACCCACACAATGCCGGATGGATCTGCAGTTGTCCACTATATTCAGACAAAAGTAAAGGATAGCAAACTTGTTTAAATTTAGTAATTGTAATTGCATTATTTAACGGCCCAGTGTGCAGGATTTAGTGGCCTTAAACTGTTAAAATGTATTAACTCAATTTAAGCATGAAAACATATATGATTTCAGTACAACTAAGTCATTCATTGTTAAGGAGAGGTAAATTAAGTTAATTGTACTTAAAACCATTTCTCCAAAATTATTTAAAATGTGTCAACAGAATTTATCTGAATAAAGTAAGAGTAACTTAAATGCATCTTCTTTATATAAATGTTACTAATTAAGTTGAATTTACTCAGTTTTCTTCCACTTAAGCAAATTCTTACATTACCTGTCAGAACTGCTGATATATGATTAAAAAAACATTTAAAATTAATCGATTATCAAAATCATCAAGGGCATCAAGGCTTACATTGTGTAATAATTTAAAGTCAACTAAAGAAAATGAGTAAATGGAACAAACTGGAATTATATCACAAATTATTAAAAAAACTGCACAAATATAAAAGCCCTTAAAACAGCAGATATTACAACAGTTCGTTATTGAGTTGGGTTTAATTCATAGGAATGAGTGACTCAACATTTTTGGGGGATTAAGTTATGTTAGCTTACTTCTTTTATTAAAATATGCTGTTAGGATTTGGAGTAATGGTGACCATAAAGATTCTAGAGATACCAAAATATGAGTGAGAAACAAAAACACACTTTAAGCAGCTGGAACATTATCAGATGCCCTTAAAAAAGACCAAACCGCCCACTGTGTGGATGTAGCCTGTTTCTCTTTAAGGGGGGGACACAGTTTATTGTTCTTAGATTATTTTACCCTTATGATTTCTTTCTTTCTGAAAAGAGAAGGTCTTGCATTCATCACAATGACATCTAATCTTACCATAGTCCAATTCTCACTTTATCACTGAATGATAATAATGCAGGTACACCCTTTCAAATAACGTTTAACTCTTAAGAATATTCAGGCAGTGGAAATTGAATGTGAAAAAAATGTAAAAATGTAATGGATAAATAAAACATAAATAAAACCACACATTCAAAACAATAAAAAAAAACTCAGCTCTGTTAACAAAAAATTTAAAAACACTTAAATAAAAATAAACTAAAATAGAAAAATGTGTCCGTGTATAAACTGCTACTCATTTTAACAAATACATAAATGAACTTATACTAAAATGTGCGCCAATGTATGTCTGTTCCGTGCATTTAAACTTGCAGGATCACGTTAGAAGTCGTGTTAGAGAGGCTCCTCGGTTGTCCTGTCATGCCAAGCCCATGACGCCCCATGGGTGACAGCAGCAGCAGCAGTCAGCTGTCAGCTGCGGTGTGCTCCTCCGGTGTGCTCCCCCGGTGTGCTCCCCCCTCCTCCTCCTCCTCCTCCTCCAGCAGCAGCAGCAGCAGCCTCCTGCAGCATGGACAGCGATGAGGAGAACATAGAGGAGGCCGTGGAGGGTAAGCAGCGGATTTTATTTCATTTCTCTGCGACTGACTGATTGTGAGAGAGGAAGGATGTCTTTCTGTTGTTGTGAGATTGTGGTTCTGATGTTCTCCGTAAATCTCCATGAGTCAGTGGGCCAGTGGGCCCGCGCGGTAACTTCAGAGCGCCACGGACTTTATTTCGCGAGGCAATCCGCTCGACGAGCGAGGGAGGGCGGCCTGAGTGACAGGAGTGTCCCGCTGCCAGCCGGCGTGGCTGCTGCAAACATTAGAGCAGGCAGGAAGTGTGAAATAACAGAAAATGTTCCATTTTGGTTCGGTTGTGTAACACACAAATAATTGTGGTGTTTTGATACTTTGTATCTCTTGTATCAACGTTGTTTAACCGAGTTTGTGTTGATGACTGAAATCTGTGCCGTGACACCCTCCTGTTTCTGTCTATAAAGCCGAACCCAGACTTTTTGAAGGGTTGACACCTCGTTGTAAGGCTCTTGTAAAGAATCTGGCATACCGGTGGCCCACCAGTATAAACCCATAGAATCTATATTTTCCATCAAAGACAACTTTTGATGTCATCCCTGCCTCACCCGGAAAATGGCCACAAGGGGCAGCTCAGAAAGAATGAGGGTTAACGGGCAGACTGCACACAATCTCACACCACTGCTGTAGTTAGTGGTTTCTTTCTATATATGTCCACATATAACTTACATATTGAGTTACTAATGCTCAAGTTTTTTATGTCTATTCCAGGTGGGTTTTTTTCAGGTCAAGGACTCCTTAGCTCAGAGGTTCCCAACCTTTTTCATATAGGGCCCCTTATCTGTTATTGAGTAAACTAATGACCCTTAATCATATTCAATGCATAACAATACCAGTATGAGAACAAGTGATAAACTGTACAGTGAACACAAACAGTGAACACGATAACTGCAGGGAGTTTGTGTAAAATGAGACATTTGGATCCTGTGAATATTGACAGTGATGCAACCCTGCTGTTTAATCTGGCATGATGTTAGCTACAATGTTTGTGTCCTTCTTACATGATAGGTTGATATTGTACAATAATTCCATAATGTAATTACTGTGACAGGCCTAATTAACAGTGGATAAAATGACTGTGTGTGTGTGTGTGTTCAGGCCCATTGGATGAAGACGGTCAGCCTCATGGGTTCTGCACAGTAACCTACTCGTCCAGCGATCGTTTTGAAGGACACTTCACCCACGGAGAGAAGAATGGCAAGGGCAAGTTCTTCTTCTTTGATGGAAGGTACTGTAAAGACACGACGGGAATACATGTCGTCTTTTACCACAGCTGCTACATTGCCATTGGTTGTTTATCAGAGCGGTGCGTTGTCAACAAACTAACAGTAGTGTCTACATTTAAGAAGCATGTTGAGATGTTCTGGTTTCACAGCATGTTCTGCAAATGGCAACAGTGTATTAGGACCACTGAGAGAGCTCAGTCAAAATGTTCACAAAAATTTTATAATATTATGAATATTTAGATTATAAAGTTAAAATAAGATTTAAAAAAACTGGGAAACAAAGTTGCTCGAAAAAAAATTTAATTTGAATACCTGGTGAGAGCAGTCTGTCAGCTCTTAGGTGTCAAATGAGGGCTGTGATGACCTGAATTTATAGATTTCCAGCCGCCTCCCTGAGCTTTTCAATAGATGCAGTGGATCCGATCGTCCCAAACAAAGGGGGGCCACTGTAGACACAGACTACAGCTAGTGGTCACACACAGTGACACGGTCCAAGAACAATAGTAACTGTACAGTTAAATGCTAAAACATCTCCATGTGTTAATGTGTAACCCCACCTACACCGTCTAATCCTCACACATGTGTTTTCTATCATGTGCCTACTGTATTCAGATTTTATTTAGCACTGTGTGTGTTTACATGCACACTAATAATTCCATTTGAATCCAGATGGACTGTGTAGGTCTCTTTGTCTGACCCTTCTTACCTTCCTGTCTCTGGCCTCCACAGCACCCTGGAGGGGTTCTATGTGGACGATGCTCTGCAGGGCCAGGGGATGTATACATATGAAGATGGCGGCGTCCTCCACGGGACGTATGTGGACGGCGAACTCAACGGGCCCGCTCAGGAGTTCGACGGAGAGGGCCGACTGGTGTTCAAGGGCCAGTACAAAGACAACAACCGCAGTGGGGAATGCTGGGTCTACTACCCTGTGAGTCAGCTCAGTGCTCACTGCAACACAGTGGCTATGTTTACACTTCTGATGCCATATTTCAAAGCATATTTCCATATGGCACTAAATGGGCCTTGTTTAAGGCATTACAGTGCAGTAGCAGGGAAGTAAATAATGTATTTGTTAACTGTGTGTTGTGCATGTTGGCATGTACTGTGGTGCGTCTAGGATGGAGGCTGTGTTTTTGGGGAGGTGAATGATGACGGGGAGATGACCGGTGAATCTGTAGCGTACATCTACCCTGACAGACGGACGGCTCTCTATGGAAGCTTTGTGGATGGGGAGCTGATCGAGGCTCGCCATGCCACCGTGATCTCCAACGAGGGCGGGAGGCCACGTTTTGAGATCACACCCAACAGTACGTACGGAGGGTTCTTTATAAAGGGACAGTGCATGGGACAGTAAAAAAAGTAAAAAAATTAATGGACATATTGTGTTTATAAGGTCCTGTGTACTCGTACGACAAGTCCACTTCCACCTGTGTCGCCACCCACACTCTGCTTCCTGACCCCTATGAGAGCCAGAGGTGAGTAAACTTCATGTGAGGGATACTGGGGCCGAGCCACTGCAGGACTGTTGTTCATATTGTCACCATATTGTTTGTGTGTGTCAGGGTGTTTGTAGCAGACTCTATGATCAAAGGAGCAGGACAGGGCCTGTTTGCAAAGACAGATGTTGAGGCTAACACTGTGATGGCTTTTTACAATGGAGTACGCATCACACACTCCGAGGTATGACACACACAAACACACAGCAAACACAGAGTACAATTAAAGAAAGAGATCATTAATAGCAATCATTCCCAACCAGGGGTTAATCCTCGTATTGAGTCAGGTGGAAATAACCTATTGCAGGTGAGAAGATTAGTCTAAATATAAGCTCAAGTATATGGATAAATGGTTCAAATAGAAAGCTTAAAGTAATGGCAGGACAGTTGAAATATCTTACTCATCTAGTTAGCTTAAAGTCATTTTAAACAACTCAAATAGCTAAAAGTAAAGGTGGTTAAAATGGATAGCTAATAGTAACGGTTAAACTGTTGACATTTTCATCTTAAAGTGACAAACAAAGTAATGGATAACCAATTTAAATAGTTAGCTAAGAGTAATGGCTAAATACTTTAAATAGTTAGATAAATGTAATAGCTAAACAGTTAAAATGGTTAGCTTAATAGCGTCTAAACAATTGAATTATTAAAAGTATTGGTAATGAGAAAATGTTCAATTGTCTACCCTTTACATGTATCATGAGTTTTCTGTATTTTGTAGAAATGAAACTATTTGTCTTTTTCGTACTTACGTGGACTCCTCAGGTGGACAGCAGAGACTGGGCACTGAACGGAAACACGATCTCTTTGGACGAGGATACGGTGATCGATGTCCCTCAGCCGTTTGACCAGACGGACAGATACGGTGCCTCCCTGGGTCACAAGGCCAACCACTCCTTCACCCCCAACTGCAAATATGACCCGTGAGTACAAACTGACTGGAAATGATAACAAAATGATTGCCTCAATATATGTGTACCAAAAACTGCAAACAGTAACCAGTGAAACATCATTGAATTGAATTTTGGTCAATCTCCTTTCCATAGCAGCAAATAAAGACTGACAGTAAGTAAACAGTTCTTCTATTTCCTTACCATTTCCTACTATGAACCCCCACTGAGTCGTTAGCAGCTAGGTGGCTGCTAGTATGAGCCTCTACTGTCACAGAGAAACTTATATGAATTCCAAAAGATACTGCCGGCTAAATCTTTACATGCACTGAAAAAGGGTTTAAATCTTCAAACATGTGCACAAATCTCATGTTAGGTTGAAAAGAGCAAAACATTTTGATGAAAGTAATTGCTGCAGCTGCAGGTGGGGAAAGGGCTCGTTGGAAGACGATGTTCTCTGAAGTGTAGTTATGACGTGAGGTTATGAAACAAAGTTTAATGAAGGACTCAGCGAACTGGATTTAATGAATATATGGATATTGATAAGATATTTTTCAGGTAGAGCTATAGATAATGATGTGGCAACTGTATCTTCACCCATGTAAAGCCAAAATATGAATAACTGATTTATGTGATTTTAAATGACAGTTGGCTGGAAATGTTTTATTTAGATAAAAAAAAAATGTAAAACATGTCGACCATGATTTGAACATGAACATTGTTGGTCTGGCTGGGGAACTTGCATGTCAATCCCAATTTCTCTCCTCTCTCTACTGTCAAATCTCTTATAAAGGTGTAATATGCCCTAAAAATACTTCCGATAAAAGAAAAAAAGTTGATGCATTTTAATTAGGGATGCACGGTATGGAGCCCATGTGATAATTACCTGCTTCTAATGGCTGATACTGATAAGATAACCAATAATTTCACATTTTAGTTTTTTAAAAAGAAGTTCATAACCAGCAGCTTTCACACACCTGATGATAAGAAAGAGATGTAGTGAGAAAGAGATTGAATATTCCATAGCTCTGACTATTGTTAACACAACAACATTCAAATCCTCATAGCGCATTAAGCCTATTCATTGTTTTTCTTGTCTGAAGTGTTTTTATTTCTGTGTGGTACAGGTTTGTCCACCCTCGTTTTGGTTCCATCAAGTGCGTCCGAACCTTGAGGGCCGTGCAGAAAGATGAGGAGCTGGTGGTCGCCTACGGTTACGATCACGAGCCGACAGGGAAGAATGGCCCAGAGGCCCCTGATTGGTACAAGCAGGAGCTGATGGAGTTCCAGCAGAGACAGGCGGCTCGCTCTGGCCAGTAAGAATACAGAAGAAATTTCTCATGGACAATAAAACAATCCCCCCCCCTACCTGTGCCACCACCTCACAAGACTCCTGCAGCATTACGACAGCTGATATCCCCCGCAGCTGCAAACCACACCGTAGACATTGGAGAAGTTACAGTGCTTCGTATGCGATACTGCATGAGCAAGTCAATATGAGTGGAGGTCCTGGAGATCTGAGGCCAGAGCGACACAAGAACTATGCAAGAAACCAAATGTTATTAGAGGAGACATGTCTCTGGCCGGAGGTGCTGTTCTGTCTGATTTCCCCCCCGTCCTCTTCATCACATATTACTCATGAAAGTCTCGATTTAAATGCTCATGAAAAAAAAGTATGAAAAACTATTACCATTTCTCTCAGTCTTCACTGTCTATATCTTCACTTGTTTTCCACAGTGGCTGCAGTTTACTCAACAGGGCTCCCCACCAGGTGTTAACAGCACTATTGTACCGCACAGTATTTATCTTATTTATTGAAACACAAAACTAATTCAGCTGGCCCGATCATGCATTTTAAAAGTGTAACTTTATAGGCCTGTTCACTTAGCATACAGTGTATATTACAGTGACTAATGATATCTGAAATTGGTAAAGAACTGTATTTCCTGAGCTTTGTAGAGGCGATTTGTAATGTAGGCACTAAAATAATGGATGGTCTACCACAACAGGAAAGACCTACTGTGAGCTTGTTCCACTTTTCTAACCTAATTATGTGTTCATACCCTACAAAATAAAAGTCCAACATGAAGAAAGTCAATCCACATGCCTCGCTTATTATGATACAATTAGTTTGTGTGTGTTTTTGCCTTTGCTGCTATCTCAAACTACTATTTAAGTGTTAAAAATCCACCTGCATGAATAGGGCTTTTGTGAAGTACAATTAAATTGTACTTTAAGGTCAGATTTTTCTAACATAACATTTGTTATTTAGTCCATAAAGCACAGCGCTAGGATCCTCACCAACATTTGCAGATAAGTATCTGGAATTAAAATCATGCCTATGGCCTATGTAATCGGGGGGAGGGGGGGGGTCCAGAGGTAGTGCCACCCCATTATCTTTACCTCTTCCGCACTGTGTTATAAGAAATTGGATGAGCTAGCATGCTAGCATATTGTGAAAGGGGCTAAATAACATTCCTTAGGCTTGTCGATGGAAAAACTGGCATGGCCATATTAAAAAGGGTCCCTTGACCTCTGACCTCAAGATATCTGAATTAATTTGGGTTATAAGGGGACCCAATAGTCTCCCCTTTCCAGACATACCCACTTTATGCTAATCTCATGCAGTCTGGGGCAAAAACCATGCAGTTTATTGCATGTGATATAAATGTGTTCCTTTCACCCAGTGTATCTGAATATCAATGCATACTGGGGTCCATAAACAGTGTCAGGATTACATAAATTAGGAATGACTGGAAAGCTCATATACTTGATGCCACCCCTGAATAAGTCAGTGCCCAACCTGTGCCACCTTAGTCAAATAAGTCTGGACACGCCCCTGTATGTAATGTTACCCATATTACTAGTCAAATGTTGGACATGTTAAAGGTTTTGAAGCGTAAATTTAACTCTCACTCATAAATGGACATATTTGGTTGAGGGAACCACTGTTTCTCTATCTGCTGTTTAAATGCTCTGTAAATACGCGGGAGTAGTGGGGCCGGGCTTGGCAACCTGCGAGTCCACACTCAGGGCAGTAAACTCCCCATGCGCCTCCCTCCACCTGCTGCTGGTCAGCCAGGTTAATGGATAAACTTTCTACCTGCTGAACGACACTGAAACCAGACGGCAGCCCGGAAGATACACACAACTAGAGAGGAATACAGTAAGTGCGACTCTCTACGATGAAAACAACTTTATTTTAAGTTTCAGAAACATTTACCGCCGTTATCACCACCGGGACTCATGTTTTTGACACAGAAAGCCCACAAACCGATACCGAGCTTCAAGCTAACCTAACACACCGGCTAAACTTCAGCCGTGACCGGGGACAGTTACGGACTGGCACCAGGGGACGTTGTCGCGGGTTAATACCTGGACATGGACCGATACAGGTACTTCATTTTCAACCAGAAGAGCGTGCTCGTCCTCGGTATCCTCCAGATAGCTTGTGCGGGGCTTTGTGTGGTGTGCGGGTTCATGGACGCTGTTTTCCGCAAGAATACCCCGCTGAGTACCACCAGGACGCCGGTTTGGGGAGGACTGGTGAGATATTGATCCTCTATCAGAAACTCTTTTCAGTTAATCAATACGGGCTGGTGAAAGCAGCATCACCATGTATGGACTGACCGTTATGGCCACCGATAGTGTCCGTGTGGTTCTGTAGGGCGAATAACATGTTAGTCAAATTTGGCAGCATGTTGGCACTAAATTGCCTGAGTATTGAATGGAGTCTGGTGTGAACCTAATGTAAGCGATAACGGGCCTTTGTTCCTGCCTGCTGCCTGCCGCTGTCATTTCATTCAGACTACTCTCTCCCCCTTTAGATCATGGCCTCTCCAGGTGTTCTGGCGCTGTTTGCCTCCCAAAGGAAGAACTCAGTACTGGTGAGGGTATCTCGACTCTTCATGTCTCTCTCTGCACTTTTTTGCCTCAAAGTTTTCCCCCAATTTGCCTCTTTTTGGATTACCTTACTCAGTTTCCATGAATAGTAGAAAGGACACTATTCCTTGTTGAGATGAGGGATTGGAATTGAGAACCAGTTCCAAATTGTCCAATCCATCATCATCCAATCATACACGTTATCAGTTATCAGTTATCAGTTCAGTTCCTTTTATGGATGCTGTATTTTTCTGACAGTTGTGCATTTCAAAACAATGACATTATGGTTTCACAATTAATCTAAATATTATCCAAGTCGCTCAAGTGCAATATGCAAACTGTAAGAGCTGTAGTGTTTTAACTGTGTGACAAACAGCATTATAATGTAGTACTGTAGTACTGTACTATGTAGAAAACTGACCCCAACAAACGTCACAACATTTCCACACTAATGGTGAATCATGTTGTAACGTGTCATAATAATCACATTATGTTTTTAGTTTGGTGTGTAAGAGAGTGTATTTCTCTATTCCTGACCGTTACTAACTTTAATTCCGCAACATTTAATTCTGTATGTATGTAGTCCTCTGGAACATTTCAGGGGTACTACAAATATTATTTAGAGATAAGCCATGCCTTCCCCTATGTGAGTCCAAGTGTTGCTGCTGTAGTAAACTGTGATAATGGAAAGCAAATATCAAAGAAAAATGTTGGAACTTGTGTCTTAAAAGGCCTCTATCCAATAATTAATCACACTGACTAAACAAGATCTTATGAGTCTGTTCCAGTTAAATTAGCTGATTAAACGCACAATGTGCCGACCTCCGTCTGCTGACTATGGATAAGTACCACGTACAGCCCCACTACAATAAATCCAAACTAACCCTTTAAGGTAGGAGGAAACAACCCCCCCCTCTGAATGTGTCTATGCACACCACTGCTGAGATAAGGTACAACACTGACATATTTAGTGTTTTGTGTATTGTTGAAAAGATTCCTTTTATAGGAATTAGATCAAAATTCCACAAGGATAATCATAAATAGTTATATATAATAAACTCAGAGTTAAGTATCACAGACTCACTTAGTGAAGGGAACTGATGAGGTTTTATTACCAATGTCATTATTGTTATGTCTGATTCTTTATAGATTCCTTTTACTGAGTCCTGATGAATTTTCTATGTGGGGGAGAAAAAGGAACCCACTCAGGTTTTTAGTGTCGACGCAGCTGCTATATTATCTCTGAGTGTAGAAAGAGAGTAGAGAAAGGCATGTTTAACTACTGTTTAATCTGGAACCAGTTCTCACCTGCGTGACCGCGGCGATACTGTTCTTATAATACAGTATCTACCCTCAGTAATGGACGAGCTGCTCGGTTGGGAAGCACTGCCACTCGTTCGTAGTGTTTCTACGCAAAGCTTTGATGTAATTTACGGCTGCATGATATGGTAAAAACAACATTTTGACAGATATTGCGATTGAAATATGATTCATGATTAGTGTGGGAATTATTTTTGCATCACAAATTGAATTTTCACAACAACAACAAACAGAAAAAAAGAATGTAAAATTTTGGGGGCTCTGTTTCAAATAAACATGTTGTCTTAAAACAAGATTTGTAGAGCAGGGCACCTCTGCAGCACTACAGTACTTTATTGTAATGCTGCCACATCTTTATCAAACAAATTGCAGCTTCCTGCCATTTGCATATTTGAACCAGGCCGTAGTGCGATTTCATCTGACTTCCTGTCCCTGCAGGTGAGTGTGATGGTGGTAGCAGCAGGACTCTCCTGTGCGGCTGCAGTGTTCATATCAGCTTACTCCTGTCTCACTCTCACCTACGGAGAGGAGGATGAGGAGGTCTTCCACCACCACGACAGTCCCGAAGTGGTAACCAACACACACACACACACACACACACACACACACACAAACACACACACACACATACAGACAAACACATACAAATACAAGTGTAGATGCACTACCACAATATATTTCCTTTGGGTGATACCCTGTGTTTTTTATTTAGTAAGCAATGAAGCCCTTCCTCACAGACTGCAGGTTTATATCTGAACGGGTAATTGGAACCAACTGGGGCTGGTTTTCAGTATTATAGGACGAGCATTGCAGGATCCAGCAGTGTAACATATTAGACATACAGTGAGGATATTTCATCCTATTCTGCTTACATTTCGAGCATTTAAAAAAAATCTGTCTCTTGAAAATTTGCGAGCTTTATGGAAGTGCAATACTAAATTGGCCATTGTTTGCAGCACTCGCAGTGAAGCTTGAGGATGTCATTCTCAGTCATTCCAACAGAGAGCAAGATATCTCGAGAACTAGTGGCCAGACAGCAATTATAATTGGTATAAATATTGATACACGGAAGATGATTCCTAATGAGTTTTGTGACTTCCTAATCTTCTGTATAGTGCCCGACTGCCCTTCGACCAACACTGTGGTCTATATGTTGAAAATGAATCTTGTAGAGTCAACCACATACACAGAAGTATGTCTGGGTACAACCCTGGTGGGATCTATTTTAAAAGGTCATACTGAGTACAACATCACAGCCATGACCACCTACACGCTTTCTCTCTCTGCTCAGACGTTTGTGCTTCATCGGATGGTGAAGGGGGCCAACGCCACCATACTGCTGACCTGCACCATCAGCCTGGCTCTCTCCTCTCTCATCGCCTATGTGGGCTGCCGCAGTCTTCCGTGCTGTGGCTGCTATGATGCCAGAACTGGATTGGTAGGGAAGAACTGAGTCACCACAAATAGCCTTAATATGAGCAAAAGCAATCTAATCTACATTTTGATGTATTGTATAGATGACTAACTTTTGATGTAAATTACCCAGCTAGTTATGTAGCCTTTTACTAACATTAGCCCACCAACATAGACAAGCCCACCATAAAGCATATCTAAGTACAATAAAGGAGAAAGTTGACCAAGGCTTGCTTAACTGTTAATGGGTCATAGAGCAAAGATGCAGGGCTTCGATTTGTGACAGAGGTAAACAAAAGCAGCTTTTTATTTCTGGCCAGCAGTTTTTTTTAAATAGTCACTGCTGGCTTGTATCAGTTTAAGCTAGCTTGCTATGTAAGCTAATGTTAGCTGACTTGTTTTAAAACTACACAATCTTTTAACTATGCATGTGATGACTACATTCATGTTATCACAGTAAGAGTTTTTGATCAGAAGATGCTATATTTGTTAGAAAACTATTTACAGAGCAGCTTCAGAGCAATGTTTGAATAGAGGTTGCTATATGTAGTATGAATAATAGCACATTATTGATACTCGTAAAAAGTCCATTATCTGTACCAGATACTGTTTCAGCTGAGTACTCACTCAACCCCACCCTGAACTCTAATATAGTAGCATGCAGAACCAGTGGGATGAGTGGGGTTTTTACTGCCTTAATCTGAAAACCCACAAAATGTTATAGTCAGCTGATGAGGTAATGCTAAATTAGCATTAGCTCAGCCGTGACTACTAAAATTCAACTAGGATTGCTGATTGAAACAAGGGGTTTAGCAGACAGTGAGTTTTCTAAGACTGTACTTCAAACACCATAATAAGAGATTCCTCTGAGTAGGACATTCTGTAGTACATTGTGACATTGCTGTCAGGTAAGAAACTCACGGTGGTTTTTAAAGTTTTGCCTCTTCTTTACAAAGCTAATCGTGTTGATTATTCTGAGAACCAGGCTTTTTTTTTTCTTCCTTAAAAAGTGACATTTTGCAGATAAGATATCAAAGGGTGTGTGTGTGTGTGTGTGTGTGTGTGTGTGTGTGTGTGTGTGTGTGTGTGTGTGTGTGTGTGTGTGTGTGTGTGTGTGTGTGTGTGTGTGTGTGTGTGTGTGTGTGTGTGTGTGTGTGTGTGTGTGTGTGTGTGTTGCAGGAAACGCTGGTTCCTCAGTGTGACCCTGGGGACACTGAGATGGTTTGCACATGGCAAGGTAAGACTCGATGTTAACCATCATCTTTAAGCTAACCCTCGCCAGCACTTGCTGCTGCTACTTGTGCGTTTGGTAGTGTTGAAGCTTTGCTCTCAGCAGTGAGCAGTCCCTTCATGTAGCTCTCCTCTGCGTCCAGCAGGAGGTGACGACAGGCTCTTCAACTCTCCAACTCAGTCCACTGACCAGGGCACCACTGAGGAAGAGGAGGTTCCCTCCAAACTGCCTCCATACAGCAGACTGACCTGACACACACCACCACATTAGAGACTGGTCCTACACATCCCTGCTCCTTTCCTCCATTCCAAAGAGGAGGGGATTATGGATTATAATGGTGTGCCTACATTTCTTATTTTTGAAGATGGACAGAGAGAAGGAATCTGAAAACTCTAAAGATGTCAGATTGGAAAGTTGTATAGAGATCTTTTCTGAGTTGTTGATCAAGCACTTTGGACTGTGGCAGTGTCTTTATTTCCTCTTTGACCAAAGATTTGTTGCCAAATTCATTTAAACCTTGCCAAAGTTGAATACCTGTATATGTGACCCGTGCCTATTTCCCTGTGTGCTGTGTGAAAGTGAGTAGTGTTCAATATATCAATTCTAAAATGTTTTATGTGTATTTAATAAATAAAACCTGACTGAGTTGAGTGATTTTCTAAAGAGAGGTGACTCCACATTTTGAAATGTCCAAGGTAGTTTATTGCAAGGTTACACATGACAAAACCATTGCAACTACTCCAGCAGGTTCATTCACCAGCCACTTTGTGAATTAATACCGATCTGTAATTGGATGTTTTTCTTTCTGGGCATTTGCAGTGAGAGATACAGTAGCAATATTTCCTGTTCATGGCTGTAGTGAAATAAAGTAAGGCAAAGGAAATTATAGCAGGACCCGGTGTGAAGGCGGATGGTTGGGGGGGGGGGGGTATTTATCAAAAACAAAGGACACTTGAAGAAGAAAGCAGCAACCAAATGTAAAACAATAAAACACCCACATGATGTCACATTACTGACAAGCCGCACAGCTGCAGATAACAGCCCGCGTCTGTGCTTAGAAAGTCTTTTCCGTCCGTGTGCATAGCCTCTGAACAGAGTCCTGAGAGAAGGCCTTTTGGTCTGATTGACAGTCCACATCCTTGAAGAAGACATTAACACGGGGGCCATCGGCAGAGGAGCCACAGGACCAGCTGTGGCCACGACAAACGTCCCTAACCACTAAGACACAACGCTGCAGTCTGATGCATTATGGCATATGAAGAAGTTAACGTCAGCAGTTATCATACAATGGTGTTTGAGAGACATGCTGAATATTGTAGCACAAGCTTACATACGGGATAAGTAGTGGGTTTAGGCATCCATGTACATGTAGAGGTGGACACTACTAAGCCTTACACACTGAGAGGTATGTGTTTGATTCACTGGCTATCCTACACAGTACTAAACTCTTGTTCACCAAGAGAAGGGAACGGCTAACAGAGACTGTCCTTACAGGTTCCCTTTGTGTCCTTTATCGTTAAATGAACCGACCATTCCTGTTACATTCCCCAAAAGATGTGTTTTTAAAGATTCACCTTGAGATGTTAAAGGTCCAGTGTGTAACATTGAGGAGGATCTACTGGCAGAACTGGAATATAATATTCATAGGTATGTTTTATTAGTGTGTAATCAGCTGAAAGGAAGCATTGTTGTGTTCTTATTAGCTTAGAAAAAGTTTCGCTGCTAGATGCCGCTGTACACACTGGTCCTTAAACATCACGCCGCCATTATGCAGAGTGTTAGCTCCGCTGCTGCATGCTAACAAACTGAGCTCAACAAGCATTAGCCAGCAGGGGTCTACTTTTTTACTCCCTCCTCACATTGTTCACAACTGTTACTGACGGCTAGGAGAACTGCCCATACAGTTCATTCAACCATCGCATTCTGTCTCATAACTGACTGTCAACTGTCTGGTGCTGAGCAGGTAGTGTACAGCGGGGTTTTAAAGCTTTTTCCCAGAAAACAGCTGCCTTCTACGGAAGCCCATTTCCACTAACAAGAAACTCCCTTAAAATACTGACTTAGAATCTCTAAATAATGACTTCATCACAAAGTCATTATTTTCAGATACCAAATCAAAATATTGAGAAAGTTTCTCATTATAATGACTTACAGAATCTTTTTTCCCGCTTCACAAAAAATGGCCTCCTACCGCCGAGAGAGTACTTTTAAACTAAAGCTCACTGTAAAGCTCAGTTAAGCTGAGGGGAGCTGTAGATTGCAGTGTTAACTCTTTATAGGTTCATCACAATATGCGCCTCCTCTCACACCGTCCACTGTTATTATAAAAATATCGATTATTGGGACAACCAATTCCATTACCAGACATTAACACTAACATTGCATGGTGTCTTGACTTTGATGGCTGAAGTGTTAAATAATGTTAGTGTTAAATATATCGTACAGCCCCTTTAATGATGCTGATTTCATGAAGAGGAAACACATTATTGTTTGTTTACAAGGGAACTCCACAGGGCACCTTTAAGGAAACGGCTGAGCTTAAACCAAAGTGAGCATCGCAGATGAACGCAAACACAAATGACAAAAAAGAGGCAGTTAAAATAACACAAACACCTTTCAATATAATACCGTCTATACTACACTGTCACAGATTATGGCCTAAAATTACAAACAAAATGGCAGAGGCTGTATTTTAACACGTTCTGTTTCCCCCCTGTATAAGTCCTACCCTCCCATCAGGCCATGGTAAAACTGTAAATAAAGAAATGTATATCGCAAATCCCTTATTTATTAATGCCACTCTGCATACATGTTTTCTGTTGCCACAGAATACATGATGATAAGAGCATTTCAGTGGCGCAAGCTCGGAGCTTAAATCATTGAGTGAGACTCGGTTTTGGCCCCTCACTCAGGATCATTTCCAACTTGATTTTGGCATCCCTAAACAACAACAACAACAACAACAATCTGTAATCTGTAAATTGTACCCCACGACCATTTAAAGTCATTTATAAAGTTAAGCACAAGCATTAAAAAAAAAGTGTCCTTTTGAGACATTCATCTATGTGTTGTGCTGATTATGAAGCCATTTAGCTAGAACCGTTCTCTCTCTCAGCCTCTTTCCTCTGCTCCTTCCGTCTTCAATCTCTTTGTGCAGCCTCAGGCTGAAGTTGTCTCCCTCTTTCCCTCCATCTTCCTCCCTCAGCAGCTGCTGCAGCTCCAGCTCCTGGACCCATCTCCCCCATCATCCCTCACCCTGCTCAGGTTGATGGTACCCCCTGATCCCTCGGGTGGCTGGCTCAATACCAGAGGCTTCTGAGACTTCAGCTTGTGGGCCACCGTCATAAAAATAGCCTCAACGTGGTCACTGTTCCCTCCACCATAGTTTCCGTCCTGGCTGTTTGGGTTCTTTGCGGACGTCTCAAACACAGGCATGGAATGGGCGTCGGCAAACTGTTGCGCCACGTCTGTGCCCACCTGGATGGAGTCTTGGAGGTCGCACTTGTTTCCGACTAGAATCCTGGGTACCTCTGTACCCAATGCATGCTGCTTGCACTCCTCTATCCAGGCTGGGAGGCTGCGGAAGCTGGCAGCGTTGGTGACGTCGTAGACGAAGACGACAGCGTGCACGTTGCGGTAGTAGTGCTGCACCATGGACTTCCTGAAGCGCTCCTGACCTGCAGTGTCCCACAGCTGGATCTGTGGGGGCACAGTGTGGAGATGGATCAGCGAAAATAGAACAGAAGACCTAAGTATTGTGTGTGTGAAAGCCACACTGTTGCACTGGGTGACAACATATTGTTGGGTTTGGTCTTTTTCATGGGATTTGTTGACAATAAGAAACATATAGAATAACAAAAGCAACTTTACACCAAACTCCAAAATAAAATTCTGTTGATCTAATAACATTTACAATTTACGAACAATAACAAATTAAAATGCAACCTTTAAACGTTTACATTACCAGGCTTTAAAGGTGGGCTGATAAGTAGGGTTAGCTGTTATTTTTCAATTAAAAGTGGTCATCTAAATGACCTTAGAGGGACGGTTCACACCAAAATCAAAAATACATATTTTATCCATGTAGATTGTCTCAGTGTGAGTTGCTGAGTGATCAGCTGTGGCTGGAACTACACCTTCCATCTGCAGCTGAACATTAGCTTTCTCAGAGCTGGCTGAAGTTACCACTCAGTTGAGGAGGACGCCATTAATGTTTACATACTGTGCTGTCATAAACATGAGCCTCTCCTTCATGAGTAAACGCACGTTTCCTTCTTCAGCAGTAATACATAACAATAAAGTAGTTCCTACATGAAACTGCGCACAACAAGGCCTGATTATTATCTTCACTAACCAGGTCAGGATGTATGGAAAGAGACATTGCTGTTGAGTTTTTGAAATATATTTTTGGTGCTTTGAGCAACACAACTTGAACACCATCTGGTTCCATTATATTGGAGAGAAAGCAGACATCTCTATGGCAGATATCTCCAAAACTCAGCAACGCACACCAAAACAATGTATATGGATAAACAGCACTACAGGTAAGAGGAAAAACAGGATTTCTTTGATTTTGGGGTGCACTGTCCCTTTAATGGTTTTGCATATAGGGGTCAGTGGAGCTTTAGGAAAAATGTAGCCTGGAGAGTGAATACATAGCACTCCCTCATTCATCATCATTATCATGCCCTTGTGCAAGGCATTTAACTGCTGTAATGCACTGCTGATGAGCAGACCCTGCCACTAGCTGGGAGCCCACACGTTTCTCTCCCAGTGTAACGTTACACGAGTCCCTGCTCTCCCCTACTTCTTCTATCTATCTACAGTATATCTGAGCTACTGTGTTCTCCACATCAGGATACCCAGACACATAGATCCACATCTGGATTACATTCACACAGCTTTTTTTTAACAGTGTCTTTGTGTCTGCACCGCACACCTTGATTTTCTCCCCGTCAATCTCGACCAGCCTCTCCCTGAAGTCCACCCCGATCGTGGCCTCGGTCTTATCGGGGAACTTCCCGGCACAGAAGCGGTAGGTGAGGCAGGTCTTCCCGACACCCGAGTCCCCGATCACGATGATTTTGAAGATGCGGGTCCTCGGCGGCGGGAGAGTCAGAGAGCCGGAGAATTCAACCGACGACCCGCTCTCCGCCATGTCACACCGGCAGGCTGGACGTTCAGCAGGGGGAAGCCTTCCACCTCAGCAGCTCCTGCACTGACGTTAGCAGCCCGTCAGGCGTCCTCAGCCGCCGTCACACCAGCTACAGCCAATAAGAAGCTCCCGCGAGACCCGCTGCCGTTCGTTATCAAAACATACGTGAGGAAGACACAACATGTATTCGACGTCCAAACGCTGTCAACAACCCTCACACTGTCTCTGTCTCAAACGAGTGCATCCCGGTAAACACTCCCAGTCCTCAGCTGCGAAGCCACGTACAGTGTTGTCCAAGGAAGTCTATTCTCGCGAGATACAGTTCGTGTAGCGTTCGCTGTCCCGTGGGAAAGAATGTAAATGCCAGCTTCGTTAAAAGAATTCAATTTACTCAAACTTTCAAGCAGTAAATACTGCCCACCTCGGCTTTAGCAGTTTGTTAGGACCACTGACTAATATCAAATATATTCACTTCAGTTTGCAGTTGCTCACTACCAATAAAATGTTAGCCTCTGCTTTCAGTTTCTACTCAGAATTCAGATGATAATTGATTGTACCATTTATGTTTAGTGTCAGAATAGATAGATAGATAGATAGATAGATAGATAGATAGATAGATAGATAGATAGATAGATTTCTTTGTTGAGTATAGCCAGAGCCCATCTACGGAGAGCCCACTCTCTATTAAGTCCCATTGTACTGAATTTTGGTTGCAGTTCCACCAGAGTTCCACTGGGGGCGATCGCCCATCAGTGCTGAATGAATGGGAGCAGATGGAGCTAGACGGCTAAATTTGTCTCTTTCACCTGATTGTCGTTGAGAAATCTCAGATTTGATTGTAGTTCAACATGGGTTATAGGTCGAAAGTTGAATGAACGAGTACTTATGTCCTTTCCATTTCTTACAGGTTGAGTTGTTGTTGAGACTTGCCGTAAAGCGGTATCTCTGGCCGTACGATGTGTGTGACATCATTGACATTTTAAAAGACTTTTTAAAGCAAATAAGTGACTCTAAAAAATCTAACACCCAGCAATGTGTCATTTCTTTGCATCCCCTTTCGAATGCAACATTCAAATTACTAGACAAAAAATGATATCCTGAGAAAAGTGGATTTTGAGGGGAATAGCTCCATAGAGCTCCATTCATTCTGCACTCATCCTGTGAGCGCCCTCATATGGAACCAGAGTGGAACTGCAACAGTTCAGAACCCGGAAGTTTACAGAGAGTGGAACTTCTCTCCTTATTAGACATTCTCTGGTATAACCTAACTAATATGTTAGCTAGCTAGTCCTGTTCAGTGCTTTCAAATGTACTAGCTAGCTATATTAGCAGTAGCTAGGTTACATTTTAGACTCAAAATATAGTAACTATAAAACAACCGGTCGCCAGTGCCACCACCTGTTGGCTGGCTGTCTGTCAGGTGACTGGAGTTCATTTGTTGCTAACTGACTCTTCCTGCCTGTACTCCCTGCCAGGGAATACTGGTGAGTACAACAGCGACCACTGCTGGTCACATGAGAGAATTAAATAAACATGAGTTCACACGTCAGTAGAAAAATAATTCAATTTTCATATACTACCTGACATACAATTAATGATCAATATTGGCATTGTGTTGATGAAGAAACATGTTAGCTTAGCTTAGCCTGTCCTCAATGTAAAAACTAACATTACTAAAACAGGTTACAAACAGTTAGTTACAGTAAAAACCCCAGTTACACAATATAGTTTAACTAACAAAGTAATCCCCTAGATCTTCACTGATTCCCCTTATTTTAAAAAAAATGTTGTTGATGCAATTGTCTGCCAGAAGGAAAACAACCAATCAGAGGCGAGAATGATGGTTGAGTCTCATTCCCAGTTCGTCAAATACCGACGCTGGTAATGAGCCTCAAGAATCAACTTTCTTTAATTCACCAACCCAAAGCTTCTCGGCACTGATTGGTTGTTTTTGTTCAGACCCGGTGGATTCTTGTCTATTGTTGAACTAGAACGAACCAGATTTTTTTCACAGATTATCTATTTCATGTACTACTGTCAGGATATAGTGAAAGTTTCAGCAAATGAGACAAAAAGTAATTTTTATAAAAGTTACCTACTGCAGCTTTAACAGCAGTTGCAAAGTACTATTACATATGTCGACTTCTCACAACTCTTAATCATGGCTACACATTGTATTTGAGTTTACATTCTGTGTATTAATAACCACACACACATCCACATCTTTCTTTGCATTTTAATAACCATGTATTTCAAAGACATTTGTTATTGTGCTGGTTCCTAAGCCTGGGGGGCGTCACTCTGCTCAGGACACAACTCTGCAGGAGAACAAGTAGAGGGATGACTATTAATGAAAGTCAAATGAATCCATCCATCCATATTTCCAACAGTGCTTATCATTGCTTTGAACTGCTGTCGCTCAGTAATCAGTTCACACAAACCTGCTTGTTCATAGATGAACGCTGGAGGCTGTAGGAAGCCCAGGCACTTGGCCTGTTCCCTGGATTTCTCCTGGTCTGCCTGTGGCAACACATCTGTCTTCTCTGGAAGAAAACAAAAAGTTCAAAGAAGAGTTAAAGGGATATCATCTGTATCTGTATGAAGTTCAGTCTGTTGCAGCAGTCATTTCTGGATGTTTCCCAGAAGTTGTTTATGAATCCGCCTGACATTCTGCTCCATTCAGGCTACCGTAGGTGAACAAACTGATATCACCATGTGTCTACCAGTTGGATTGTGGTATGCAGTCAGATAATTAATAATCTGTTTGATTTGGAGACACTGACACGTGCGCTTTCCGTCTACCACTCATCTAAACTGCACTGTAACAATGGTGTCTGAAGGGGTGTTTTGAATTAGAACAGTAATCTGGTTTTAAGAATTATATCTAACTTTGTTTTAGATATGACAGTTAATATTGAGCTTGATTGAACCAGTAACCAGTTCCAACAATGGTTTGCATAATATCCCAGCAGAGACCCCTTGCACAACAAGAAATTATTAATGTCAGATTAAGGTACAACTATTCTTAAATCCAGCCCCATTAGGGACCAGAATATGTAGTTTGAAGAAATTGTGTCTCATTGTAAGATATTTTTGCCAATTATTAATCTTAGATTAAGGTACAAATTCTTAGATTTAGCTCAATAAAGTGAGCAAAATACTTTATATAATAATATTTTTAAGAACTACATTTTTAATTAATTGTAAAAAGCAAAACTTGCTTCTTCTTCTTTTTTAGTTTTAAGCCATTACAGTATTTCAGTGGTTAGATTTTTATGCTAGTTTTAAGAATTCTAGCCAAGCAAAACTGTCTTACCCAGTGTTTCCTCTAGGATTTTTTTTTAGCAGTGGCGGCAGGCCCGTCCGACCCCCCCTGCCCCATTTCTGATACCATGGGGGCAGAAATTTAACAGCGGCGGGCCACCGCTCCAAAATCAACATAGAGGAAACACTGTTACCCCGATGGCAGATTGTTTACTGACTTACTGATTTACTGACAGAAATCAGGAAAACGTGCCAAAAAAGAAAAAGTAGATCATCAAGACTTAGGGTCCTTCTAAGTTAATACTTAATGTTACTTTAAAGCTGCACTATTGAAATATAATTTTGTGGTTTGATGTATCAGGGAATGACAAATGGAGCAGGTTAGAGGGTCTTTCAGTTTTAGATATTGTAAAAATCTGAACACACTGCTAGAGGAGGTCATTTGTCTAGTTCCTCTGGATTCAGTCATTTCCATTACTCATGCTTTCCATATTGATTTTCCAGAATGCAACAGCACTGAGGAGAACTCCTCTATCAGCTAGTTCCTTATTCTATTGCCCCTACACACTGGGTTATTGAGCTTTAGCACAGAGAAAGAAACAAATAAAGTGCGTCTTACTATAGAAAAGTAGATAAGTGCCCTCTTTTCCATCCCTTCTAACAGTGCTGTGGCGCATCATCAGACAGTCATCACAGGTCTTCAGGAAGTCAGCTTTGGATGTGGTATTATGAGCTGAGAGGAGAAGGAAACCAGAAAGGTGGAAATAAAATGTGTACTGCATGGAGACAGTTAGCAATTCTGCTACTAATTATTAGCATGGAAAAGGAGCCCAGCTGTGAAGTTTGTCCACCATTTTGGAAAATAGGTCACACCAGCATTTGACATCTTGAAATTTAACAGCTAATTCACAATTAATGGTTTCGCCTCGCAGGACAGACGTCAATCCATGCATGTTTTTCTCACCAAGTTCCTTTTTTATTAACTTAAATTCTGACCTTTCTTATAAGCTAGCTAGCTTATTAGCCATGTTGCACCTTTCACTTCTATTTAACCCCCTCTATCAGAGTAGTGACTGTTCTGAAAAAGAGCAAGACAGGAGTCAAAACTACGAATGCATCTTTTCAATAAAGTGTGTGAACTTATGAATTTATTAATTATTCTGTTAGCAGTCAAGCTAAGCTAATTAGCTTGCTAACAACTGTTACCAGGGGGTAAACAGAAGAGACAGAGAAGCTCACTAGCTACAGTAGTTAAACCAGCCCTGTGAGTGGCACTATGTCATAAACTACTAGAACCAGTGTGACCAAGCCTTAGGGGTTACTAAACACCTCTCTATGATTCAAAGGAACCTAAAATCCTTGTTTGGAGTATACAGAGGCCTTAGAAAGCCTCACTTAAAGCTGGTCTAAAGAAAGGCTTTAAACTTTTGTTCTTCACACACTAGTTTGAGTTGAAACGCATTCTGCCTCTGTCTGCCATGGATAACTCTGGCAACACTATAATCTTTGGTCCATTTAAAGAATAAAATATTCAAATATGCACATTTTGTGACTTACTTGATATTGATATTACTTACTGGTAGATGTGAATTGGATTGTGTTTCCCACTACAGTGAAATTGATTGAATAACGGGTGCACCTTTCATCCCTGGGAATGCAAAGGAAATACAAAATGTAGCACAATTTCTGCGTTCACATTGAGGTTAAGGTGGTTGTTATGAGACTGTATTAGGCAGTTGATAGCAATAAACGTTCTTGCCTTTTAAAAAATGGTGCTGGTGATGGAGTCAATTTGTGTTTTGTCAACAGGTTCTCATCCCAGGTCATCAAATACCAACGCTGCTTTGTCACACCCCTTGGCGTCTCGTACAGATGCACAAGGGAAGCTTGAGCATCAGTAGGAGACACCTTTTAACGTGTGGGTAACATGGTGAAACGTCACAGTGGAACAGAGTGTTTCTGCAGGGCTGGGCCACAATGATTACTGTACAAAGACACACTGTTAGCAGTGATTCTGGTGAAACTGCATCATATTTTATGGAGAAAATATTGTCTGGCTTTCTCTCCAATGTCCTCTGGCTGCTCTGCCTTTTTCATAAATTTGTATCAGATTTTATCCCCCTTTATCCCAATTTGGTAGCCAATTACACCCAACCTATTCCCTAACCCAACCCCTAACCCCTAACCCCAACCCCTAACCCCTAACCCCTAACCCCAACCCCTAACCCCAACCCCTAACCCTAACCCAAGGTAGGAACACAAGACTCATTTTGAAAATGTCCTAGAAATGTGGGACCATTGGGCTGCGGGAACATAGGGCTGACCCGGTGAAGACAACCTACGAGACAGACAGAGGACAGTGTGAAGACAGCTGTACTGAAGTGATTTATGGACTTTCCAGATGGACTTGCTTGGAGTTGCTAAAAGTCACCTACAGTAATGTTAGATGCTGTTAGCTAGTTCGCTCATGCAGCTCACCTCAGCTGACTTAGCCCCGGGATGCCAGGAGCCAAACCCCGCAAATGGGTTGGTTTTCTGCATTGCAACATAATACTGGAACAAGACGATCCATGGGCTGAATTTGTTTGACATTGCAATTTTGTCCAACCACTGAAAATCTGACCAATCGTTGTAGTTTCTGGCAAGTTTCACCAATAACAACAGTCAAACTGCAACACGTTGAGCCATACATCACCAAACTAGAGACTTTATTCTCACGGGAACAAATATTATGCAAATATAGTAAATATGTTTTGAATAAGCCTGAACATTTATTCATATGAACATTCTGCAGATTATCATTTACCAGCACTTACGCCACAATGGCCTGTTTGAAAAGGACTGTCTGGTTGTCCTCTGAAGGGATAAATTCAGACCGGGAGCTGTTGGTGCTTTTCAGTTTCAGGCTGTAGTAGTCAGGGCTGCTCAAAACGTAGGCCTCATGCAGGATCCACTTCCCAAAGATCTAAGAAGAAGAAACACGCACTTTACTCCTCTGCTGTTGGAAGATGATTGTACTCTGGCCTCTGCTGCACCAGGCTACATTTAAGGACATCATGGTGCTAAATGCTAACCTTCAGTCCCTACAGAGTGTAATAAGTCACAGGTAGCCCTGTTTGTTTACATCTACTTCATGAGAGACAATCCTGCTTCCCATGGAAAATCTGTGGCTGTACTTTGCACTTCAGTATCAGTAATGGGAAAGTTAACCACAAGTACAAACTGCATTTCCTTGCTTCTTGTGCTGGCTTTGCAACTTACATGTGCACCCACAACCCTCTTCAGAGACACAATGAGAGGCACAATCACAACACTAATCAGCAATGAAGCTACCAGAAAACACGTGAAAGAAAATGTGTTCAGCTTTTTGTTACTTCACTGTGCTGAATGTGCAGAATTTGTCTAGGAGGCTGTTTTCTCATTCATCTGTTGAAGGGCGTTTCTCTGTTACAGCAAGGATTCATTTCATGTCACCGTCAAAACACTTCAGTCACACTAGCTGGACTGTACACCTCATGCAGGCATATTTAAAACAACTCACTACCAGTTAGTTCAGGAAAATACGTTTTTAATATTTTGAAATACTGATCCTGAATGTAGCAGGAAGTGGCTCCGTGATCACAAAAAGGTTAAAACAAGAAAGTTATTCTGGACCTGTTAATATGAAATATACACATGAAAGCAGCGTACCATGGGCAGCTCCTCAGCAGAGAGGGTTTTGTTCAGAAGGACACACTCCTCAGGAGTTGGAGCGGCTGCAGTCAGGCTCAGCAGCAGAGCCGCAGCAAACATCTTGGACAGGAAGTACATGGTGGGAGCCTGAAGACGGATCAGCACCCTGAGAACCAACTGTCTTGTGAGCTGGAGAACGGCAGGATCACTGTCTGATGTAGTTGATCAGATTGCCCCGCAGTTATATGCCACTGTGTGTGTGTGTGTGTGTGTGTGTGTGTGTGTGTGTGTGTGTGTGTGTGTCTGTCTCTCAAGGTTAGATCAATAACTGTCGCAAACCTTAAAGGTGGGGCAAGTGATTCTAGGTAATGTGATTCTAATCCAGCACACTTTCTATCAAATTCAGGCAGGACTGAGCACACAACACTAACTTGTTATTCAAGCCAGGATTTGTGTGTCAGGTAAAGTTCAGCTTACTTTCTAGTTTGCCGAGATATGCTGTTGGTGTGATGTTAGCTATAAGAACTGTGAGCTGCTCTCTGGAGCTGGTGTGCTGGCTCTGGGAAACCGTCTCATCTCTCTCTGCATGTTAGCTGTGCAGTTTTCTAACCCATGACCTTGCTAATGTTAGTTACATTGCTTGCAGTGTCATTATTCGCTCTATATCATGGTATTTGTGTTTTTGTCAGGGTATTGGATTCCTCCAGAAGTGCTTAAGTTGCACTTAGACTACAGGAGTTTTGAAGCTGCAGTAGGTCATTTGTATAAAAATAACTTTTTGTCATATTTGCTGAAACGTTCACTACATGCCGACAGTAGTACAAGAGACAGATAAAAAAGTTACCTACTGCAGCTTTAAAATCCTGTCTGATCTTGAAATCCCGTTCCATCCCCCACATGAGGAGAAAGATTTTCTTCTGTCTGATCTCAAGGATAAAATAACGGTGCATCACACACTACCGGATATTATCAAGGTTATCGTGCTAAAGGAATCAATGCACCACCTCACAATTTCTCATGTGGAAGCAGATGTACACAAAATGGAGAGTAACGTAGTGGAACAACTTGCTTAGTAACGTTATGTGGTCAACACAGGTTGTCTATTCTTCAGTGAGAACTGGAGGTGAGATTTTGGTCAGTTTTAATATCTGTCAACAGTAGTATGCTATATGGCAGCCTCAAAAAGTTTACTGCTGCTTGGCAACCCTGAACTCTGATTCAATCAAACATGATTAAAAATGATCAATTAACAATTGTATAGTACCAGAAAGATAACGGGTTCAGTCAGACCTTTCTCCAGCACCGACACAGCGCTAAAAGGATATACAGAGGTCTGGCTATGTGAGACTAATAATGGTCAGTCATCGACTTCTACCTCTGATAGATAGGCTATCAATGAATCAGTTTTCCATTATAGTAGAACTGACCAACACTAAATTGTCTGTCGATGTAACAACCTCAACATTTTTAAATTCTAATGAGTAACTTTGGTTATGAGAAAAAATTCAAAGACTAAAAGTATTGATATTAGCTTTCTAAAGTGGTTAGTCTATCTCATGTCATGAATGTCTGAATCTGCATTCTCACAAACATTCTTTTACTTTACTTTGTCACCGTTTATGTCCTTCCTCATATACATCCCTCCTTTCTTTTCTTGTTTCCTGTCTTCCTGTCCTGCTTCAGCTCATCTGAAAGAGGGACAATCCACAAAACTGGACACAAAGGGGTTTACCTGATAGTGAAATTACTCTCCTACACTATGAATATTTTCACATTGGATACTTTAAATGTATATACTATATATTTACTTAAAAAACATGTTTACTTAGTAAGTGTTCATTTATATATATCTATATATACCATATATTTTTTAGATATTCCTACTATTCTGGATATTCAGAGGCCCATTGATGCCAACTATTGAATCTTAGATTCAACTGGCTTGTTTGACTTGTGAAAGTCATTGACTGCTGGAGCAGTTCTGGGAAACCAGACAGGACCAGCAGTGCCATGTCACTGTTCTGTCACTGTGGTCATTGTCCTTATTGCAAGGTTGTATGTAAAGTTGGGAAAAGTTACCAAAAAAAATTATTCATTGATTTAATTAAGCAGAAACATTGCAAAAGAATACTTTTTGTATTTGTACAAAATCAACAATTTGAAGACCCCATTTTGGACACATTTGTCTTTATTGTCTTACACTGCAACGGTTACTAAACTAATAAAAGAAAAGTGAAATCAACCATTAATATTTTAACCAATAATGAAAATAAAATTTGCAGCCCTCTGTTTGTTCTGTCATGAAGAGTCTTCTTTCCTACATGGGACACAGCTCTGTAAAGACAAAAGGGTTATTATAGGTCAGTTTATTTTTAATAAATCACTCTGAAAATCTGTCAAATTAGGTCTCTGCTGCAGCAAATGGAAATAGCAATAGCACAATTTTTTATTTTAATTTAATGTGAGTTTTTCTTTGAAAGCTGGCGTATATCTGAATGACTGGTAAGAGCTCCTTCTGCGCCCAAGGACGTCCCACTCTTTCTACAAACCCCCCACGATTTTGGGTAATTCACATATTTGCTTTACTGCATAGAGTTAGATGAGAAGACTGATAGGACCCTTGTCTGTCAGCTAAGTCTGGAGATAGAGCCAGCATAAAGACCGAAAGAAGGGGGGAAACAGCTAGCTTGTTTTTTAAATCTGCCTTCCAGCAGCACATCTAAAGCCTTAAGTGAAGCCAAATGTAAAAATGACAAGTTGTTGTATAAAGAGAACTATGTATGATGTTCCAAGATGGCACCCCATTTGCTCCAGTGTAAGTTGCTTAATGGGTGCAATCATCATGGATTTACTTACCTTAAGGAAACTTAAATAGGATGATTCTCCAGCAACTTCTGGAGTTATAAGGAGCTTTTCTCTGTGATTCCTTAGTGGATTTGGGGGTTTTTACTCACAATGGACAATACGCGTTGAATCTAAAACTGTGTTCAGATTTGAGTTAAACAGCCTAAATCAGCTACTTGCGACCTTCTCACCTTTGCTGGTGTCGTAGTGAAACTTTGCCGGCAGGGGAAACTTGAGGCATGCAGCTTGTTTCCTGAAGGTCTCCAAGTCAGAGGCTGTCAGTGTCGTGTTCTTCCCTGCAGAGATCAGTAGCACTTTCACTTTCACAGAGAAGCTTTTATTTTATTTTTATTTTTTAAAGTATTATTTTTTGGCCTTTATTTGATAGAGACACAGCTGGAGATAGACAGGAAGGGGGGGCAGAGAGAGAGGGGCTGACATGCAGCAAAGGGCCGCAGGTCGGATTCAAACCCAGGCCGCTGTGTATATGGGTCGCCAGCTCTACCGACTGAGCTAACCAGGCGCCCACAGAGAAGCTTTTATGATGCTAATCTTTTGTCGTTAGGCCATCATTAATGTTATTCATAAGAGCTGTACTTTTTCCTACTATGACAAGTCAAAATGTCTGCTGGAAAAAAGACATATCGAAAGCTGCCAGAGTGCCATTAGTTGGTGACCTGCTCTTTTAAACCTCATACATACCAAATAAGTACAATGCTTGGAAGTCATTCTCTTTTGTGTAGGTGTACATGATCAAACAGTCAAGGCAGGTCTGCAGGAACCTGTGGTAGGTATGGGCGACTGCAACTGGACAACACAACACACAGATTCAAGACAATATTCTTCAAACACTGAATATGTTCAAAGACTGTGTTGTAACAAACATTGTCAAGCCTGTAACACTTTGACACCATTTTCCATATTGCTATTCATTAGTTGGTTTTACATGTTATTGTGTGAGTACTGGTGCATGTCTGTCACAGTGTTTCCTCAATGAGACAACTTACAGTGCAACTCCAAGACTTTGTCATCGACGATGGGCACATTGTGAGAACCTCTGAGGCATTGTCTTTGCCTAAAATAAGATAAAATGAGAGACTTGAGTGAGCCTGTGGGAAAACTTGGGTTTTTTCAGCACCAAAAGAACAATCGAGACTCAGACCAAATTGGGCTCTGCAGCGAAAACGCCAGTCCTCCCATCCATTTGAGTAGGGGGAAGTGTGTTTAGGCCCTGGTGGTGGGGGCTTCCTGCGGTGAAAAAGCTGAAACAGAAGCAACCTTTGGAGAAACGCAACCCAATGTCCTGCTGCTGTGGCAAATCCGGTGATCAGACCGATCAAACTGCTCCACAGTCAGCCTGAAATATCACTGAAATCGGTGCTTTCCAGGCGGACTCCATGGACCAAACTATGACTCTCTCCCAGATGTGTCCTCGCTAGGTTTATTTTGCATACCAAGCTTCGGCGTCTGTGCCTGAATTGTGAACAGACGGTGGCGCTAAAGGAAATGTCAGGGGATTACCAGAGTCATTAGAATTCATCCTCTGGGGATCTTGTGCCTTTTTCCCTTTTTGTTCTTCACGCGAGACAGAGTGGCAGGGGTGTGGCCATTAGATGGGCTACACCTGGTTCATCCCTGATTACTAGGCTTTATAAGAGGTTGATCAGTTTGTTGTCCTCTCCCCTTCCAGCCAGCAGGTCCTGGGTCTGTAGCTGTCTTTGTTTGATTAATCATTTACCTTCTCCCACATCCACACACTCACTTACGTCACTACTGATAACACTGATGTACACATATATCTTGTATACTTTGTTAGTGTGAATATTGAACAATTACATTTATTTTTGGTTTAAACACTTTACTTGTCTGTGTGGTCTCCCTTGTGTTGCATGAACTGAGAGCAGGTTCATGACACTATGTATGAGGCAGATATTGAAACAAAATATTACAGGAAATGCAATTTAAAAAAAAAGAGAATAAACGTAAGTATTCTTACTCATTTTTGTAGTATTGTCATAGTATTTTACGTTTTTAAGGTCCAGTGTGTAACATTTAGGAGGATCTATTGACCAAAATGTAATATGATATTCATTGGTACAACAGTGCGCTAGAGAAAAAAGTCTGCCGATCAGAATCAGTAGGATTCATCCTCTGCGAACCATGAATGTCTGTTTCATGTCAGTCCATTTGATAAGATGAGATGTTTCAATGGTGGATCAACCAATAATCAATAAATATGAACAAGTTGAAGTTTATGACACACTGGATTGACATTAGAGCCATTCTTCCTCATCAACCACAGAAACAGAAATGTGAAAAGCGTATTTACTATAATATTCTCAAGTGCAGGATATTTGTTTCCTAGATGTCTTGTATACCTGTCCTACAGATTAACTCTAAAGCAGAAAAAAATCACTGATATGAGGAAATAAAGAAAAAAAAAGACTACTTACATTGTTGCCTGATGCTGCTGGGGTACCAGCTGGCTGGCCTGATCTAACACCAAGGTCTGGTTGTCTGCTGTTGTGTTCAACATCATCCACATACTTTCAGTATTTTTAAAGACGCTGTCAAAAATCTCATTATTGGAACACCCCTCGATAAAGATCCACTTCCCCAAGATCTGTTCAGAGTACAAAACTATAGGGATCAGCTTACACTGGGTTTCACACCGATATTAGTCACATTAATTCAGGATTATTTCTAAATTAACTTTACATTTTGGTGAATTTACTGTTGATGGAAGTATTGTTCTGATCTATACAGAATGAGGGAGACTGAGTCTGGATACCTGATGGAGGTCATTCGCTGTCAGAAGCTGGGTCAGCTGGCTGCAGTCGTCTGTTGTGGGTGCTGCCGCGCTGAAGGACAGCAGAGAGACGAGGACGGGGGCCCAGTGTAGCACAAACATGGTCGACAGCAGTAGGGTAACACGTCAAGGCTACCCTTCAGGATTGAAGCGTCTGAGATTTATATGCGGGCGGCTTGCAGCACTTGCTATAGATCGATGCAGCTATGGTGTGGGGGTGTACTTTGCACTGGGGCGAATTTCAGTACTGGATTTAACAATTTGGGAAATTTTGAACTGTGCAATCATCACTCATGGTACAAGGTCTGGTTTTTTGTCATTCTATAACCAGGGTTGTATGACTAAATGCAATAACAGTCACAAAAACTTCACATGGGTCCAGGGAAAAACAAACAACAGTCTGATTAATCATTTATGTAACTGATTCATTATTAGCGTCTCAATTCAATTCAATTCAATTCAATTTTATTTGTATAGCGCCAATTCATAACAGAAGTTATCTCAGGACACTTTTCAAATAGAGCAGGTCTAGACCGAACTCTTTAACATTAATTACAGAGACCCAACAGTATCACCATGAGCAAGCACTTGGTGACAAGGGCAAGGAAAAACTGCCTGTTAAAAGGCAGAAACCTAGGACAGATCCTCCGGCTCTAGGTGGGTGGTCGTCTGTCTCGACCAGTTGGGGTGAGAGAGAGAGAGAGAGAGAGAGAGAGAGAGAGAGAGAGAGGAGGCAGAGAGAGAGAGAGCGAGAGACAGACAGACAGACAGGTGCACAGCAACAACAGTATTGGCAATGGCAGTCAAGCAGGACCATGGCAGGAGGCTCCACCAGGATCCATGAGAACCTGCGAGACGAGAAAGCACAAGAACTCTGGGGAAGAAGTGGAGTTAGTAACATGCATTAATGGGACATGAATGAGTGCAGAAAGAGAGAGGAAGAGAGTAGCTCAGTGCACCATGGGAAATCCCCCGATAGTCTAGGCCTATAGCCTATAGTCTCGTAGTCCAGATTGCCCATGTTTTGTCCTCCTGTGAGGGAGCTACGTAACATCAGGTTTTAAATGATGTAGTGGAAGATGGCAAACAGTACTTTAACTTTGGATGGAAATGTCATCTACCTTTACCGATGCCAATATTCTCTGCCGGTCTCACCTAAACTTAATGTCTTGCTCTGATCCACTGAAATGAAATCTGGTTCTACCATTTGCTTGAATCCGTGTGAATGCAGGATAAGGGAAGAAGCTGCTCTGTGGTCTGGTGGTAGTATACACTGTAAAATGAGGTAAGTTAATTTGACTCAAAAAAAATTTGATACGGATTTCATTAAAAAATTTAAGTAAAACTAAATCAATTTTGTTAGTTAAAAATCAAGTATCTTAAATTAAGTTTAGTCATTTTAATTGATACTGACTTATTTTGGTAATTTTCATTTGTACTGTAAGAACAAAATGCTCAAAAAATGACTTAAAGCTCCAGTAGGTAACATTTTTAAAAATAACCTTTTGTCATATTTGCTGGAACTTTCACTATATCCTGTACAAGAGAAAGATAATCTGCAAAATCAGGTTCCTCTGGCTCCTCCTAGTGCTAATGGCATTTGCAAGAATCTACGGGTACTGGACGATAACCATCATCCGAGAAAGATATAAAGAGGATTTTGGTTTTAGGCTTGAAGATAGTTGACTGTTTACTCTCATTTCCAGGTTCCCAAAAAATGAGACTGAACAGTCAACTATCGGTCTTGGCTCTGATTGGTTGTTTTTGGGCAGGTCCGGTGGATTCTTGCAAATACTATTAGGAGCATTAGAATGAGCCAGAGGAACCTGTTTTTCACATATTATCTGTCTTTAGTACTACTGTCAGGATGTAGTGAAGGTTTCAGCAAATATGACAAGGAAAATGTAAGAAAAATTACCTACTGCAGCTTTAATCAGGAATGTGTCTGTAGGTTACAACATTAAGTACAGATAAAAATGATACTTTGAACCAACCTAAAAAAATTACTGTAATTTGTTACAGCTAATTTTATTTTTGTCAAAGTATATTTATGACTTGACTGAAACTGAAAAGTTTAATTTTGTTTAAATCAAAATAATCCTTCAGTCCAAGAAAAAAAATTACATTCACTGAAAGTAAAAATATTGTTTATTCTAGAGACCATAAATAATTTTTTTTTATTCAGTAAAACTTACATTTGTACGTTGGAAAAACCTACTTTTTTCATATAATCCAAGTATAACTTTTACATTGAACTAAAGTAATTAAAATGCTGTAATTTGTTACAGGCAATTTTATTACTTTTACTCAATTTAAATGTTTTTAAGTTATACCATATCAATACATTTTCTTTGGTCACAATACTAAACTTAATGTACGTCAATATAATAAAATGTTTTGCTTCAATACAACTTAACTTTTACCATGAACAAAAGCTACATTTGCTTTAATATAAAGAATTATCAGTAAATGCTTCATTTAGTTGACTTACTATGAATTAAGAATATTTTCATCAAAAGACCTTGATATTTATTGTGAGGTCATTGTCTTTGTTTAACAAAAAAATACAAAAAAATCAATAAAACCCTAAATTTTGCTGGCTGTTAGGCTAGCCGGTATGTACTTCACACATTACAGCACATTTAAGAAAAAACACAAAAATAAATTAAAGAAAATCATGGTCTTTTCAATACTTTATTTTAAATCTTATGTAACCTTTCTGTAACATTAACAACATTAATGTTAAACTTTTTTGTACGCCTCTCCATTAAAACTTGAGATATGTAATATAATAACCATTAAGTCTAACAGTCTTAAAACTTACCATCCTTGGGACAAAATGATCAAGATGTATGAATGTCACATTATTTTGAACCATTACAAATGCAATATCAACATTTCCGTATCTATGACCACATTAATGTGGTATGATAAGCTTAAAGTGGTATAAAATAGCAAAAAAAAAAAAAACATTACCATTCTTATTGCTGCAATTATGAACTTTGCATTATTCAAACTTCAGTGTTGATATCAGTGCCAAAATATTTATATCACAGAAACTGTTCCGTGAACACAGAAAATCTGAATTGAAGGCCAGTTTTTAATTAAATCTGTTTCTCTTATTAACATTTAACAGTGGCCCCTTCCTCTATCATAGAATATATTTGAATACAAGCAATAACACAAAATAAAACACATCCGGTATCCAATATCTCTTTGGTGAATCCAATATTTAGAGCTTGACACTCAGACTGCACACTCTGCGTGTCATTTTCTTGGGTTCTATCTCCATGAATAGTTTCTGCAATGCATCAAAGGTGTATTTGAGCTCACTTGGATAGCTCAAGTTAAGAGCATAGATGAGGCCGAACAACATGGCACAGGCATGTAGGACTGATGGCAACTCACTGACAACCTGCACACCTTCAATAACAAACCCAATGTCATGTGGTGGCTGGAGAGGATCCTCCTCTTCCTTGATGACATACATGGCCATTGTACATCTCTCAAGCTCCGTTTCAGCTTCCTCCTTCTGAACAACCTGATAAAAGAAAGAGACAAGACATTTATTACTAAGTTATTTTGATGAAATCCGCGTCTGGTGTGCCTTTATGTGCACAAAAGATTCTAAACTAAAAACAAGACAAATTGGAGGTCTAGTGATAAGAAAATGTAAGGACTTGCAGAAGTCCAGGAGATACTAAATGTTGACTCTTCAAAATATTTTTCTCATAGCAACTTGACTAGACTTTATCTAGTAAAACACTGGTACAAGTATTATATTACACCTATCTTCAAAGATTAAACCAAGATTAAAAGATATGCCTTGTGTACTACAAATTTTGGATAAGATTGCCATTTTAATGACCAGTCTTACACACTGCTCCATCTGTACTGCTGCTGCTCTGAATTACACATATTTCAGGATGCAATTAAGATACAATATACAGTGTTCTACAAGATATAACTTACAAAATATGCACAAGTATTTTGATAGGATCTGAGACCATGTTTATGAGCTTAAAAGTTAAAAAAATATGCAATGTTTCATCTTGTCTAAAAGTTATTAAAGCAAAACTACTTACCTGATACTCCTTGATGAGTTTGTCCACATCTTCTCCAAGGTAAACAATGAGGCGTTTTAGCAGACACTCCCTTTTTTGATTCACCACGATGCTCTAGGTGCACAAACACACCCATAATGCATTACTCTCCAGTCCAATTTTGCAACTTCCACTTATGCAAACAATACACCATTCCCACACTCATGTGCTCAAACAGTTAAAAGGCCTACTCTAACTCCACAATCAAACTTGTTGACAAGTACATACCTGATCAAGAAGATTCAGTATACTCAGGGTCTTCTCTCTAACAACTCTATCAGCTTGTCCAAGGAAGCCAGGAATCGCGGTTGAAGTGGAACAGTTGTAATTCTCATAAATTCAGCATTGATCTAAAAAAAAAAGAAAAAAGAAAAAGAATAATAATAGCAAAAGTGAACGTAAATACATTTAAACTGTGTGGTGTTTGAGATCTTGGGTATGACATCAGGTGCCAAAACATGCTTTTTGGCTAAATTTTTAGGATAATAAATTACTTTACAGATCATCACTGACTGACTGCAATAAAAAAAAGTAACTTGCCTCATCCGTTGTGAACAATGCAGGCCATCTCTCTTTCAACTCTTCCACTTCTGATTCCTTTGCCACAATGTCCTGTCTTTGCAGTGAAAAAGTCTTGTCCATTTTGGCCTTTATCACAGCACGATTGTCTCGCTTCTTCACTTCAGTTAAAAGTGACAGTCTCTCATTTTCCAATTTGTCTGGGGTCTCTCCAGTTGGAATGTCAGGTATGTGGTTGGCCTTTCCTCTCTTCGGTCTCTTGACATTTTTTGCTGGGAGTCCATCCTCTGGAGCTTTAGACTTAAGTGAATTTGCAAGTATTTCAGAACACCCAAGGCCCTTCAGCTGAGTTTGGTAGTTACCCATTTTTGTCTTTAGCTGCTGCTTCCACCCGTAGCATCCATTGTATGAGCCAGGTTCAGAGAGGCAGGGGTGTGTCTGGATTAGTGCTTCAGCAACGTCACTAAAGTCAGCATCTATTGGGTAGGCTTTGAACTTGAATATCTCTTCTGCTAACTTTTCCAAAATATCTGACTTTGTTTTCCAACTCAGTGTTAACCTTGTGTTGTTTGACCTAAACACAGCATTTCCCTTTTCTAGCTGTAGTTCAGTGTGACAGGAGAATGTTGGTACCGGAAATGCACGTGGCCACATCTGAGTTCTTGTAGAGACACAACTGGAGGGTGATGACAGGAGCTCAGTGTCATCTGATTGAGTAGACACTATATCATTACAGAAAGAGAGAGTAATTACTTGGCCATCATCAGGTATTGGGATGACCTTGACAGTTGCCAAATCCTCAAGCTCTGCAGTGGATGTCAAGTTCACAAGTGCATCTCCAAAGTCTCTGTCTTGGTACTGCAGTCTTAAATTTCCATTTAGCCCAGACACTTTCCTGATTTCACCCATAAGCTGCTCCATTGACTCTGGAATTCCAACAGGCAGAATAAGCTTCCAGGTGTCATCAGGGTTCAGAATAACCCGCAACTTGGCTGGCCTTTTGCCTGCCATGTCTTCCCCATCCAAAAGGATCTAGTCAAAACAAGAAAAGAAACGGCAGTATTAGTTGTAGTACAAAATTGTTAGTTACAATATAACTTACAATAAATTAATATTCACAAATTAATTGATAAACTATTCTGATTTCTGGGGAAGAAGAAGAAATTAAAGTCAATACTAAATTTAGGAAATTCTTAATATTTGTTCAAATCAAACTGCAAAGGCCCTATGCTATCTTAGCAGTCTAATTTTTACATAGAAAAAGGACAGCAAATGTATTTTTCATTATTGATATGCCTAGCAGGAATTAAAATGGCAACAAATAGCTTTTGTACACTATACATGAAGGCCTTTGACGATTGATTTCACATGATTTTTCATTTACTTTTGTGGTATTATTATCATATTATCATTTTGCAGGGTTAACAGTTCTGAAATTTACTGAAATATTCTCTTGAAAAACAGATCCAAATAACAATTATTATTTGATACTATAACTTATTATACTGTTTAATAGGGCATTTAACAAAATCTCTGATGCCCACTACATTTCACATCTGTGGCCATTTTGAAGCTATTCACTATTGTTAGTCATTCCTATTTAAACATGTATGCAAAAAATGTTCACCGTTGTTCACTTTGGGATTCACCAGATCAGCAATAAGGCCACAATCGTGAAATCTCCAGGAAACGTCAAACCTGTAAACACAAAGGAAAAGCTGAGATTTCACATTTTGGTTTTTTGTTGGGGCAGTTAGCACTATCCACACTACAAGCTGTAAATCATTAATTAGATCTTAATCATACTGGTAATATTGTACTATACTGCATTATAAACTGACAGATGAAACAATGGAATATGACATCTTCCTCTTCAATCACAATTCTTTGTCTATAATGTAATGTATTTAATTAATTACATACTGTACTATTAATCACACCCTCTATTGCTTATTCACTGTTTGGAGTGTGTCGGATTATAATAAAGGAGTGCATGTCTGAAATGGCTTTAAACTGAATGTTTACATGCAGTAAACAAACGGTGACTACACATATCGGCAATGGTGGAGAGACACAGCAGGCGAACCAGCGCCAACCTTGTCAAATTAAGTTTTAATAAATGTTGTTGTTTTTGCGGTTGTTTATGCCACTTACAGTCGGGAGCATTTCCGTTGTCACTTCTTTAAACTGTGTCCACGCTGTGCTCTGCAGCCAGCCCAGCCCTCAGGAAAAGGAACGCCCCCTCTTCAGCCGCCTGAATTACTTTTTGAGTTGAACTGACCCAATGGACGGCTCTAATCACACACGGGCTCAATCGGACATTACATGCACCCCGTTCCAACTGATTCGGACATTTATTTGCCTTCTCATATACAGATACCTCGAATGTCTAGACTAGTTAACGCTTGCAAGAAAGAAAATGAAAAGTTGATGGTTTCGGTAAATGCGGTACAAAGTTGATGGTTGCGGTTGGTTGCTAAAGCATATTCACTAAATAAAACTAAATTAATAAAAATAATATTTCCGTTACATCAAAGTAAAACAATATTAACAACGAACTTGACTTTACATTTCACCAACAGGTGCATTGCGATAGCCTGGTTTAGCTAGCTTTAGGAAACACGTGCAATGTAGCTTAGTTTACCACTAATCATAAATGTGAATAAAAACATTTGTTCTCGTTAAAACAACACAGTTTTCGAAAACTCACCCTATCATAAAGAGATTTCCTCCTCCTGGGCCACGGAGTGACGGAGTCTTCACATTCAAAGTAAAGTAATGGCGGACGGTAAAAACGCTGGCTGGCGTGAGCAGGGAGATATCACATAGCAGGTGTGACGTCGAGTGGTCACATGACATGAACACTTTTTTTTTTTTCTTCTGGTCTGAAGTAAAAATATGATTGAAGTAAAATTGTTCTTTTAATTTGTTCTAGGGGGTTCATTATCTGCTTTAAGGCAAACTAGACAAAACAGGTTTGAAACAGATTTTCACTTAGTCCAATGTAAAAATGCACTTCAAATAAACGACATGGCAGTTTCAGTTTTTTCAGTGTAGTTAAAGGGTGCTTAATCAAGAATCTTTTTTAACTTACAAAATAAATTGAGTTTGCATTACTTAAAATCTTCGTTTTAATCCGTTTCAACAATGTTTCTGAGTTAAAGTAACCGATGGCATTATAGTGAATGGCAGCAGATACTTCTGTACCTCTTGTCAGCAGGGTGAACAGGCTGTGTTTGGGTGGGTACTGTCTTTGAGTATCCTTTGGGCTCTGTGCAGGCCTTTCACCTCACCTCATCAGTTCACATGGAAAGTCCGTTTGCCATTAAGATACCTAGCCAAGAGAGACAATAGTGCAAATACAGAAATTGTTTGAAAAAACAACGGGAACACAAGATTTCCAAAACAGGACCACAGTAACAGCTAACTTTGCCTCCCACTTTAAAATTTTGCATTAAAACATTACTTTGCAATTTTCTGTATTTCTGTTAGCCTCTAATGCTGTTTCTTTCCAAAACAGGCTCAGGCATTTAGGCTGTGACTGTTAAAAGTACTGTCAGGACTTTTCCACATGATGAACACAAAGCTGGTATGGAAGCCTGCCGAGAGTTGCATTGTAAATAAAGGCGTTAATTATGACACATGACAACTAGCAGTATGTATATTGTAACTGGATGTGTTTAGTCCCTATATAAACCATGTCTTTTGTCATCTATGTCTTTTTTCAGTCCAAGGTTCTTCCTTTCCTTGAACCGTTCGTTTTATCCTGCAGCTGGTCTAAATATAGGACGGAATGTGCACAAGTACCTTTCTGCAACTGGCAGTATGTGTTCACATTTACTACAAGTCACATATATCTTGGTAGTAGCCTATTGAATACTGACCTGTTCATAACTTTGTTGTGTCACTTTAAGTCAACTTACATTATCTACTGGACTTTACATCAGTTTACATCAGATATGAGATATTGAGTATGTCTGTATGCTCAGAATCACAAATCACCAGACGTGAGACCAAGTCATTGTTTTGCAAGTAACATGTAATTCTCAAGTCTTTGCACTCAAGACTTGAGTTTTGAATCCTAAACAAGTCCTAATGCACTCATCACTAATGCCAATTTTACCAACAGAATAAACAAAACAAAATTATCTTTTTCTCAGTAATGTAACATTAGTTCTTCATGGTTCGGCAAGTTGATCGGATGCTGTTGGATTGGATCAAACAAAATGGATCTGGGGAACTACCTGTCAACATGCTGGGAATGAATAACGTTAACGTTAGTTGATACAAGTGAAGGCATGAGTCATTGGTGCTAAAGTTCAAGTTGCAAGTCATTCATTTTGTCAAGTTGAGTCATCAGATTTGTCAAATCATGTGACTCGGGTAGAACTCCCTCCAAGCACAGGCAGACACAAGTGGCTTTCTTTCTACGGGTTTATTTGAAGCTTGTCTCTCTTTCCCCAAATCCACCGTGAAAACTAAATAAGGTCGACAAAATATAAACAATGTTAGCTTAACATAAACAATAACATGCAGAGCATGTGGAATAACATTTACAAAGTAAAACACAGATATATAAAATACCTCGTTGTCTGCATGCTATGAAAAATTGAATTGTCTTCAAATCTTCAGTTATCTTCAAAATATAGTCTTTTGTGACGAGGATGAAACTCGAAACAGCGCAAAGGTCCTTCATCACTGCTTAATTGCTTGTGCTGATGCTGTCAGTCAGACACAGACTTCAAAATAAAAGCATCTTTTTATTTAAACTAAATGAAATAATATAAAACAAATGCAACTTAAATGAA